CTAACCCTAACCCTAACCCTAACCCTAACCCTAACCCTAACCCTAACCCTAACCCTAAAAAGTACAATCTCAATTGCACCTCGACTGAAAGATGAGACTGAATTTTTTCAAAGTGCTTGCATGAATACGGATGTCTAACCACACGCTTTGTTCATGCACGCTTCGAATGACATGTGATTGGAAGACTCGACTAGTGTGATTTCACAGGACCGGAAAATGTGGTCTGGAGACACTGAATGATGATTCCATCAGCTGCAGTAGCGGGTGCCTATTTACGGAATTGGAAAGTCGCCTAAAGTTACCATCTGTTCCAAAGCGCAGAGCAATTTGGGCGAGCCCCGGAGGTAAGCACACGCGTGCGGGACCGCTTTGAAGAACCCAAAGCGGTTCAAGTCATCCTGGCTGGAATGGTTGCGTCCACCGTTGAGGCAAAACCGGGCAGTGAGTCTGGAATAGTCTGATACGTACGTATCCGATACCACGTCGAGAGCATGCGTACGAGACGTCTCACTGACCCACCGACAAGAACGTACGACAGTTGCTGTGAAGTGCCAGTGTCTCTGTGCGTCCGAATCCGTTAGCCTGTCATGGTCGCGCGCGGATCTCGAGATGCGGTGCCGCCAGCACAGTACAGTACGGTAAATGTGGCTGACTTGTGGTGATGACAGTGCGTTGGCTGCAATTTTCAAAGCACCCAGCTCGGATACACAACAAGCGTGGCGAATATCACATCATCGCCATTTGACCGTCAAGATCGGTGCTACAAAATGCTTCTCATGTTCTTCACAACACTCAACTTCGTTGCCAGCACATACATCGATCCCTCACTTCGGCTCTGGCCTCGCTCTCAACGAGATAGTTGAATGACTCACGACCTCCGTAACGACCATCGAAGCCTTGCACCCGTCTACTAGCGCATCAACTCCATACCCGGTCCATTCGTACGTGATGTGCCGGAAAATTTCTTCTCAAATGAGGGCTGTCATGGTGAAAGATGGCCGAGGTTCTTCGGCGAATCTCTACATCGGAGAGGCTCTCGTCCCTCAGCTCGATGACGACGAAGTTCTAGTCAAGATCGAAGCGTTTGGTCTCAACCGTATGGATATTCGGCAGCGCGAAGGACTCTACAATCTTCCGCCTCATGCTCCCCAAATCATGGGCGTCGAGTTCTCTGGTCACATTGTGGCTACTAAAAACTTGCAGGACTCGAAATGGAAGGAGGGAGATGAAGTGTTTGGTCTTGCTGTGGGAGGTGCTTATGCCGAGTACATCAAAGTTTCAGCACGCATGGTCTTGAACAAGCCACCCCAGCTCAGCTGGGTCCAGGCAGCCGCTATCCCCGAGACCTACCTCACCGCTTTCCAAGCACTAAGGAGGATCGCATGCATGAAGAAAGGCGAAAGTGTCTTGATCCATGCCGGGGCCAGCGGTGTTGGTATAGCTGCCATACAGCTTGCCAAGGTCTATGGTGCTGACAAGATCTTTGTAACCGCTGGATCACAAGACAAGGTCGACTTCTGTCAACGTATCGGGGCAACAAAAGGCTTTAACTATAAAGCAAGCGATTGGGCGGACCAGCTAGCTCAGTACACTGCAGCCGAGGGAGAGAACTGTGCTGGCTCTGTGGACGTAATTATCGACGTCGTCGGAGCGCCTTACTTGGCCGGTAACATGCGAAGTCTAAAGAAGGATGGAAGGTTAGTTGTACTTGCCTTCATGGGTGGAGCTCAGCTCAGAGAAGTCGAGATCTCGCAGATTCTGTATAAACGACTCCGGATCGAGGGAAGCACCTTGCGTTCGAGGACCATAGGCTATCAGAGTGACCTCGTCCAGGACTTCGTTAAGGAGAAGGGTATCGAGAGACTGATCATGGGCTGTTCCTCTTCTGACGAGGGTGGAAGCCAGATTATCATTCACAAAGTGTATTCCTGGAAGTGTATCAAAGAGGCGCACGACGAGATGGAGGCCAACAGAACCGTCGGCAAGATCGTGGTCACTATTGATGATTATTAGAGCTAGGCAATAACTTGCCAAATTGCGTCTTCGAGACGAAATGTCTCGATGATTTGGCTTCTCGCCTTTCCCAGTTTCCGGTCCACGCTCCTCTCTTGTCCAGCATATCGATCGATACCTGTCCCTTTGCAGCTCATTGACTCTGCACCCGAGAAATCACAAGCACACATACGAGTTGAGTTCTCTGTGCTCGAAGGACCATCTTGACGACGACGTGAGCTCGTCTGATGTTCTTCGAGTTGCAATCACCAAAACTGCTCATATAACTTCTGCCTTTGTCAACATACCCTTTCGAGAGGAACGAATGGTGCTATCTGTGCTCATGGCTTGTGTCGCATGTTCAGAATCGCTCGAGCCCGATCATGGAAAAACCGTAATATTTCGTTGACAAAACTTCGCGATCGCAGCAACGAACCACCCCAATAATTTCTGAACTGCCCACCTTTCCAAACGCGCTGACATTGTAGCTAGTTGGAGAAGCGGTTTCACGTTGGCTGCTTCAGCGAGTCTTAGGGATCAAGCCCGCCTGAATCATCTCCGCAAAAGTTTCGATGAAGTTGTCGTGGGAATCCACATGATAAGTCCAGCCGAACTTTCGTGCTTTACTGACGCTCAAGGTGGCGCTCCAGGTTCGCTGAAACACCCAGTCCTGGAAAGCCCAGGTCCCGTAGGCCCACGTAGCCTTCGCTTTTGGAGCATCGTACTTGTCACAGATCTCTTCCCATACCGCCTGCTTGTCTTTCGACCATTCCGCCAAGGAACGTTCCAGTTGCAGGTCGCCTTCCTTGGGATAGGGCGACTGGAATTGATATGCTTCAGAGGCATCGGCGCCAAAGAAGTGAGCCAGACGAGGCCACATGTACCGCCAGCAAAAGTAATCGCCGTTGGTCACATTGAAAGCTTGATTGCCGGCCTCGGGTTTGGTCGAGGCAAAAATCGTCAGGTCAGCGATCGCTTTGGCAGAACTGACGTCGTCCGTACCTTCCCAGTATCGTTGATTGGTTGGCATGACGGCCTCCTGCTTGAGGTGAGCTGAAACGATCAGGTACATGGCGATGGTCAAGGCCTCGTTCATACCATTTGGCTTGTGTGTACATCCGATGATGGCCTCTGGACGAATGACATTCCAGCTGAATCCGTGTTGCTCCGCCTTGGACAAGAGGCAATCCTCTTGCGGGAAGTAAAAATTGGGAAGAGCTGCCTCGCGGCGCGAATCCTCTTCCCGCGCTGGGGAGGGTACAGGCATCAAGTGAACCTGGTAATGCTTGCCTCCGGTCTGGAGGGTGACGTTTTGCAACGTGCCGTTGGTCACCTGGCATAGAGCCTCCAAGAAATTCTCGAAAAGTTTCTCGTTGGCCTGATTGAGTTCGGCGAAGTCATCCTTGTGGACGTACGAGGAAAAGTAGGCATGCGTCACCTCTCCGCATAGTGTACCCATCAATTGGACCAATTCGGATACAGGCTTGCTGAAGTCCAACGCGATGAAGGTGAGACGTGGATCCTCTAGAGGCAGCGTCAATGGACTGCGGGAGGTGATGATAATCTTGGACCATTCCGACGCATCGCTATGGTGACACAGGTGCGTTGCGACGGCACTGCCTGTGATGCCGTTCGCTCCGGTGATGAAAGCAACTTTTGGAGAGGACATGGCGCAATGACTCGATCGATATTGCTTCAACAGAAGGGACCGGAAGGGGCTGATATTCGATATGTCTATGTTGCCTGAAGGATCTCTTCTTATAACCAGCATACATCTCATACATCTCGTTCCCAATACGCGTGTGGATCCCAGACTCGTTAAAGGTGGCTCGTAATTGTAACACAGACTGGAGAACAACACGAAAATAGGGCTAATGTGGTTTCCCCCGCACTTTTGCCGATGTGGGGCCCCGTTGCACAGCTTGGAACGGCAAGAGGTCGTCCCTTCGAGCAAATTTACCCACTGAATCGTTCCAAGGTAACAACAGCAGACCGACCACTCTATTCTTCCCCCCTTTCCGGCACTTGTGGGTGATCAGAGCGCAAAAGCAGTTACTATTCTTTTGCCATCCTTCGCCATTGCCCTCTTGCTTTTCTTTTTTTTCTCTTATATATTTTTGGAGAGCTTGGCAAGTCGGCGCCAACAAGCCAGTGTTCAGGTAGGGCATTCGGTCGATGGGTACGTATCTGACTGAACATGTTTGTTTGATGTGAGCCGAGGAGGGACCCAAACAGGAACTCAAAACATTAGCCCAAGTATCCGAGTTGCTGTCTCAAAAAAGACGCCACATTCCTCCAGGAAAGCCGTCTCAAAGGAGACGGTTCAGCTCAAGGGTATGGATAGTTGATGAAAAGCAAGAAGCCCCATCGGAAATTCTGCCGGTGAAAATTGACTCGGTCTGTCGGAATTTCTGTCGACACTTCAACTAGACCTTCATCTTATTCTGCACACGGGAGCTCTTTCACCACATCAGGCGAATTCGTCATCTTTGCGGACACAATTGAGGAGAAGCCTCAGGACAGACTGCGATGCCGAAGCCGATGATCTGGCAGATCGCGTGTGCCTTTTGATGAACTGAAACCTCAGCAACTGAGGCCACACAAGGACGTACAGTACTGAATGACACGTTTCACCCCACAGAATCATTGCTCATGTCATACGACAGCGTTGAGCGCGTTCATCTTTTACAGTAAGCCGCAATTAAAGCTGGCTTGTACCAGGGAGACATCAAGAAACGTTCGAGAAAACAGCGCCAAGGCATGCCACTCAAGCCCTCTTCTGATGCTTTGACTGGTTCGAATTCGGTATCAATCCAGGAGAACAAGACGTGGTGAATACAGATCATGTCGTGAAGGTTTTAATCTCCAATCTCCTCAAAGCGTAGCCAAACCGAGCCAAGCTGGGGCGCGGAGGTAAAATGATCATGGGTTGGGACATGACCTCTGACGAAAGGTTTGCCGTCATTTTCATGAGGAAGCGATACCCTGAATCGACGAATGACGGCGGCCAACATCAGGTGCAATTCGTTGAGGGCCAAGTTGGAACCTGGACAGGAACGCGCGCCTGTGCCGAAGGGAATCCAATTTTGAGTCATGCGCGCCAAACGAGCCTTGTCCTCGTCACTATCGTCCTCACTTAGCCATCGTTTGGGCAAGAACTCATTGCAGCGAGTGAAGATGTCCTCGCGGCGTGACTGAGTAAATGCGGCTCCTGAAGCGATGACGCCCTTAGGGAGGCTTAGGTTTGCACTACGTATGGGGCAATCCGTACCCAGACGACGTTCCAGCGGACCAGGAATGACGGGATAGAAACGCATGGTCTCCCGAACTGCAGCACGTAGCAGTGGAATCTCCTGCGCCACCGACAACTTAATGTCGTTCGGATCGTGGAAGGTAGCGCGCAAAACGTTGTGCAATTCCTGCTGCAGCTTTGGATTCAGAGCCATCTCGTGACAGAATAAGGTCGCAGTGGTCGAAGTGGTGGACGAGCCAGCAGCAAGCATCTCGACCAAATATGCCGGAATCTCGTTTGGTCGAATCCGCTTGGACGCTTCGGAGTGGTCGTTGAGGTTGGCCAACATTGAGAGCACATCACGTTCGTGAGATGATTGGCCGTTGGCGTTCGCCTTCTCCCATCGTTGCAACGCCGCGCAAGCGGTTTGGTCGAGATCGTTGAGATCGCGCCGGTATCCTTTCCAAGTATCATTGCCGAACATAGTCACAAAGAGATCCAGACCCGGAATGAAGGATCGAAGGGCGTTGTACTTGCTGAAGGCGTGAAATCGACGTAGGAACAGGCTGTTCACGTTACCCTTTGCGGCGTCCTGCAGCAGGTTCGTCTGTTCAGCCCACAGCACATCCGTCACAATATCCAGGGCCAAAAGGCGGAACCAGAACAGGCATTCCACTGGTTTGTTCTCGCGAACCTGCAATGCAATGCAATCAACGAAGTGACGGACGTGTCCGTCGATGTTGGTGCTGAGGATGTCCAGGTTCTTATTTTGAAAGCATTTGATCAGGTTGTTGCGTGTAGTCGAGGCGGTGGGATAATCCAGGATGCCCAAGGTACTTTTCACTCCCTTCCACGAGCCCATGTTGGCGTAGAAGCGAGTCTTCACAGCCTTTCGGTCATAGATGACCTTTATCGCTTCCTCATCCGAAGTGTGCACCTGGTTGGGCGCGATGACGACGACAGTGGTGTTGTATTTGCGAAGCAGGTCATCCGCGAAACGTGACCGGTAGCCCTTGAAGGTGGCATAGAGAAGCGGCAACGAAGTCAATCGTGCCCACCATGGTCCTGGAACACTCGCAGTGGGGCTGAGGAACAGCCTATAGACCGCCTGGCTTGTCAGGAGCACGGCCACGAGGCCTACAAGATACGTCAGGTCCGAATACTGGCCAAAACTTTCGACGTTGAGGCTGAAAGACATGACGGTCAGAGTCAAGGATGGGAGGTGATGGTGTCCGGACCTGTGAACACAGTCATCGCTGGCGGCCTTCAGTATGAGGCCTGGCTCTTTATCTGGTTGTGCGGCACATCTGCTTACTGTATGGGATGCCACTGGCTATTCTTTGTTTCGTCGATGTTGTGTCAGCCGCAAAGCGCCGAGCTCAGCGCATCAATCTTGACTGAAGAGCTCAATTGCATGTCCCACCAGTCAACAGCAGGGGCGAGCTGGGGCAGGAGGGCTGTGAAGCCCTTGCGGCAATGCCTTGTCCACCCCGGTGAAGGTCACAGGCCGGAGCTGGCGCCGGCAAAAGTGGTAAGGCTGTCAAGTCACGTTCCGTCTGTAAGTTGCGTTGCAACAATGCGACCTTTCGAGCGCGCTGCCGCTTGTTGTGGTGTGCCCCTGCTAATTCGTGCTCGCTTTCTTTACCTATTCTGTTGGAAAGTTGGACTCTTTCACCATTCTTCTGATATCGCATAGTGTAGTGCCTCTGGTTGGCAGGCAGACCGCTTGACGCCGTTCAATGAAAACACCGTTGCCATGTCCGGATCCTCAATTGCACTCAACTTAAAAGACTATTTGCCAATTGCGAACGGGATCGATCTCTGAAGACATCGTTCGAACCATCATTCCGAGGAATCACTTTGGTATAGGTTCACGAAATGGCTACGCGAAAGAATGCTTCCCCCTTGGATCAAGGCGACCAACAACCTGGCGTCATAATTGTGGGCGCCGGCCCGTCAGGCGGCACACTGGCCCTGATTTTGGCCCAGATGGGCATCGATGTTCTGGTTCTCTGCAAGCATCGCGGTACGGCCAACACGCCAAGGGCCCACATCTTCAATCAGCGGGCGATGGAGATCTTGCGCGACTTAGGCATCGAGCAGGATGCTCTCAGGTTGTCCACAGGACCCGAGCATATGATGCATACGTCCTGGCTCGACAACCTGATGGGAAACGAATTCGGACGCATCTATGCATGGGGCAACAAGCCCGCTGATCTGTCCAACTACACTGTGGCTAGCCCTTGCCACATGAGCGACTTACCGCAGAGCTACCTGGAGCCGCTAATCGTCGACAAGGCTATTCAAGCTGGTGCACGTTTCTACTTCTACCATGAAGTCGTGGATTTCAACGTCCAGGGTGACGATGTCGTTTCCGTCGTGATCAAAGATCGTGAGACGGACAAGAAACATAATCTGCGCTGCAAGTACTTGATTGGCGCTGACGGGGCACGTAGCATCATCGCGAGTAAAGCTGGACTGAAGATCGAAGGTCAGAAACTCAATGACGCCTTCAACGTTCACATCAAGGCGGATTTGAGCCACCTATTTGCTCATCGACCTGGCAGTCTCAATTGGATCTTGAACGTCGATGCCGAAGATTGGTCAGCCGTGGGAAACTTCCGCCTGGTTCGGCCGTGGAACGAGTTCGTTGTATCGATGCATCCTTCTTTGCAGGGCAACGATGCCCAAGAACAGACGGACCCTTCGATGGATCAGATCCGTCATCGACTGCACCAGATGATTGGAGACGTAGATTTGCCTGCCGACCAGCAGGTTCACATCGAAGTTGTTTCTTCCTATCGATGGACAATCAACGACCAGCATGCCAAGCAATGGCAGCATGGACCTGTTTTGTGCATCGGTGATGCGGTCCATCGCCATCCACCAATCAACGGTTTAGGCAGCAACACCTGCATCGGCGATGCCTTCAATCTGGGCTGGAAGTTGGCCTATGTGCTCAAGGGTCTGGCACATCCAGACGTGCTTAGCACGCTGACTCAGGAACGAGCACCTGTGGGCCAGGCTATCGTGCACCGTGCCAACGAGGGCATGCGTGCCCATCGACACCTCTGGTCCCTGTTAGGCTTGACGAAGGAGAGACGCCTTCAAGTCTTGACGACGCTGAGAGGCAGCTCTGTCGAATCAATGGCTCTGCGCGAGGCGATCAAAGAGGCCATGGAGGCGACAGATCTGGAAGTGCAAAGCATTGGCATTCAAATGAACCAGTTCTACCACAACGTCGGCAGCCAACTCTGTCTGGACGAGAAGCCGGAGGAGCAGCTGGATACGCAGTCGGATAGGACGGTCAAGACCACTGGTGGGCCGGTGACCATCCTGGATGCTACGCGCCGTGCAGCGCTGTCGACCGAAAAGGTGCCCCTGGACTACAACACGCTAAAAGACGTCGTCCTCTCAACTGCGCCTGGCTTCCATATGCCGCATTGTTGGATCGCAAGGGGTGGTCAGTCGCCGTCCATCTCCACGTTGGATTTGTGTGGTAAAGGCAAATTTACCCTGATCACCGGCTGTGCCGGTCAAGCGTGGCTGGATGCAGTCAAAAGCTTGACTCAACGCATTCCGACGCTGCCTCTTGTTGCTGTGACGGTGGACAGTTACAGCGCCGAGTACCAAGATTTGTACTACGACTGGGTCAGGTTGCGCGACATGGAGGCCGGAGGTATGCTCTTAGTGCGTCCGGACCACTTTATTGCAGCACGCGTCCAACGCTCTCAAACCTCGCCCGAAAAGGCTCTAGAACGGTTGGAGGAAATGCTGACTCGACTTCTCGGTCAACCTATCAGTACGCAGTCACAATGATCGTCAGTGTCAGCGCGATGGGATCCAGATGCTCTTGTTCGTGTATATTTGCAGCCTTACAGCAAGCTCCGTTGGGCAAGATCGCGTATCAATTCACGAAAATTGTTCACCAGCGGCCAGCGACAGTTGAATTTGAGGTAAAGATCGCCGATGCGAAGCATGGTCGTGGCCACCATCGTTTTGACATCCCTCCCCGCCGCAGTTGCAATGCTGTCAGGAGAGTGGCTTGCAGCATCGGACACTTTGGCCAGAATGGCTGAAACTTTGCCGTAGCACTGCTGCGCTTCAATGAGCTGCATCGACACCCAGAGCAATATAGAGGCATGGTAGATGACGACGTAGGACAAGAAGGTGAATTCAGCCCCATCCCTCTTTACCAGCTCGTCGACGACAAGCTCGAGTGTGTTGTACACCCTGCGCAGCGCCGTCTGGGCATCGCCGGATCGAGACCAACGCAGAGCACGAAGATAGAGTGGATGGTGAGGGTCGCGGCGCCGCAACACCGACAGGCCACGGAGCTCCTCCATGTCGGCGAAGAGGTGTAATGTGAGACAAGAGTAGAGGATGTGACAGTGAAACAGATTCTGACGATCCTGAGCCGAGAGCACGTGAGCGTTGGCCTGTGTGGAAGTGAACCCTTGACGCCAACGTGCTAAAGTGGCCAAAGTATAGCCCCATTCGCGTATCATTGGGTAGTCGAGCTGGTCTGACGGTGGATGGCTCGAAGCATTGATGGCATACGGATCATGCTCGTCGTCGTACGCTGCCGAGCGTCGGGCAGGCTCGCGAAGGAAGTCGGGATCCTGTCTCCGTTTCTGGTCAAACTCGGTGATAGATCCGATCGTGGGACAGAGAGAATATCTCTGTCGGCCCAAAAGCAACACTTTTGGCACAAGGCCGAACAGGATCAGCTCCTGATCCACAACACGGTGGAGGGCAAGTCCGTCCATCATGCCAGCGTAGAAGCGGCGGATCACAGTACAGAAAACTGGCTTGTGCTCGCCGACAGTCGCCTCGAGGGCAAAAGAGGGGTCGCGCGTGGATTTGCTCGCCGAGGAGCCCACAGTGCTACCGCCCAATACACTCGACCTCGTTACATCATCACCGTCCAGGTGAGCTGATGCATCAGAGCTTGATGTGCTGGCGAGTGCGCCCTGCCACCAGATAGGGTCGCCAAGCATCGAGATGCGCAGATCGTCCACGTCGATCTGTGGGCGTTGTCCCATGAGCAACGCAATATACGCGTCCAAGCGCACGAGGCCATAGGCAATACGTCTGCGCACCTCGGCCTGCGCCACCTCTGGGTAGCAGTTCGAGGCATCGTCAATGGTCGTGAAGGTGGAAAGATTGTGTTTGGGCGGCAGAAACATCTCATGACGCGCCTCATCGAAAAGGCAGATGCGGTGGGCATGGATGAGAAGCAGAGTTCTAAGCTGTTGAGCAAAGTAGAAGGAGCGGCGTTGGCCAAAATAGAGTGCCGTGGCCATATTGAGGAGCATGGTAAGGCAGAGCATCTCGCCACTTTCAACAACCTCGTGCATGTCAAGCTCTCGGCCGATGAGGACGGTTCGAAACACCTGGTGGGCCATCTGGCCAAACTCGGCATCGCTCTGGGTGCCAAACTGAGATCCAATAATCGCAAGCGTGAGGTAGAGGTGGGGTGGGCAGCGATGCAGGTCGAAGAGGGACACAGGAAGGATAGGCCAGAGCGGGTGAAAGTTTCGAAAGTACAGATGAACGTAATGACGCAGAAGGTGCTGGGGATCCATGCTGTCGTCGGATATGTTGGCGAACTTGAGTCCCAGTCTGGCTTCAAGGATCGAGGATTGTTTGAACATCAAGGCCTCTGGACTCAAGCTTTGCTTGGTCTGGAAGCAAGCGTGTACCAGATCATAGATACATGTTCGATGACTGTCATGCATGCTAGACGAGGTGGGCGCTTGGGCTGTGACGGTGCAGTTCGGATCCGTGGGCTCGATGAGATGATCTTGGGCGAGAGAAGCATTCTCCTGACCGAGGCCAGCGCAGATATCGGCAAGACCCTCGAGGTGCGGTGCGTCGAGCGAAGCAGACTGCTGGGGCTGCTGAAGGACGTCCTCTACGTCAGGCAAGGCCAACGAGGGCACATTTGATGCTGAGACACCAGTGTGACGGTGCCTGAGGGGGTATTGATCCAGATCGGGGCGACGCCAGCTCCAAGGTGTGCTGCGATGAGGCTCAAGCAGAGGTGACGAGGGAATGAATTCGTCCATCAACCAGTCCCAGCTTTGGACAATGTCAGTGCTGATATGTGGAATCGACGAGAACAGTTGGGGGTTCCATGAGTGCTCGGTTCTGGTACTCTCGTCGTGCAGGCTAGGGTCGGTTTGGACCGCGTTGGCAAGCGAAAATAAGCCAAGCTCGTATGCTGGGACGGAGGAGTCAGGTGGACCTGCTTGGAGCGCATCAGCAGACGCATCCTGGCGATTCTGCATAACCAATGCGGGCATTTGGACTGAATCGTCATCGACAGATAAGCCATCGACAGGTGTATACGGCGACGAAGACGTAGACTGCGGCAGCACATTAGATTCTTGAGATTGCATTGAGTCATTTCGAGCGTGCTCCACCAGATCGTCCATTGGTTTGTTGCCACCGTGTGCTAGAACGGGAATCTTGATCTTGTTCGACTGGCGCGAGTAGCGGCATTCAGTGTCCTGCCGCGCACAGTTGCTGCACTGCTGGTCGGACATGGGATCGCCTACATCGCATCTTTCCTTCTTCTTCCAGCATAGGTCGCAGGCCATCCGGCTTCTCTTGCGATGCCTTCGGCCGTGTTTGGACAACAGTGGGGAGACCTGTTCTCGAATCTTGGCTGCCTCCTGATCCCCATGCGTGTGATTAGTCCGCGATACCAAGGAAGTACGGGCGGTACCGTGGATCTGCTGGACGTGTCGATGATAGACGTCTTGCCGGGCAAAAGTAGCATTACACTCGACGCAGCGGAACTGACGACCAGCAAGATGCATCTTGCGATGACGACGCATCGCTTCGAGCGAGCTGTAAGAACGTTGACATAATTCGCAGCAGAATAGCATGTCCCTGTGGTCTTCTGGGTGGTAGTGTTGAAAGAGGCCGCAAGCAATAGGGTGTGCAGGGTCCTGACTCGTCGCTGCCTCGGAGCCTAACTCAATCACGCCAGGGTCTTCAAGCCGAGAAAGTTGTTGCAAAAGTGGCAGTTACCTCTCTCTGCATCTCTTCAATACATCCCTCGTTGCAAGGAACTTCTAATTTTTCCAGATTTACTTTTTATAATGAGAGGTGAGGTAGATTTTACGTCGTGGCGCAGACAGTGTCCTTTGCTGCCAACGTTGTATGTTCAGGCGGAGTCGTACAGTACGAGGCACGGAAGAAAAAGTTGAGGCCTGATTGGTCACCTGACGAAACACCCTTCCACTCAATTTACCCCGCGTTTTTCTTTGATTCGGGAAACGTCGCTTAGTGCAACAGCCCAACCACATTTACCGAAAGACTCGAGAGCAACCTCTGTTGTTCTTGTTACACGACACTGGATCGCTATTTCCTATAAAGGTAGCCGTCATCGCCTCTGATGATATCAGTACGGCCATCAATTCGTTTGTTTGCGGCTACTGTGGATACAGCAGCTAGCCACCGCTATGACTCCCATAACTCAGTTACCCTCATTCAAGAACTTGCCATCCGTGGAGGACATGCCTCACGGATGTGCGTGGGGTCTATTTGACAAGGATGGTAAACGTGATCAGCTCGGCAGTAAGTCGTCACCTCGAATCTCCTGTCGCGCCATGGCGTTCGTTCCGGCTGTGATATGTGCTGACCGTGGAAGCTCTGTGTTCCGTCCAGCGCTCAATTTTCTCACCGACGAAAACACAAAGAACGCCATGGACAACGAAATTCATACCGGCAAGCGGGTTCAGCTCGACTGGTCGCTCGATAAGATGACTTTTCCTGGCTTTGGCCGTAAAAAGGGCGAGCACAAGCTCATCGATCTCGGGTTTCTTGGCGTCACCGCAACGGATGATATGGTCACCTTCAACACCCAACAGAGCTCCCAATGGGACGGTCTCCGTCATTTTGCCCACCAGCAATCTAAAATGCTCTACAACGGTGTCCCCCATGACGATATTCACGCTGATCGAGGCAACCTTCGCCTTGGCATTCATAATTGGGTCGATAACGGTGGCATTGCTGGCCGTGGCGTCTTGATCGACTGGGCCTCTTGGGCTGCAAGCCGCAATGGTGGCCAAACGCCGCGTCCTGATCAGTCTTACACGATCAGCTTGGCCGATCTGCAAGCTTGTCTTGAGCAGCAAGGCACCGAGCTCAAGCACGGTGATCTACTCTTGATTCGTACCGGCTTCGTCGCATGGCACGACATTGCTACCCAAGACCAGCTGCGCGAGCAACAAGAGAGTGGTGCCTCCATCGGCCTGGCCCAGGATCCTGCTTTGGTCGAATGGCTGTGGGACAATCACTTCAGCGCAGTTGCTGCGGACAACCCTGCTCTGGAAGTGTGGCCACCGCAGGGCCAGCCTTTGCACGAGTTCCTCATCGCTCTCTGGGGCTGTCCCATTGGCGAGTTGTGGAACCTCGAAAAGCTGGCTGAGCTTTGTCGCGAGCATAAGCGCTGGTCCTTCTTTCTGACTTCGTCTCCGCTCAACATCCCTGGTGGCGTCGCTAGCCCGCCAAATGCCATGGCTATCTTCTAAGCTGTCTAACACTGAGCCAAGCTTATCCTGGTTGATGCAAGTCAAGTTCATCTCGGTTCAAAGCAGATGAACAGTACACGGGTCAGTCTGAACAGCTATCATTGTATTCATTGAGGACGATATCAAAGTACGATGTGGTTGCCGCAGGAGGCTTACTCGAATTTGAGCGTATTGCGCAACGATCCGATCTGGGTTATTGTGACCACGACCTCGTCTCCGTCTTGCAGAAACGTCTTCGGGTTCATGAAAAGACCCACTCCTCCAGGCGTACCTGTCATGATCAGTGTGCCTTGTTCCAATGTCTGTCCCTGAGAGCAGAAAGCCACCAGATCACGAACACCAAAGACCAGATCGCTGATCTCACCCAGCTGACGTCTCTCTCCGTTTACATACGTCGAGAGCGTGCTACCTTTGCAATCACCTACAAGCTTCGGCGATACCAGGTACGGGCCAACGGGTGCAAACTGATCAAAGCTTTTGCCGAAGCACCATTGAGGTCGCGATCCTGCTTTCTCCGGCTCGGTCTGCCAGTCGCGCGCAGACAGATCGTTACCAACAGTGTAAGCGGCGATGACATCCAACGCATCTTCCGGCTTGACATTCTTGCAGTCTTTACCGATCAATATAGTCAATTCGCCTTCGTAGTCCATCTTACCCTGCGCTATCTTGGGCACAGGAATCGCCGCATTGTGATCCGCCACTGCTGGAGCTGGCTTGATAAACAGCGTAGGATTCGTTGGATTAGGGTGTCCCGTTTCCCTAAGATGGGTGGCGTAATTGAGTCCGATGCATCGTACCAAGGGAACGTCGGCTGGGGTGAGTGGACCGAGGATTTTGCCTATAGCGACCTGTTTTCCGGTCGCACGCAATGAGAATGGGCCCTCGCCTTCGAGAAGTTGTGCGTGATCATCGCCTTCGTTAAACAAGTTGCCATAGCAAATGACACCCTGCTGATCGACGAAGCGAACAAGTCTTGTCCAAGGAAGTTCGAGCATTTCTGGTGCGGTGTGTTCGTGATAGTGGTGGTGGTGGGAGAGTCGAGAGGGGCAAGGTGTTTAGATACCTCCTTACTGCGCTGTTCTGGTGTTTGCACCCTCCTTCCGTTTGCTAGACGCATGTTGGTTGCTTCCTTCGAGACGGCACAGCAGTTGCTGCTGATGCGAACCATCGCACAAGCACCTCCTGCCGGGCTGACTCACGAGATGAGCGCCGGAAGGGGCTGTCAGACCTAGAGAGTGGCCTCGACAACCACATTAAGCGGTCACGAATTTTTTTTGGCATAGACCAGCGGACCACAACAGCAGGGCCCCGCAAGACAAGCGGCAGGCGCGACCCCACCACGCACAGCCGGAAGTCGTATGGCGGGTTGGCATCGGCAGTTTTGTTCAATCTGACTCACTGCGGTCTTGTCGCTTCCGTTACATCCGGTTTCTCCCACTCCGGAGAAGGGGCGATCGTGGTGATAAGCGCGCGGCTGTGCCGCCGAAGATAAGTCCTCCCGCAATGCAGAGGGCACAACGCTTCGTGGTTTCATCTACTTCAACTGTTCTGTCTGCTTTCACCACCACCGAATTTTGAACATCACCCGCCATGCTTCCCAAGGAGGATCCTCGCATCCGTATCAAGAGGCTGTCCTTTGTGGTCTACAATCATGCCGATGCCGACAAGGCACGCCAGTTCTACCTCGATTTTGGTATGGCTATAGTGCATCAAGGAGGCGGCTCAACATTCTTTGGTGGCTACGGGCCCGACCCTTTTGTTTATTGGCTAAGGAAGGCCGAGCCTGGCGATCCTTCTTCCTTCGGCGGCGCGGCTTACGAAGTTGAAGAGCGAGCTGAATTGGACAAGGCTGCCAAAATTTCGGGCGCATCAGAGATCCAACCGCTTGACGCCCCTGGTGGTGGCCAAATCGTCACGATCAGGGACCCTCTTGGCTTTGTTGTCCACTTCGTCTATGGTCAGCAGAAACGATCGGCCGGCGAGATCGACACCTTGCCTTCTGATGACAGCGATCCGGTATTGGGCCAGGTACTCAAAGATATCAAGAGTCGCGATCACGTTTACAACTACGAAGAGCCGGATCAGAAGCCACGCAAGGGCAAGTTTCTTCGTTTCAAGCCTGGTCCAGCGCCCGTTCACAAGTTTGGCCACTACGGCTGCACCTATCCAGCCGGTCGACATGACGAGGTGTACGACTTCTACACGCGTCACTTTGCCCTGGCCCCTTCAGACCAATTGGAACGCGATGGTAAGACCATCGTGACCTTTTTCCACATCGACCGGGGTCAGGATTTTACCGATCACCACTGCTTCTTCATCAAGCCGGCCAAACCGAATCAAAGCTGCTCGGTAGCACACTCTGCTTTCGAAGTGCACGACTTTGACACGCAACAGTTGGGTCACCAGCACCTCACCGCCAAGGGTTACAACAACTGTTGGGGCGTGGGTCGACACATTCTAGGCAGTCAGATCTTTGATTACTGGTTCGATACCAGCGAGTTTATTGTAGAGCACTATTGCGACGGCGATCTGGTCAACATTGAGACCGAAGTTTCCCATGGCCCGGCCGGACCGGATTCCTTGAAGATCTGGGGCCCGCCCGTACCAAACGTGTTCTGAAAGATTGGAGCAATCGATCGATTTTGGCATGTGTGTTTTGGGGGTGACTTGCCTCCGCGAGCCACAGATAGCTGTACCGTAGCTTCCTGGCACGCTGCAATTCTGTGTTCGTCCAGAGATGAAGGAAAAGAATCGCAACAGGAGGTGTGGCAGCTAGGCATCGTCTGTGTCGATAGTGTGGAGAAAGCACTGAATGCGCTGTGGCTTCGTAGGTGATGATGGCTTGGTGGTGGCAGTGCCTGTGGAAACAGCAAAATGCTGTAATTTTTGCACGTCGACGTGGGGGAAACATATTCCGAAACTTTCGAGCTGGACCCTGAACGACCTTTTTGTGCGGCTGTACCTTTCTTCTTGTCTCGTTGTCCCACCACCAACACAATCATCCGCGCTCGACGTTGTCGCTGATCAAGCCTGCACCATCGGGCGCTTGCCATCCACCAAGCATGCTGTGGCGTGTGCCTGCTTGCTTCCTCAACAAACGATATGGAGCTGTTGCAGTCCGGTTCGGGAAGTGCGGCTCGCCTCAGCATCAAGGGCCGTCGCGCACATGATGGTGTTGGCGGAGATGTAGCACTGGTCACGTCGCAGCAATGGAGTTTTTCCGTCGGCCAAACGACAAGACCGGTCATGCTATCGCTCTCTCAGATCGTTACTCAGTCAGGCTCCTCAACGAATGTTCAGCTAGCACCTCCAACGATAGCCCCGGCAGCGACGAGGGGCCTCAGTCTGTATCCGGAAACTACTGAGGAAGCAAGCACGTCCGTTGACGCCGAGATTCTGTCAGCGCAGCGCTTTTTACGCCAGCAGCATCCCGATCTCGATGTTCCAGATCATCTTCTGTCTCATCTGATCCACGACAATGCAGAGGCGCTCGAAGAGACTGGCCACGACCCCGACGGCTCCTTAGGTATCGCAGATGCGCAAGCTATTGCACTCCTCGGACCGATCAAGTCCCCGCAAGGACATACTCATGCCATCGTATGCATCGGCGGACACAATCGTGACTGCCTCTTACTTCATCAGCTCGTAGTCTCTGATCACGAAAATGATTGCCCTTCGTCGCCTCGACACGAACATGGACACTGGAGAACGAGCCGAACAGACGACGAACCAACATCAGCCGGTCCCACAAGACTACAATTTGTCCCAGCTCGACGACCGGAGCAGTGCTACCGCACGCCTATCTTGCAAATCTCGGCATCGGCGGACAGACAGCTTGTGGCCGTTCGCACCTTTTCCAGCACGACTCTGCTCGCCCTTCGTCATGGCGAAGAGCCGCACGGCAATCCGAGAGTGTTTCTCGAGACCGTCCACCAGACGCACTATAGTAGCAGCGGAAACGCCCAGCAACAGGATTTTCATTTCCATCCCACCATTCCCAGCCTCGCAGCAGCTATCGACAGGCATGGCAATCTCGACATTTATCGATTCCAGCCGGAAGAAAGGCAGACCCAACAGCCAAACCCAACGAGGGATCTATCAAGTCCAAGCCCTTCGCCTTCCGACCCATCTGAATCGAATGCAAAACGAAAACCAAACACCTTCCCGGCATCACCCGCTCCTGCTTCCGCAGCATTGTCGGCTGGCATATCAGTATCAGTCCATCGCGTGCCAATCGATGCGCTGACCCAGGCTATGAACGAAGATGACCCCGACGCAAGTTCTGACAACGAAGCGGAGGCTCATAAACCTGTTACCGACAAGACTTCTCTCAAAGCAAGTTTTGGACGAGACGATCACAGCGTCTTTCTCTTCTCCCGTCATGCTCTGCACCATGTCCGGCTAGCGAGCTCTGGTAGCGGGCCAGGAACGGAAACGCCTCCGTTCATCGATACTCTCATCCGCACCAGCCTTTGCCTGTCTTCTTTCAAACGCGCAAGACTTTTCTCGATAGCGACCACGGCGACAAGCTCGGATCATCAGCTTCTGGCTGTGTGTTCCTCCGATACCATCTTTTGGTTCGAAATCGAGGAAGCAGTGCAGCCACTCTTTTCTACCCCTCACCATCGAGGGGACGACCCAACTTTATACCTGACCGTACTACCGGGAACAGATGACAATTTGATCTTGTTCTTGTTGTCTTCTCGGCGCAACGATGTAGCGTCGTGCTACGCGGTGCGGACTGAGCCCGCGGAAGGACCTGGTGACGACCTCTTGGACGCCAATGCGTCGACAGACAGCCAATCGCCGCGGTTTAAGTATACACTCGATAGTGCTCCGACCCTCGTTCCCCCATTCGCTTCGTCTGCTCCAGCGATTCAAGAACGGGCAGCTCCGACCTCATATGTCGATGCAGCCCACATTCTCCAGCGAGGGGCGGCGTCGGGCTGGTTCGCCTTTGCACTCGACCACTGCGGCGCTTTGTGGAGTCAAAACCTGACAATGCCGTCAGACTCGCCTTCTGATCCAGCGTCCTCTTCAAACGCCGACTTCGTTCTAGAGGTGTTGCCACCATCGTCAGGTATGCATCTGTACCTAGCTTATCCTCAAGACCCGCTCCCATCAAAGAGCAAGACGGATGAGTCAAGCTTTGTCAGGACGAAGATCGTGGACCATCGGGAGCTTTGTCGCTCCCTGTTCGGATCCAGGGATGGTGGAGATGCTGCGAGACAGCGCAATGACAAAGTTGGAGACTACGATCGAGACAACCACCAAGCTGCAGCTCGTCTCATCGATTCATTTGATGATGCCCATCCGGGTTCAGTTGCACCACATGCAGCCATCCCATCCCTAGGACAACTGCTTGGTAGTCTCGACAGAGATGCTGACGTGGGCAAACGAGGCTTAAGAGACTTTGATCAGACAGACGGTGGAATGTGGTCTACCGCGCTCCATCGCGATGGCGACGATGGAGCAGAAGAAGCAAGAAGGAGGAAGATGCTCGACGCAAGGAGCGACTTCCGCCGAGCTCTTCCATCGCTCGGACAATCTGCCGCGCAAGCCCCCTGGTCTCGTGCAGCCACGTTGCTTTCCGAAAGTCCTTCGGACGGCTCGCTCAATCAGGATGGACATCCGCGTCATACGTCATCGCTCCGAGATGACATTCTTGAGCGAGCCTTGGGCCAGACCAATGCCAAGGTCCATGATGAGGTGGCGCAGTACCTTCCAAACCAGGAATCGGCAAAGGCATGGAGCGCGAGAGGACGACGCGCGCTGCAAGAATCAATCAGAAAAGCCTACCGAGCAGTGTCGTTGAATCTGGCTCTCGAGAGCGAACTGTTCGTGCGCCCAAAAGTCCGCATGTTGGACGAAGGCGCACCTACGCAGCGACCACAGCAGCGAGAGGGGACGAATTGGACGGCGTTCGAGCATCAAGATATCTACAACTTCGTCGAGGAGCAAGGTGACACGATTCCACCTCCTCACATTGGTAGCGTCGGTCTCTCCTTCTTTGCACCGCTCCGCAGCGGCGACATTGGAGGCTGGACGCCCGATGGCGGCCATGAAAAGCAAGGCTCAAAATCTCGCTTGGACGAAGCTGAGCTCGAGGCACTTCTGCCAAGCACATCGTCGACAGCGCGATTGCTGCTGGCCGAGTGGCAGCTTGGAGAAGATCCGACAGAGTACAACTACATGGACCCTTTCCAAGGCCTGCACAGACTGCCTCGCGCCAGTCGATTGCGAGGACCGACAGCACGTGCACGATCGCGGTCCTTCTCTCGTGCGTCTAGTGCATCTACCGAGGATCGATCCAGGAGTCGCAGCCGCAGTCGCAAGCAGTCGGCTGCTCCGTCCTTGTCACAGTCTGGAGTGTTAGACTCGCAGGGTCCGCCGTCATCCTATCCGCCTTCGTTGGTGGGACACAGCCAAGCAGCAAGTGTTGCCTCTCAGGCGCCACCGACCCTTGTGTCTCGACGAAAGCGCCAGCCCGACGCAACTGTGACTCGCTCCCAGCCCATTCGCGCATCGAAGCAGGCGTACGGACCGTCACAATCGACTCAGCCATCAACAATGTCGTCAAGAGCTCGCGAAGCATCTGCAGCAGCGCAGACTCAACCGCCGAGGTTCGGGTTGGCAGGCAGCTTCGGTGATTTGACTCCCACCGTCTCTCCCACATCATCGCAAGTGGGGACGCCCACGCAGTCGAATTTCGGCGCCGCGGCCACCCAGATCGAAGCAGGCCGCTTTGGTGCTCGACCTGCAAAACCGGACCGTCCGCCAAAAAAGAAGAAGCGTGCCAGCGGATTCTGACCATCATCATCAAGCTCGTGCAGAGTCCAGCATGCAAACATCATCAACTCTATCGTTCATCACATGCAAGCTCGCACTGTGAGCAGCGGCAAACAAGATTGGATCAGCAGACCATGTTGCAGCCACTAAGATTCCGTGGAAGGTGTATCTAGAGAAGTTGACCTTAGCCAAAAGAGTGTGAGGAGTGGGTGCGGACAATCCGGAAGCTCGAAAAATCTTAAACAATACATCTATCCCCGCTGCGTGAGATGTCCTGCTTGGCCCTTAGGGTTGTAATCTAAATGAATATAGGAACGTTCCACGCCCGAGATGTTCTCGGTACAGTAGGTGATGATCTCGCCAAGATCGTGCGACTCTTTGAGCGAGATCGAGTGCGGCAGCACAATGTCAGCCTCGACAATCAGATTGTCACCCGAGTGGAAGAGCTCAAATGCCGAGACGCTGTTGACCGAGTTGAAGCGCACGACGCAGTAGAGGCACTTTGAGATCTCGGTGGCCGAAGCGACAGCACCAGATAGCTTAGAGACGGTCTCCCACAGGGTCTCGATCCACTCGTAGATGATGTACACCGACAGCAACACACCGCCGATGGGATCGAGCGCGGGCCATCCTAGCTTGGATCCGACGATGGGAAAGATGAGCGAGGCAATGTTGAACACGACGTCGTTCTCGGCATCTTGCGCCACGGCTCGCACTCCGGACGACTTGGACGAGCGATAGAGAAGCCACATGACGGTCTTGATGCCGATGGTAGCCAGCATGAATGCGACACCGATGAAGGGAAGGCTGGCTGCCGAGTCCGGATCCTGTTGGCCCGTCGACAGAACGGAACGTAGACGACTGGCCGATTCGATAAAGACCTGGACGAAGGAGGCGATCATGAGGACGGAAAAGATGACGACACCGAGCGGCTCGAGACGCTGCTTGCCGACGGGGTACTTGTAGATGGTCTTCCACGACCGGTAGGCGATGGCTTTGGAGGTGGCAAAGATGATGATGGTGGACAAGAGATCAAGGGCGCTGTCGACGAGAGAGGCGATGAGCGACACCGAGTTGGACGAAAGGACCGCAAAGCCTTTACCAGCCAGCAGAAGGATGTTGACGATAAGATTGATGTTGATGGCGAACTGGACAGAGCGAGAAAGCTCCTCCTCCTTGGCACGGTTGGGAACAGTGCTGAGCAGCGCCAGCCTCTCTTCCTCCTGCGACGCGTAGGGACGATGGTGGCGCTCACGGCTGTAGTCACGGTCCAGGCTGCCTTTATCGCGTGAAGAGTGGACCACCTTGGTGCCTTGAATCTGACTCGCGGTCATGTTCGAGATGTCGTGCGCTTCATGTTCTGGGATGTTCTCGATTTGGCTGGGACGGATCGTGTTGGCCTTGGAGGCGGATGACGAGACGTCCTCGGCAGGAGTCTGCGCACCACTTGCTAACGCCGGGGAATTGGCACCAGAGGATAAGGCGAGCTGAGACTCTGAGCGACGAATCTGCTCGATGCGTCCCTCACGCCGAAGTTTGTCATAAAGCTGACCAGCGCTGGATGCCGAGGTCGCGCCGTAGTCACGACGACTCGATGACGGTCGGGCGGGGTTGTTCGCCGAAGGAGAGCTCGACAGAGGCCGAGCAGAGTCGCCGATCTGATCTGATGCGTCCTCGTCCTCCTCCGTGGCTGAGGCCAAATCGAAGGCTTTGCCCTTGAACGGGCGGCTGTCGTGACGATGGGGGTGGGATGGTCTACCACGTTCCAGGTCGTCTCTGCTTGAAGCACTCGGACTCCCTGAAGCGCCGAACCATAGACCGCTGAAGGCATCGATGGCTTTCGCACTAAAGCTGCGCTTAAGGGAGCTTTTGCGTCTGCCCCTTTCCTCTTCTTCCTCGGTCTCCTCTTCGTCGGAGACGTTGCCGTCGCTCTCTACGGGCGTCTTGCGGCCGTTCTGGGCGGTGCGATCCCTGTTCTTGCGCTTTGGCTTCCTGGTCGATTTGGACTTGTGATGCTTTTTTGCGTGCTCATCACTTTGTTCCGTAAAGCGTCGCATGACCTCGTCGGGAAAGCGCGAGTCGAGGATCTCGTCTACTTCCCTCCAGCCGTCGAGAGTCTCGTTGAGACGTTCATAGTAGTCGCAAACTGCCGAAGCTTTGGACCATTTGAAATGCTTGGTGCGATGCTTGATTTCTTCTTCGCTGACGCGGTGGTCCTCGTAGTAGTTGGAACGGTAGTCGACCAAGTTGGCGAGAACCGAGATGTTTCGAACGGATTCTGCTCTGTCAGGAAAGCCGTGGCCGTGCCTGCTGATCATAGCTCTGTAGTTGTAGGCAGAGGAAGAAGGAAAGCCATGGGCAGGGGGGGCCATGCCAAAGGATGAGCTTGTCCTTCGAGCATTGTCAGTGTTGGAGCTGGAGTAACGCTGATAAGCGTCGTCACCCTCGGAGCTATCTTCTTCGAGGCCGTTGCTGGTGTCGGCATAACGGTCGGCCTGATTAGACTCAAAGCTATCTCTGAACACGTTAGGGTCATTGGTGTGCAGGTCGGGATGAAAGCGGACCGAGGAGGAGAGGGGCGCAGAGTGACCGTTTGCAGCGGGCGGCGCAATGCGATTGCCGACGGGCTCGGATCGTTGCGAGGATGCGGGCGGGGCATCGATCGGCCTACTCATGACCAAGACGGCATGGACCACCAGCGGTCCGATCGGCTGATCCGTTTGGTCGGAGGATGGATGGACGAAAGCCTGAAGCGGATGATGTCCGATGGGCAAGCTGGGATGCGTCTGTCGAGCCCACGTTTGTTCCGTTCAAGCTGAGTTAGATGTAGCACCTCTGCAGCTGCATTCCTCTGTCCACGATTTGGGTCGCCCGCTCCAAACACCAGACGTTCATGCAGATACGAAAGCTTGACGAGATTCCAGATGCATCAGCGTGTTAGGCCTTGCTCGCTCGCACGGGCAGCTGATTTTCAGCCAAGTGTGGAGCTTTCGTTTGTGCTCACCGGCTGCACAGCACGGCATTTGGCTGTGGACGCGTTTGTAGGAGAGCAGCGAGAGTGAGAAAGCAGAGAACAACATCTGCGAGGGAAAGTTGAACGAGACCCTGAAACCTACCTCGAATCGCTTTCAACGACACTGGCAAGCAACCATCTATGTCAGCGCCATCTGCAACACTTCAAAGCGCTCATTCGGATCCCGCGACAGTGTCTCACATTACACACAAACCAGCGCTGACTCTCTCCGGGCTCTTGGAGAATCTGTCGAACCATCCGGCGTCGGCAAGTCCGCGACATCACCACAGAGTTCACCCTATCGATCGGAAGGAGCGATAGGCTCTTTCAAACGCAAACCACGCCTTTCGTGGCGGCAGGCAGCACCGCTCAATTGCGGACAGAGTCGCCGATCCACTTGCGCCCAAGCTTTTAAACGTCTGTCAGCACCTCATCATCGCATGCTATCCGAGCAAGGTAACAGCTCCGAACGTATACAGAATGCAGACCGCCACTGCCTCGGCTTCGGCGACCGCGGCGACAGCGACTGCACTCACACCGCTGCCAACACCCAAGGTCGACACGGTCGCCGATGTATGGTTTCAGCGAAAAGGCGAGTCCAGCTGTCGTCGAGGCGTCCTCCGCATTACCGCCCATCATCTCGTCTTTGAACACCAGACAGCGTCGACGACCGAAACTTCGCCACGGAGCATCTCGATACCGTTATCACTCATTCTCAAGGCCACGCGAATCCCTTCCCTTCGCATCGTATCACAGCCAGGCGCGCCTTCGCAGCGGATCTACCCGCTGACACTGTTCCACAAGACCTTTGACTCGGCTGCTTTTGCATTCCATTCAGAGCAAGACCAGCTCAACGTCTTTGACAGCCTCAAGGACTGTGCCGTCCTCACCGATATCAGCCAGCTATACGCCTTCTATCATCAACTGTCACCTAGAGTTGCTCCATCCCAGCATAGTCTGGCCCGCATCTATGATCCAAAGACAGAATTCGCTCGTCAAGGCATTGGCTCGCGCTCCAAGGCCTGGCGCTTCACCGACATCAACTCGCAGTATGCCTTCTGTGCTACGTATCCGGCGCTCATGGCTGTTCCCTCACGCATCAGCGACACAACTCTCAGCTATGCAGCAAAGTATCGAAGCAAGGCGCGTGTGCCCGCTCTCACTTACCTACACTGGGCCAATCACGCGTCCATCACTCGATCAAGTCAGCCCATGGTCGGCCTAAAGAATGCGCGCTCCATTCAAGATGAGAAGCTCATCGAAGCCATCTTTACTTCGCACCACTTCGCCGACCCGGAATCCATCACCGCCAAGGCCGCCGCCGACGCTTCCAGCGGTGCTGCTGCGTCTACCTCTGGCGCTCCCGCAGTCGCCACCGTCTATGGCGCAACCACCACCAATCTCATCGTCGATGCTCGTCCCACTACCAACGCTATGGCCAACGTAGCCAAAGGCGCCGGGACCGAAAACATGGAGTACTACAAGGGATGCAAAAAATCTTATCTCGGCATTGAAAACATCCACGTCATGCGCGACAGTCTCAACAAGCTCACCGAAGCGCTTCGTGAGAGCGAGCCGATCGCAAATTTTGGTATGCGCGTCGAGGCGTTCGGTGATGCCTCTGCCAGCGCTGCTGTGACAGATGGCACAGGTTCCGTCCTTCGCCTCAATCCGACACCTGTCGATGCAACCGCACTTCGAAAATCGATGTGGCTCAAGCACATCCAGTCTTTGATGGAAGGATCCATGTCGATCGTCCGCAACGTCCACATCAACAGCTCTCATGTACTCATCCATTGCTCTGACGGCTGGGACCGCACCTCGCAGCTGGCGGCCATCGCTCAAATTTGTCTCGATCCCTATTTCCGCACCTTTGACGGTCTTGCCGTGCTCATCGAGAAGGACTGGCTCAGTTTTGGCCACAAGTTCACCGACCGCAGCGGCCTGAAAGGTTCGGACCGTTACTTCACCGTCGCTTCCCGAAACCACTACCCAGGATCCAACGAGGACGAAGACGATGGATCCGACACGGACCCCGACACTGACAAGGCCAACTCGGGAGCAGGAGGCGGCTTCGACTCGCAAGCCGCGGCCAATGCCTTCTGGGGATTCACAAAGCAGCTCACCGCCAACTTCTCGGCTGCGACATCCAGCTCTCCTGCAGGTCCCAAGAAAGGATCCAACATCAAGGAAACTTCGCCCGTCTTCCATCAGTTCCTCGATTGCATGTGGCAGATCATGCGTCAGTTCCCCGATCGCTTCGAGTACAACTCTGCGTACCTCGTCGAGTTGCATCAGACCATCCACCAGTGCAAATACGGCACTTTCCTCATGGACTGCGAGCGGGAACGTTTCAAACCTTGTGACCACGATGGCAGGCCGCTGCCTCCCGTCACTGCCCGCACCGTCAGCGCGTGGACCTATCTCCTCCATCCGGACATGAAGAGCAAGCATCGCAACCCGAAATACAATCCCGAGCTCGACGATCGCGACCCGAAGCGCAAAGGCACCGACATGGGTGTCCTTATTGCCGATTCTCGCGATGTTCGCTACTTTGAGCAGCTCTTCCAAAGAGCTTTTGGTGACATGAACGCCTACCTCGACAAAGAGGCGGACGAGAGGCGGCGTGCTCGAGAAAGGCTCGAACGTGCCGTTCGGGGTGGTGATGCGCCAAACGCGTCAACGGATGCGCTCAAGGTCGCCGATGCCAATGGCACGTCAGTCGGAGGCTCGAGTGCCAGCCCGGTGAGAGTGCCCGGAGGAGGCGAGCTGGAGAAGGCGAATGCAACCATTGCTGTTGTCGGACCAAACGATCCAGATCCAGTGCTTGACCCGCTCGCAGCGGCCGGCGCAGGTGACAGTGTCAATATGCCAAGCAAAGGTCTCGCCACTTCGCCTGCGCCGGGTGCAGTCGATCTTGCAACCAACGGCCAGGTCGACCCTACTCGTCTTTCGTATCAGGCTAGGCAGCCAAGGAATCGTGTGCAGCAGACAGCAGAATCCTCCGCCACAAGTTCAGCTGGTGACTCTCCGACGGCGATGTCAAACAACGCCTCGAGCGCCGCAGATGCAGCAGCCAACCGAATGAAGAACCTGTTCATCGGCGGATGGGGACGACTGCAAGAAGCTATGGCCGCCCCTGCATCCGAATCGTCACCACGCCCGCAAAACTCTGCTACAGTGGTGCAGCCCCCCGCGAGTCCGACGAAAGAAAGCAATGGCTCAGCATCAATATCTCATCAAGGTCCATTGGGTAGCCGCAACGAGCGTAGTGGCCCAGCTCCGGCGCAGGCGGTCGCAACACCGACAGCGCACAATCCGTGGGCTGCCAATGCCAACATGCGTGCCGAGATGCAGCGCGAACACGTAGCGATGCGTACAACGCTGAGCAGCGCAGGCGGACGCTCGCCGTATGCCGGTCGTCCAGGGTACGGAGGCAAGGACAGGCAGCAAAGCTGGAGCGGGTCCATCCCCTCGAGCGGCGGTGCCCATCAGACACCTGAGTCGACGGAAGGCAAGGAAGACAAGCAAGGATCGAGTAACACCATGTTAGACCCGCTCGGCGTTCTGTGAGGCGTGATGCTTTCCGTATCGTTCACCTGCGCGGGTCGCTGCCGTGTCTCGCAAGTCTAGCATTACACGATGTCGGGAGTGCATAATGGAAGCGTGTAGCAGATTGCAAATCTGAAAGCTTATATACAAGAGCGAATGGATCCGTGACTGACGATCGAAATGAGGCACAAGACAGATTGCCTAGAAGAGCTTGTTGTACAAAATGAGAAGGATGAGAAGCACGAGGCAGACGACGATTCCTACGGTAACCAGTTTTTGCTGTTTGGCCCTGCAACATTGTGGAAGGTTGGCAAAAGGTGATTTAGAAGCAAGTGTCAGCGATTGTCTTGTCACGCATCAATCAGCTAGTCATGAGTGACTACGTACCGACGGATCATCTTGGACAAAGTCTTGGAAGAACGGTCGATGCTCTGATCCGCTTGTCGTAGTGTGTCTCTCGAATTCTCGATCTGCTCCCTTTGACTTCGGAGATCACGGAGGATATCAGCGCCCAAATCTTCTGTCTCGAGAGCGAGACGGTTGGATTCTTCGAGCCTTCGGGTTCCGTCTTCGAGCGAGGCGGTGCCTTGCAACAACCTCTGACGATTCGCCGTGGCAGAGTCGGCGGCTTCGAGATCCGCATCGTCGTCGGCGTAGGCAGGATCGTAGGCTCCGCGTGACCCACCCGAGGATGACGAGAGACCGGATCGCACCTCCTTTGTCAACGCTTGAACCTCTTGCTTGAAGCCTCTGATCTGTACCGAGTAGCGTGAGCGTACGGATTGCGGAAAGCCCTGCACTTCGATATCCATCTGAGAGATCACCTCGTCAGCCTCCTCGAGCTCCATCTCTGCCCTTCGCAGCGTCGACTTCTTCGCTTCGCCATTCTGCGACTTTGCCTGCTCGAGCTTCTGTCTGATGCCCTGCTTGAGTTGGTCGAGATCGGATGCGTAGCTGTCGAAGAGCTCGGACATGGTGGAAGGTGTAGCTGCCTATGTAGCTTATTAGGTCACCGTGGCGGAAGTTGTCTGAGCCGGAGTCCAAGTGTTGGAATTGAGTAGCGATCAACAATGATTTGAAGTAGTCGAGGAGGTGATGCGATACTGCCGATGGAACGGATGGCCGAATGGAGAGGCGCTATGGATGATGGTGTAGAGCGTAGAGCCAGCAGCTTTGCAAGGGTTCAACACAGAGAGAGAGAGCTGACTGCACGTTTGGGCCCAAAACCAGCCTCGACTACGCACGCACACACATGCGCCATCACGAACTCCACCTCGGACCAGAAGGAGCGGAGGCGCGTGGGCAGTGTCACCATCTCAACGCGGCCACTCGACCGCGTGAATCCAAAATTCTAAATCATATTAATATTTTATTTAATCCACATTCACTCTTGACATTTTGGGAACTTACAGATTCGAGATTGGCTGGAATCCGTTCGGTGCGGTGCTAACTAAATGACAGGGGTGTATAGACATCTCAATGTGTTCGGTCTAACATCTGGGGGTTTAGCTCAGTTGGTAGAGCGTTCGCTTTGCACCGCTCTCGAGTAGTTGTTTTGTCTTCTGCGAAATGTCGCGTGTTCGACTCATGCAGTCTCCAGTGCCCTTTTTTGTTTAGGGTTCAGGTTGGCAGTCTACGTGGTCGCAGGACTGTTGCAGCGTGCATTTGCCGGCAGATCCGCGGCGTTTTGTGGTAGAGAGGCCTGTTGACAAAAGCAAGCATTGCGTGTTGATTTAAGCACGATGCGGGAGCTGGCACAGCCTCGGTACGCTGCACACGGATAGCCACGCTCGCAGAACGATGTTCGGCATCGCCTTGGATTGTTGCTCATTTTCTCACAAGCCAGGCTTGAATAATTGCTGCTACCACCTGGCCGGCGGAACACGTTTCGAGCGAGGTACTACAGTAAGAACGTTGCATGGATTGCTGCGTGTGTCTATTTCGAGCTGACATCCTATCCGCGGAAATGACTTTCGTTCTCGGCTTTGCTGAGTTGCTGACTGACGCGTTGGCGCATGCGTCTCCTCCACTTACTTATCGACAAAGAGACACACAAGACAAGACCGCAAGACAGACGAGAAACAGCTTTTCGGCATACGATTCAGCCGAATCTTCCAAGCGAGCTCAGGGTGTGTGTACAACGGTCAAGGTTCCAGGAGCTTGGTTGCTCACCCCTGCCCGGCTCGAAAGAGCATCGCAAGCGACGCCATTGAATCTTGAGCACGTTCTTTACGCTGCATTCTCGTGCATCCTTTCCATCTTTCCTCCCCTTCACGTATCCAGTCAAGAGAGATCACTTCGAGGTTCCCTACTTCTACATCCGCAATCTCTCAGGCATTGTTGCAAGACCGGACGCAGGCCGCCGCAACAAGCTACGTGTCCTTGAGTGGGATCGAGGATCGCTTCGGATGCTCAGGTCGATCGACTATCTGCGTCGTCTCTCCCAAGGCACACGATCACCTTTGAATCGCAGCTCAGCATCCAGCTCTCTTGCTCGTCGTAGTCAAGTACGATTCCTCCGAACGCGCGCCCCGCAGCTCCTTGCCATCAAGATGCCAACAACGCACGCGCCTACGTTCTCCGCTGCCGGCGAGTCGATCTCGTCGGGCACCACTACGCCGGAGCTCTCCAAGCAGCAACAGCAGCGTCAAGCATCCGTGCTCACCACACAGACTGCGCCGGCCTCGCCTGCATTGCGCGCGACACTGACTCCGGACGCTGCTGCGGTGCCGGCGTCCGCATCCGACTCGGCTCTCGTCTCTTCGAATTCGCCGATCAAGGCAGCAGCAGTGGCGGTGCCTGTGTCGTATGTAGCGCCCCCCATCCCATCCAGCATCAAGACGTCTTTCGCCGCGTGGTGGAAGGCGAATCCGGTGCAAGATGCTGCTCATGCTGAGCTACACCTCTACCGCTCTACTGGCTACTTTGACGGCGCATCGGTCAACAACGTCATTTGCGAGAACGAAGAGCTCCGAGACGGCAAAGGTCTCGCGAATGGCCTCGAATGGGCCCAGCGAGCCAGCTCGGCCGATCATGTCGTCGACAATAACCACGCTTCGAGCTCTTCCATCGGCTCACTCTTCCACGCTCCCAAGTTCTGGCCATTCCATCGCAGCAAAGAGCCTTCCACAATGACCATCGGCCTCACACCCGCTGCCGACGGCAAGATTGGCTGCATCCGTCTCGTCGATCTCGGCTCTGCCGACACGGTCACTTCAACCCCGAGCAAGAGCCTGCCAGGTTCTGCCAACGCCTCGCTCACTTCTTCGCCTGCCGTTAAATCCACGGCCGGAAGCAACCTTCCGGTACCTGCTGATGCCCCCCTGGACGAGCCAATACTCAACGACAACCTCGAGCTGACTCCGACACCGCAAGACGGTGTCAAGCCCTACACACCGCCCTCGGGACGCAAGCTCAACATGCTAGAGATTGGCATCCCCTACTCGAAAGAAAAGGAACAGCAGATCAAGAGTGAGACCAAGATCGTGCTAGCGCACGGCTACGGAGCAGGCAGTGCTTTCTTCTTTCAAAACATCAAATCGATGGCTCAAATACCCGATTCACGCCTGTACGTGCTCGACTGGCTAGGGATGGGTCGTTCGTCGCGTCCCACGTTCCACATCCCTTCGAGCGAGACCAAGAATGTAGAGTCACGCGTGGCAGCTGCCGAGAGCTTCTTCATCAGCAGCCTCGAGGACTGGCGCGCCAAGATGGGTCTGGAAAAGATGGTCTTGGTGGGACACAGTCTCGGCGGCTATCTGTCGCTTGCGTATGCGCTTCGCTATCCCTCACGGGTAGAGAGGCTGGTCCTTGTCAGCCCCGTCGGTATTCCCACGGCGCCGCCCGAAGACGAAGCGGCAGCCGCCAACACATTCAAGCCCAAGAACAGGAGTGCCGTGGAGGAGGAGATGCGTCAGCCGCAAGAGAATGTGGCGCCCAAGTCTGCTGCGCAAGAGCTAAAAGACACAAGCACCGCCAACGACATGGCGCGAAAAGCTGCTCAGAACCGTGCAGGCGGTATCATTGAAGGCAACAGCGGCGGCGCATCGTCAGCCGGTCAGCCTCTTGCCCGCTCAGAGACGATGCAGACGGTCGACTCGGCCAAGGTGCCTCGCTCTGGTCAGTCGAGTCAACCGGAAAAGGGCTCCCACGAGCCGCCCCGCTTCTCGAAGCGAATGCGATCCGTGTTTGGGTATCTGTGGGAGCAGAACGTGTCGCCGTTCGGAATCTTGCGTGGATCGCTCTTCTTCGGTCCCATGATGGCCGGACGATACACGTCTCGACGCTTTGGTGCATTGCCGGACGACGAGCTGCGGTCGCTGCACGCCTACTGCCAGAGCATCTTCCTGAGCAAAGGCTCGGGCGAGTACTGCCTTGCGCACATCCTAGCGCCGGGTGCCTACGCGCGTCGACCCATGGTAGATCGCATCGAGCGTCTCAAGATGCCCATGAGCTTCCTGTACGGCGAGCACGACTGGATGGACGTACGTGGCGGCAAAGAGGCGGTGAAGCGTCTGCGCAAACAGGGAAACAGCAAAACTAACTGCTTTGTGGTGCCGAACAGCGGCCACCACATCTACTTGGATAATCCGAGCCCCTACAACTCGCTCATCGCCAGGATCCTGCGCGGCGAAGCTGATTCGTCGTCAAAGTAGGCTGGAGTCTTAGCCACAACAGCTTTCTTATAGAGTACGCCGCATTCTGAACAATTCAACCCACCCATCTCTCCATCACCTCGTCATGACCTGCCTTGCTTGAAAGATTGCAACTGTTTTTAGCTGGGATTGCAAGGAGGACGCTGAAATGCCATGCGCATAGGGTCGCATCGGCTATCCACTGTAGCCTCGTCGCAGGCCATGCACGGCGTTGTTGGCTGCCAGCGCTACGATCTCCACACAGACAGGAATCTCCGCCTTGACCGGAAAGACGGCTTCGGCCATCAGCTTTGGAACTGAGCCGCATCAAATTGTGCTCTGCTTCGGACTGGCGACCGATGTCCAATGTGACTTGCTGTGGGGAAGCGAGAAAGAGCAAAGCCGAGAGGTAAGGGTAAATCCGAAAATCACATCGGAACAGAAGTCACGCAGACTCAGGCTCGCGAGTGCTGTCAACCCAAAATCAAAATCGCCGGAGAAGCCGAGCTGTTGAGCGTGTGCCATCTGGTCAAGTGGGGAAGAGTTGGGGTCGGCCTCTCTCCCTCTATCGGCCGCCTGTTCTCGGCAATACGGCCCTGAAAAAGGTTAAAGTTGAAATTTGTGCCTTTTTGATTGGGTCTTTGGACGTTCGGCCCTTGGACCTTGGGCCTTGGACCGGACAGGCCAAGTGACAAATTGGACCGCAACCGGATCGGCATTTTTGTGACTTAGGCACGGGCATACTACACTTGTGACGCAAGAAAGAGCTCTTTCGGCCAGTACCACCTCGACTCCTTTGCTCGGTCCACACGAATCGTTCTCAACCGCTACCACCATCGCACATCTGCGCCAAGCTCGCTGACGAGGCGTCGAATCTCGCAGCTATCTCCTCGGTTGACCGATCATCGTGTCGTTTCAAGCTCTTGAAATCGTTCCCCGGTCAGACGGCCTTGTGCGTCAAATTTGCTGCGCTGAATTTCGGACGACAGTTGCACTTCATCCCCTCGGCGGCCGACTCAGCAGCTGGTATCATCCTTTCAAACGACGGGCAAGAGCCAGGATATCGACCATAGCTGCCTCAGGGCTCAGAGCTGCCCACCATGACGAGCAACCAACCCTTTCCGGCGCCTCCAGTCGAGATCTTTGTCGACACACGAGGCGCAAAGATCATGGAGGACGGTGCCTCGAGCCCGGATCAGCGAGACAGCCGCGACATCTACCTACCCAACCACATCGAGGCGGTATCTCACATTGCAGTCGATGTCGGAGGCTCGCTCGCAAAAGTCGTCTACTTTACCCGCTCGCGCACCAGCGAGTCCATGCCATCGTCACCCACCATCGGCTCGCCAGTCCATCCGAATGCGCCGCTTCCGCCTCTCGCCGGCTCCTCCTCGACGCCCAACACACTGTCTCCTAAGGCCAGCACGTCTAGCTTTCGCTCACGGCAGCCCTCCGCCAATGGCGCTCTCCCCAGCGGTTTCCGCACACCCCCTTCTCAGCACGATCATCCCATCGCCTCCGGCACTTTGACCCCCACAGCCATTCTCAATTCTCCACAGATCAGCTCAGCCTCCGCTTCAGCTATTCACTCGACGCTTCTCAAGCGCCGTTCTCTCCCGGCAGCACTACCCGGTGGCAGGCTCAACTTTATCAAGTTCGAAACCAGCGACATCGACAATTGCATCTCTTTCCTACGCGAGCTCATCGAACGTTCGGCTGCAGCCAACGGTGTTTCAATAGAAGACATGCGCAAAGGTGTCAAGCTCATGGCGACAGGCGGAGGCGCGCATCTTATGTACGACCTGTTCGAGCAGGAGCTTGGCATAGAGGTCAACAAAGAAGATGAGATGGGTTGCTTGATCACCGGTCTCAACTTTATCACCCTTATACCAGACGAAGTCTTCTGGTACTCGGACGAGCTCGTAGCAGCATTGCATTCGCCGCTGCCCCAGAATCCAGAAGCACGAGCAGATGCGCAGGCGTTGCGATCTTCTGTGCCACTTCAGCATCCGCTACCCCGCCCTTCACCGAATCCGCCGCTCTACGCACCTGTTTTTGACTCGCATCCTTCGCCAAAGCTTCCCTGTCTGCTCGTCAACATCGGCTCGGGTGTCTCGATCATCAAGGTCGACGACTTTGGCAAGTTTGAGAGGGTCTCGGGTACTTCTCTCGGAGGGGGCACCCTGTGGGGTCTCCTCTCGTTGCTGACCGAGGCAGAAAGCTTCGATGAGATGCTCGAGCTCTCGGAGCAAGGCGACAACGCAAATGTCGACATGCTCGTTGGTGACATTTACGGATCTGTCGGCCTCAACCATCTCGGCCTCAAGAGTTCCACCATCGCTTCCTCATTCGGTAAAGTTTTCCGCAAGGATCCAAGCTCGTCTGCGCCACGAAATGCGGGAGAGCGCCGAAAGAAGTTCAAGTCCGAGGACATTTGCAAGTCTCTCCTGTACGCCATCTCGAACAACATCGGCCAGATCGCATACATGAATGCCGAAAAGTACAACCTCGACCGTATCTATTTCGGAGGTTGTTTCATCCGCGGTCACCAGGCCACCATCAGCACCCTCTCGTATGCCATCCGATTCTGGAGCAAAGGGACCAAGCGTGCCTTCTTCCTGCGCCACGAAGGCTACCTCGGCGCCATCGGCGCGTGGATCAAACACGTCTCGCAGGATCCCGCCTCTTCTGCGTCCAACCTGCGTGCCGTTGCGCAAGCTATGGGCGCTGGCATATACGGTACAGGGGCAGCAGGTCGATCGACACCCTCGGTACCTTCGGGCTTGGGTCGCTCTGTGTCGCCGGCATCGTCCTCGGATGAGCCGGTCAATTGGGCACAGATCCAGGAAGCAGCACTGCAGCCACCGGTTCTCAACGGCGATGGATTGCCCGAGCCAGCTGTTACAAAGGGATCAGCGGTACTCACGAATCCTCTCTTGGCGCATCTGCAGAATGACGAGGCCGCCTCCCAACCAGCAGACAACAAGACGCCGACACAAGAATCGACGCAGCAAGAGAAGCAGCTGGGCACTCAGGAATCGGATCTTGACTTTCTCAACGGTCTGATGTCTCAACAGAGCCAATCTACGCTGTCGCATTCGCATCAAGCAAATGGCCTCGTCGATCCGGAGGAGCCAGACGAGGAGGATGATACACTTGGCAAGGACGAAGCAGCCCAACTCAACGAGATCCTCACATCGCTCAAATCACTTCAGATACCCACGAGCGATGGTGCGGATCCGGCGGTGGCGCAGTCGGAGCGCAATGAGATCCTGAGCCTGCTAGCCAATCTCGAACAGACGGAGCACGTGGTGGGTGGATTAGAGGGCAAGCTCGACAGTCTGCTCTCGTCGCTCGATTCGTTGATTGCCAACCAAGAGGCTCAGGAGTTGGCTCAGCAGGCTGTCAACCGCGCAAGCTAGGTGCAGCTAGACGTAGTAGAGGAGAAGTAGCTATGGAGCTCGACACGACGCTCGATCATATAGTACCAGAAGTGCATTACACATACTTGCGCTCAGCAGCGTCGCATGCCATGAACAATGCAATAGGCTCAGGCTGGTGTGAGCACAGCCGTCCAAACATCCATTGATCTTGTCCTTCTGCCAATCCTTCTGTGTGACTCTTCTAGAGCGTATCTTGTTGCCTGCACTGAGCGTTGTAGTCTTTGCACGGTCTCGTTACCTTTCGCATCGAGTCTGGCTGCTGCATCAGCGGCTTCTCTGGCCATATCAACCTCCCACAGTCCGTCTTGAAGTTTCTCAGCGGGTAAGAAGGTCAGCTCGCGCTCCACTTTCCAGCCAGCATCGCTGGTGATCTGCTTGATCTGCTCGGGACTGATAGGTAGTTGCACATTGCTTCCCTCCACAGGTGACTGTCCTTGTAGCAATGCGGCTAGAAGGTGTGGAAGCGCATCGGGATGTGAGGCGGTCATTGCCCACTCTGCCAGCAAAAGACGTTTGACACCCGCCTGCCTGATCGCTTCGAAAGTCTCTTTGAGGACTTGGGTGGAAGGAAAGTACCACAAGCTGTGTGCCATCACAACTGTGTCGAATGGCGTTTGTGACGTCTGAAGCACTTCAGGCCCAGTCCTGCCAAGCATAAATGAAAGATGATTCTTAAAGATCGGCTTTTGGGAAAGCTCCCGTTGCGCTTGCTGGAGGGTATAAGGTGAACCGTAGTCGGCTCGAGCTGGATCCACGCCGACGATCCTCATTGGTCTTGCTTGACTAGGTTCAAAGCGCTCGGGATGCGTGGCTACGAGGAAAGCGAGCGCTCCTGTAAGATCGCCCTGACCGCAACCGAGATCCATCACAGCGCCCGAGAGCAGGGCGTAGTCTGTACCTGCAGTATCTGCGACGTTAGAGTCGGAGGTTGAGGTTGTGGGATCGGCACCAGTGAGCCAGGCGTAGATTACATCGAGACGATGCGACGACTGTATTGTTTGAACACTGTCTTGCTTCCCGCGCGACGCTTCCGGCTGGATATGGTACGATGCCAGCTCGGCCGCTTTGAGTTCGAAGAGTGCTTCTGCTCGAGTCTGCGTCATGGCGATAGGGTCGAGTACGGAAGGCCTTGCAGGCGTGTTTAGCATGAGCCTCCTTTATATTCTTGCACGATTTGCCTTCCATCCACAACTTCGTGCATGACAGGAACGATCGATGACTCGAAGGTGCCCGCACACGGAGCGGCTTGGTCCGCACGTTGACAGCAATCAAGGGTCTTGTCAGTAGTACTGCAGCAAAACGGTTCCGCGGAGGTGATCCAACATTTTTGCGGTTGTTCTCAGAACAAAAGTTGGTATAATTGTGATCAGAAATTGGGGTCACAAAAATCTGCTGTTCACACAAGCGTCGCCAACGGCTCATTTTAGTGCTTACCGCATGTGGCGAATTGTCTGCGTGGTGGGTCGGAAGCGCTCGTGCCGGCTGTCGGACAGGTGTAGCCGCTGCAGCGAGGATCAAACAGGTCCATGATGGGTCGAAGAAGAGGAAGAGGTCATAGGAGGCTAGCCCAGCGTAAATTCGAAGGGTTCGGACGTGTTCGGCCACCGGCAAAGTGAACCAAGCCGGAGGACCGGCTGCAGCTTGGACCCAAGTTTGGCAAATTTACCCCACACTCAAATACATCACTCGTGCACGCCTAGACACTGCAAGCGACTTCCACCATCATCACCCTCTCCTCCCCATACGACCACGCAACAATGACATCACCTCGACCCGCACCCGAAACACTGCAGCCGCAGGACATCAAGCAGGAGCGTGCAGCATGCTCGTTCAATGTCGACACCATGTCGTGCATCCTGCCTGGATCCAAGGCCGAGCGCGATAATGCACGATGGCTGCTTTCGCTTCTCAAGAGCGATGCCGATCGCACATTCGACAAGGAGGACCGCGTCTTTCAGTCGCGAAACGAGCGCTTCCTCAAGGGCCAAAGGGTTGCGTTGCGCTACTTTGAGATCCGCAATCGTCACGGTCTGGAGAAGAAGGACGCGGATCTGCTTCGATTGTACACGGACGAATACCTGCCCATCCAGGTGGCTGAGAGCATGGCGCAACCCACGTTGATGCGACAAGCGAGTCAGGAGCAGTGGGCTGAGTGGGGTCCCTTGGTACGATCAGGTAGGTGGCTGGGTTGCTACATGCAAACCGAGCTCGCACACGGCTCCAATCTCTCTGCACTTAGAACCACGGCAACTTTGGACCTGGACAAGGACGAATGGGTCGTCAACACACCCGAACCTTCTGCAGGCAAAGTGTGGATTGGTGGAAGCGGTCTCACTGCTACATACGGCGTCGTCATGGCCAACCTCATCATCAAGCAAAAGTCGTACGGCATGCATCCCTTCCTCGTGCACCTCCGCTCGCTCAAAGACCATACGCTTCTGCCCGGTCGACGCATTATGGAAATGGGATGCAAGCTTGGCGCACCTGCGATGGACAATGGCTACATCTGCTTCGACAACGTTCGCATCCCTCGAAGCAACCTGCTGCAACGCTTCCAGACCGTCTCGAGAAATGGCGTCTACGAAAAGAGAAATGCCGCCGCTCAAGTCATGACGCGCGGCACCATGACGCTCGTTCGAGTCGGGCTTTGCGAGATCGCAGCCCATCATTTGGCTCGTGCTGCCACTATTGCCGTCCGATACGCTGTCGTTCGCCGTCAAGGAACATCAGCCACCAAACCTGACCAACTCGAACCAAAGATCCTCGACTACGCCTCTGTGCAGACTCGCGTGCTCACTGCCCTTGCCAGCGCTTACGCCATCACTTTTGTCAGCCAACATCTCAGACGCATGTACAACGAGATGATCGCCGAGATCGAAAATACGGGCAATAGCGGACTGCTGCCCATCGTGCACGGCTACTCGAGCGTGCTCAAGGCGGTGTGCACCAACGAGTCGCTTGCAGGCATCGAACGGTGTCGCAGGAGCATGGGCGGTCACGGCTTCAGTCAGGCATCTGGCTTCGACTTTGAACGCAATCAGCCCAATGCCGGTCTCATCTACGAGGGCGAAAACTCGATGCTGCTTGCAGGGCCCTCGGCCAACTTCTTGATCAAGCAGCTCAATGAGACACGCAAACGCAACGGCAAAGCTGCTCGTCCTGAATTGGCCTACCTCGAGCTGATCGCTGGGGCGACATCGGCGGGTGATGCCATCTCAGGACGCGCGCGGGCAATTGGTGTCGAGCAGATTGAGGAGCCACAGGTGTTGCTGGATTTGCTCGCCTTCAGATCAGCACTTCTTGTCGAAAGACTTGCTCAGCACCGCAGCAGCACGCACAATTCGGATGACGGAGTACACAAGCACATGGACACCAACCTGGCTGTTCGTGCATCCAGCGCTCACGGCGCCTACCTGCTCGGCTACGCGTTCAACGACCTCGTCCAGCAGCTCAAGGCTTCATCGCCCGAATCAACCAAGGCACGCTTTGGGGTCACCGTACAGAGCGCTCACGTAAGCGCGCTGGACAAGCTGCTTCGATTCTACCTTCTGCAGAACTGCATTCTGTCCCAGGAGACGCTTGGCGATTTCCTGGAAATGCAGCTGCTCACAGGTGCTCAGTTGGACAGGCTCAGACAGAGCGCGGCGAAACTGCTTTCCGGGCCAATCAGGAGAGACGCGCTAGGATTGGTCGAAAGCTTCGACATGGATGATTGGTATCTGTGCTCGCCGCTGGGTAGTAGCGATGGCCGTGCCTACGAGAGGATGATCGAATGGATGAAGCTCGAGCCACTCAACCATACGGGTGAACGAGGCGCGAGGGATGAAAGGGGCGTGGTCAAGGGATACCACGACGGAATTGGTCGCTTGATTCGCGGCGAAGCTGTCCAGTTCACTGAAAAGGCAAAGTTGTAGGCACATCAATCTCGGCTCCCGAAGAATAGCAGATCGATACCTCTACTCTGCACCGTCTGTTGAATGCGCCGTGTAGCTACGATGATCATGCGAGGTATGGCGAGGATTCAAGACTGAACATGAGAAATCGGGAGATCGGGATAATCGGTGAAATGAACGCGTCAAGTCATCGATCCAGCTAGAAGAAAGAGTCCAACTGCACGTCACCTCGGATGTGCCGCTCGTCCTGCGTCGGATCAACCTACAGTCTCCTTCCCACGTTCATCCCGACAGACACGCAATCGTTACCGACGGTCCATCGGAATCAATCCGCCGTCGAGTCAGCGCCAGGATCTGCGAACTATACCCTTCGTTGTCAACACTCTTTTCACTCACTACCAAAAGCAACCGTGTCCGCCACATCAGACACACAGCTCGTAGTTTCATCATCCGAAACGGCGAGAAGGGCTTAGCGAACCGACACAGCAGCACAGGATCCCATCGCTTCAGAACGCCAGTATGACGGTAGATGCGGCGCGGGCCTCCTCATCCGGAGCGACACTCCCTACCGACGATGATGTGCAGATCGCCTTCCTGCGTTCCATCGCGCTTCATCGACCAGTGGGCCCACACAAGCACTTTAAGATGCTTCCCATCATCGCAGACACACAAAAAGCGCTCGATACCCGTTACGAGCGTCTATCGGCCAGGCTTGAGAAATTGGGCTCCGCAGCACCACCCAGCAACGCGCCTGAAAGGAAAGCCAAGCCATCAACCTCCACCGGCGCTCCAGCCAGCAGCTCGCGCATTCGACGTGGAGCAGCTCCAGGTCTTGGTCATACACGCAAAGGCTCACGCTCGCGCTCCACCAGCGTTGCCAGCTCAGGTCCAATGGAAGATGACGCCGACCGAACCGATGACGACGCAGAGCAGAAAGAGGAGGAGGAGCGAGAACGACAGCAAGAGACTGAAGAGACGCGACTCGCCATAGCAGAGCTTGGCCTCGATCGCGTCGTGAGCTCCAAAATGATCTGGAACGAGCTGCACGACCTTTTCGACCTCGAGGCGCTCGACGAGATGGAGGAAGGCGCCATCTTTGACTCTTCCAGCCAAGCGGGTACCAGCACGGATGCAGGCGACTCGAGCAATTCCGATACCACACCACGCTCCTCACCGACCGCCTCCAAACGCAAACCGAACACTCTCAGCGCAGAGAGCAAGCCTGGCTCGCTCTCCGCTGATGTGCTGTCTAGATGCGTGTTCGAACATCCTGGCTCTCCCGACTTCCATGCAGACGGGGCGCGTAAGCCCAGATCGAGCTCAAATTCTCAAAATTGGATCTACGGCGACGACATTCGAGGCACTGGGGATGGCATGTCCAAGCGTGATTTCTACCTGTGGCCATGGGAGGACTTTGAATCTTTGATCGCGGAGCGCCGCGTCGCCAAAAGCGGAGAAGAAGAGAAGGATTCTGCGATCGATCGTAAAGTCTCTGCTGCATCAGAAGTCTCGACTTCGGAAAAGAAGACCAAGCGCCCAGCCTCTCCCGTCGCCGATGCCAAAGCTGAAGCAGAGGACGAAAAAGACGACGGCGACGACGCGCAAGAAGAGGAAGATCTTTCGGACCCCGACTCAGATGCGGATCTTTCCAAAGATTCAACTCCCAAGCGACGCTCTACTCGCCGCGGACAAGATTCAGCGGTTGAAAGCAGGGGCAAGTCCAAGCGCGGCGAGGCACGCGACACAACTGAAGTGCAAAGCGAAGACGAGCAAGCCGGCAAAGACGCTGCTGACGACGACGACAGCGAGTCTGTCGAGGAGAGTGATCGCAACGAGCGGGTCCTTACTCGCAGAGGTAGTCGCCATGCACCTACACCGCTCAGCCGCGCATCGCGCCAGACTCCCGCCGGTCGCAAGAGCACTTCCGGCAACGTGACGCCCACTCGTTCAACGCGTCGCAGTCGTCGAGCAGGCAACGACGATGTCTCGGGCGACGAATCAGCCGGAGAGGAGAAAGTGGATGCTAGCGACAAGGACCAAGAAGACGACGAGGAAGAGGCTACACAAAGCGAGACGGAAAGCGTCGCTCGTCGTCGGTCTAGCAAAGCGCAAGCACCAGCCTCGGCACGAAAGTCGACCAAGAAACGAGGTGCACCCTCGAGCGACGAAGAGGATGCAGACGCACGACCTTCCGTACGTCGCCGCAGCAGTCGCAGGGCGTCTAAGTCGGACGACGTCGAGCCAGCTGAAGAAGAGATTCAGGACGAGGAGATGGCGGATGCCAAAGAAGAGCAAAGCGAGGCAGGCAGCGAAGCCGGAGATGCGAGTGGATCAGAGCGGGCAGAAGGGGAAGCTGACGAGCAAGAAGAAGGGACGGACAACCAAGAGGACGGCGACGAGGAAGCCGCGTCTGACGAAGCGTCCAACGAGGGCGGATCGGATGAGGAAGACGACGATGAGGCTGGAACCGACAGCGATTCCACCCCCGGGCGTCGAGGTCAACGATCTAGCAAAGGTGCCGCTGGTTCTTCTGGTCGACGCAGTACCGGCGGTGGAAAGGCGAGTCGCTCTACGCGCGCCTCCGTCGTCTCGCGCTCCAGCGCAGCCAAAGATCCGGCACCTTCGACGCCAGCCAAGCAGACTCGATCGAGTCGATCATCGGCCACCCCTGTCGGCTCGACCTCGCGAAGAGGAAGTGGCGACAAGCAAACGACCTCGACGCCGATTCCTCGCACACCCGCCTCAGCAAGAGCCGCAACGAGAAGCTCGGCGTCCGTGGATGCTCGCAGCACTCGACGAACGCCTCGACGCTAGATCAGCGCGAGAAAACCAAAATGACATGTTCCTCCATTCAATGCAGACGAACTTGTCGCGTCTCACGACTGAAACCTTCGTATGACCCTCTGAGTTGAGCAGCAGGAGAGAAAGGTGGTGAATTCCGGCACAACGTGACGAGGTCTGTGATAGTGTACAAAAGGCAAGAGTCGGGTTCATGGTGATCAATTCATAGCGCTACCTTTTCACGGCCGTCGTTCTGCACCCTCTGCCTAGCGTCAGCCTCCTTGATGTCCAACCCAGCGTCGATCCACTGTTTGACATAGGCGTCCACCTTGTCACCGGTCTCCTGAGCATTGACACTCCTACCGAAAGCATCCACGAACTTGCCCTCTGGATCCATGAGGTAGAAAAAGATGCTGTGATCCACCAGATAGTCGCCCATGGGATCGGCGCCGGGCGGGGTGCTAAAGTACACCCTGTACGCCTTGCAGGCCTGCTTGACCGCTTCGAACGTGCCCGTCAACCCGACCATTCTAGGGTGAAAGTCTTCGATGTACCTCTCTAGCTGAGGAACGGTATCGCGAGCTGGATCGCAAGAGATGAAAACAGGGTTGATGACCTTCTTGCCGTACTTTGCGTCGATCCTGTCGACCACTTCACCCATCTTGTCGAGTTCCTCCGGGCAGATGTCTGGACAGTTTGTGAAGCCAAAGTAGACGAGAGAGAAGCTGCCGAGCAAGTCCTCATGAGTGAAAGGATGCGATGTGGAAGTGATCAGGTTGAAAGGACCGCCGATGCGTGGACGACCCACTTTGGCAGATGCGGTCTCGGCTTTACGTCTCTGCTCTACCTTTTGCTTCTCGGAGCGGAAGTAGTAGAGCAGACCAGCGCCCGTCACGAGGAAAAGGAGACCCGCTTTCAGGTTGAAGGGTCCAATAGCGAGCTTATCCTTTGCTGATTCTTCGCGCTGGGAAGAATAGAGCCGATGATTGTGAAGAGGTGCGACAGATGGTGCAATGCGAGTCGATGGTCGGATGGTTTTCCGTGAGAGGGATGAGATACCTCGAGTGGTGAGCTGCTGCCGCTGCTGCGATCGGAGCAGCGCCGATGAGGTTCGCATTGTGGCGGATATCGCGTTCATCTCGTGTGATCAAGACGATGACGAGCGACAGTGATGATGTAGAGGTGACAAGCAGAGATTAGGCCAAGAACTAGCGATGTGCTGTGAATCGTCGGAAGCAGCCGAACAGACGAGGTGGAGGAAAAGTCTAAAAGATGCGCTTTCTTCTCAGCCCTTTCCACTTTTCCTATTGGTTTTGGTAGAACCGGGCACTAAACCTAAGGTAAGCGACGAATCTCGGAAGTCGGATTGATCACACAGCTGAGCGCAGCCTGCTCCACTTGATCATGCTTTCACTCTCCTTCTCCTCCAGATACAACTCCCTCCAACACCATCACCTCAAATCGGCTTTTGCATCGCAAGCATGAGCAGCAAGAGGCTCAATAAGCGTCAGCTGCGCGAACAGCAGGAATTGGACGAGCTGGCCGACGCCCCAGTGCCAACCGCATCCTCCTCTGCAACATCCAAAAAGTCACCGTTCCAACAGTTGGACGACTCGGACGTCAACCCAAGCAATGATGAGGATGACGTGGACAGTGAACCAGCGCATGCATCAAATGTTAGCAGAAAGCCGACGACGACGTCGCTGTTTGCTGCGCTAGGCGACGGTACCGATGGGCAACAAGACGCCGATGATCAAGATGATTCAGAATCAGATCATGACATTTCCACCCAACAAGCGTCAAAGAGCAGCAAAAAGAAGAAGAACAAGAAAAAGAAGAAAGCCGCCGCAGCTACTGCTACAACGGAGGAAGGCGCCGACGCAAAACTCCATTCAGAAGACCAACCCACAACGCAGCAGCACAAGACAAACGGACCTAGCAAGAAATCGTCGAAGAAGAAAGCTTCCTCAACTGCGCCAGCCGCCAACGCTGGCTCGAAAGACGTCTCTGAGATGTCCATCGATGAGTTCGACGCTCTTCTTGCTTCGCAAGCTTCGCTCAATGCTGCGAACACCTCGAATAACACTGCCCGCTCTGGTTCGACCGCACCTTCGACACTCAACAGAGTCTCTGCGTTCCGCACACACCTCAGCCTCGACCCTCGCAACCTCGACCCGGCCATCGAGCTTCGCCGTCAATTCGGGTCAGCAGCCATCAAAGCCTACCAGAACGAAGCCGACTCCAGCGGTCGAGCCACTTCCGGCGCCCGGGCAAGAGCACAGGCCAACAACCCCAACCTCAAAGTGCGCTCCATACTCTGCACACCAAAGGACCACTGGCCACCCATCAGTCGTAGCTTTACCGGCATGAGCATGGACGTCCTCGACTCTCGCTCCCACGGTCGCATCTGCGCATGGAAGCACAGCAAAGCCTACCGCCAGGTACAGATGCAGTTCCTCCAAGCGGTGCGTAGCTACGACCCCAACGCACTCATGGCGTTGCTCCGCGTCTACCCGTATCACATCGACACGCTCCTTCAGCTGTCCGAATACTCGCGTCATCAGGGCGACTTGGGCCAAGCAGCCGACTTCAACGACCGTGCGTTGTTTGCACTCGAACGCTGTGCCAGTCCCTACTTCACATCGTGCCTGTCGAGCACGACCTCCGGTCCACCTCTGGTCAACTTCAACAAGATCGAGAATCGTGCTTTCTACATGGCTATTCATCGCAACATCGGCTTCTTGGGCAGACGTGGAACGTGGAAGACCGCGCTCGAATGGGCCAAGTTGCTGCTGGGGCTGGGTCAGGATGGAGAGGACCACCACGCGGCGCTGCTGTGGATCGATTTCCTCGCCATCAAATCGCGCCAGCACAGGTGGCTTTTGGAGCTCATCGAAAGGCTCGATGAGCAACGATCGCGTGCCTCCGCGGCGGGAGGAAAAGTCTCGCACGTCGACGAGGTCTCCGTCCCGGCGAAAACGATCGTCGACGCAACCGACAAGGAGCCTGCTGGAGAAGGTGCAGGATACAATGGCACACTGGACTGGTGTGTCGGTCTCGCCTACTCGCGCGCCCTCGCTTTCCGAGCTGTCGAAAAGGAGGAAGGCGACAAGACGCACACCCGATCCAACTCGGCTCTTCGTCTGGCCATCGCACGATTCCCCGCCGTCGCACCCCTGCTCTGCAACAAGGCCGGTGTAGAGCTGCCATCCAAGATTGCCGGTCATCCAGCTTTCCAGCTCTCGACACGCTACTCGGGCTCTTCGGATACGCTCGCCGACCTGCTCACGCACATCTACGTGCTGCGATCCGAGTCGCTATGGAAGGAACCCGGGTACGGCGAATGGCTTCGAAGTACAACGATGTCTCTGTCGGACGCGCTCACCGCTGACTTTGATTTGAGCGAATCGAAACGGAAAACGCAACCTGCGTCTGCGTCGCACAACACGAGACAGGGGATATACCGACACGTACTGGTGTCAGATGTACCCGATACGACGAGGCAGCAGCTGATCGCGTACCTCCCACCGAGCATTACGGGCAGCAGCGAGCAGATGGACGCCTTTGATCCCGTACCACCGCGAAGCGCTCCACTCAGCAGCAGCTCTGGCGGGGATGCGGAAGCAGACGTGGATAGAGAAGTGGAGACAGTGACGAGGTACGACGACGAGTACTTTGCGCCCATCATGTCGGATCTGTCCTCGCGAAGCCGATCCGCTGGTGCTGCAGGTGGAGGGCAAGCGGGCGGCGGTGGAATGATGCAGGCCTTCCGACGCGCGTTGCAGGGTCTCGGCGGAGTGCAGGGCTGGGACGCGGCGATGGAAGCGATGGACGACGAGACGAGGGAGGACGTGATGGCCCAGGTGATGCAGATGGCGCAGGCTGCGCACGGCGACGGAGCTATTCCGGGTGGGTTTGGCGAGGAGAACGACGATGAGGCCGAAGAAATGGACGCTGCACGCCCGGGAGCCTTTGCTGCCATCCGCGCTGCGATGGATGCGATCTGGGGTGGCGGCGGCGGCGGCGCAGAGGCGGGTCAGGGTGATCACCAAGGTGAAGAGCACGATGGCGAAGCGGACCATCGAGAGGAAGAATGATTCGTCGATGCTCAGTATCTCTCATACCTCCCACAAATGTGCAATGATCAACACGACTTGCTTCAAAGCAGCACAAACAATCGCACACCAAGCTGTCTGAAGGAAATGTGCATGTGGTGTTGTGTGTCTTGCAGGTTTCTACGGTGACATGTTCACTGCATCGAGTCTACATCTGAAACCTCCCCTCTCAGCCTCTACCCTATCCTGACCCCCTTATCCACTCCCTTCTCACGAGAACATCTTGCTATACGCAGCGCGCATCCCCCTCAGCTTCGCCTCCTTCCGCCTCGCCACCGCGGCCAACTCCCTCCTGATCCCCGCATCCTCCGGCGCCTTCTCCGCCGCCCTCTTCAAATCCTCCTCGGCCCGCTCATCGTCCTTCTGGGCAACGTACGCCAGGGCTCGTCGGTAGAAGGCCTTTGCGAGATCCGACTGTTTCTTCTTCTGCTCCGCGTCCACGGTTGCGTTGGATTCCCAGGTGGCGGGTTTGGCGGCGGTGAGGGTGTTGATCACGGAGGTGGAGTTGGAGATGGCGAGGGTGGGGTGGGGAGGGGTGGTTTTGAGGGCGCAGAGGGAGAGGTTGAGTTGGATGCTGGCTTTGAGCGTCGTGTAGTCGGTGGAGAGTTGGGGAGGGGTGTCTTCTGGCAGGACGGGGTTGAGGTTGAGGTAGCGGAGCGATTTGAGGTACTTTTCCATCGCTACTGCAAAGTTCCCCTTGGCAAACTCGGCGTTCGCAATCGCCTTTAGCGCATTGCCGATCTCGTACGTCTTGGCAACATCACCTTCCAACGAAGCGTCTTGATCCTCCGGAAACTCTTCGTACACATCACCCGTCGAATCCGCCTCGATCCCACACCCCTTCTCCACCTCCTCCTCACTCAACTCCCCGCACGCCACAATCTTCACATCCTCCTTCGGTCTATCCCCCGAATCCGTCTCTACACCCTCCACCCTCCTCACCACATTCTTCCCCCTAATAACCCTTCCGAACACCACATGCTTCCCATCCAAATGCGGCGTCGGAACCGTAGTCACAAAAAACTGACTTCCATTCGTATTCGCCCCTGCATTCGCCATACTCAGCAGGAAAGGTTGATCGTGCTTGCCCGTAAGATCTTCATCTTCGAATTTCTCTCCGTAAATGCTCTCGCCTCCGGTACCGTCCCCGCGGGTGAAATCGCCTCCCTGGATCATGAACTTCGGAATGACGCGGTGGAAGATCGAGTTGCGGAACGAAAGTGGTTGACCGGTAGAGGCAAGTTTGGAAGTGTTGGTGCAGAGGACGCGAAAGTTCTCGGCTGTTCGGGGTACGAGGTGCGAGTAGAGCTCGAGGACGATCCGGTTGGAACCTGGTCGAGAGGCGGAGGTGGATCCAAACGCCAAGTCGAGGTAGACGACCGGGTTGCCGGGCTTGGGCGTGACAGATTTAGACATCTTTGGCAAGTGGTTTCGAGTCCCAAGTGATGGTAGGGAGGAAAGAGAGAGAGGTCAAGGCGTTGAATCAAGGGAAGAAAGAACAACACCCACTCTCCTTTCTCGCTTAAAAATCAAAAGCCTTTCTCGCACTTTCAACGCTCCGCTTTTCTTCGCACGCACAGACCTGCTTCCAGCTCAGCCTTTAACTTCGCGCTCTCGTGTGGGTTCGATCGAAACCTTACATTCACCACCAAATCAAAATCGATGTGAACCTTCATCTAGTGGTCGCAGCACATCCGATGTTCGCATCCACCAAGTTATCTTTTTCAGAAGAACGTCTGATCAAGCTTAGATGAGCCGAAAGCTTGAAAATTTACGTCGGATGGCGCTCTCGGGATCCAACTCGACGACGCACGGACATTTCTGCAACAAGAGCACCATCGTATCGGTATCGTCTGATGACGGCCACGAACTGTATCAACTTTTAATATCAAGCTCGGTCCGCAGTGTAGACTCCACCAAACGCTTACATGATGCAGCAGTCTTTCTTGTCGTCCTTGTTCTTCTTCACCTTCTTGCCCTTGAGCTTGTTGCCACTGGCGCTGCTGGTCTCCTGCCTGTGTCCGTACAGATCGTCGATCACCTCGTCGTGCACTGCCTCTGCCGGTCTCGGGTCTGCTGCTGCCCCGCTGCTGGACTCGCGGTGAGAAGCGCGTCTGACGAAGGAAGAGAAGCGTGTCTTTTTCACCCGCGATGGCGCACCGTCGGCACCTGCGTTTCCTGCACCAAGTCGGGTCGTATAACCATCATGTTGTGGCATGCGGAGCAGATCCACCTTCCACACTCCACGAAGCGAGTTGCAGAGCCAGACATGAGCTACCCCTGAGTCGACCCGTCCGACAAGTTCGTCGAGCGTTACGTCCTCCTCTGTCACCAACCCCTTACCTACCAGCCAGTGTCTAAGCAGACCGTCCAGCATGCCCGTCTGCGTTCGCGGTGTCACGAAGCGCGACTCGCCTCCATCCGCGCTGACCTCTTCCACCAAGACGTTGGCCAAGCTCGACTCGGTCACCAGCCTGGTCGGCGATGTCACTATTGCACTTGATCTATCTACCACTTGCTCCATTTCGTCGTTCCACAGAATCACGTCGAAGCATTTCCCATCCGTTTCGCGCATTCCACTCAGCACGCTTGCATCGGCACCCACGCGCTGCTTGGCCGCTTCGTAGAACCCACGTGCATCCGTCTTGTTGAACACGATCGGCTCCAAGTCCATCGTCCGCACGCGTGTCGGTTGCAAGTCCAGTCGCACGCTCGGTGGTCTGTGTACCCTCGCTCCATCGTTCAGAGTGCTCGGGAACGGTGCGATGGTGCGCTGGGTCACGTTGATCGATCCATCCCGTCGAATCGCTACACGGATTCCTTTGACTTGACCCGGTGCGCTGTCGCCGTTTGCGTCCTCGCTCAGCTTTGATTCGATGGCGGCCAGGATGCGTTCCGACTCCAGCGACCTCTCCTGCTCCAGCAACGGCATCGACCACACTGCAGAGTAAGCCCGACATATGGCACCCGCCGACAGCTTCAGACGCTCCAGATGCTGCTCGAGCAATGGAATGTGCTGATACAGCCGGTGCTTCTCTGCGTGAGTATTGTTGGCAAGGAACGGGTTGGTTGGGTGCGCCGCGCTTGCTGTGGATGCAGCTGTCTCTGTAGCATTCAGAAACGGATTCGTCGACTGGCTCGCAAGAGGAGCAGCTGGTTCTGCAGCTCCGATCGACAGTCCTTGCAGTCCGTCCAGCAGCTCCGACTGGCCGCGTTTCATTTGTGGCGGTACCAGGCTCGATACGACCAATGCATCCGCTCCGCTCGTGCTTGGCTCTGCCTCGTACCGCATGGTGGTGAACACCTCATTCGGCGTCTCAAACACCGGCTCGGGTGCGGGTGCGGGTGCAGCTGCTGCGCCGCGTTGCTGCCCTGGCGCCACTCTCGACTGCGCCCCATTTTGCTGCGACTGTGACGGTCTGTTCCGCCTTCTCTGCTGGTGTCGCTCCAATCGATCCTGGTCGTTGTGGTAAATCTGCATCGCCAGCGCATAATCGGCGTCTTCATTCTGATGAAACCCCGCGCCTCCCGCTCCCGCCCCTCCCAACCCGTCTGCATCGCGTCCCACGTAGTCGCCTTGCCGCAGCGTGGACTTGTGAAACTTGCCGTCGTAGAATTCACTGCTTGCGCCATCCACATCCACCAAGCTCTCCCATACGATCTCGTCCTCCATCAAGAAACTCGCGTCCGTAGCAAGCGTGAACAGGGTCGGCGGCGGCGACAGAGGAGCGGCACCTGAAGCTGCTACCTCCACGCCTTCGTGAGGTAGCCGCTTGTATAGCACCGATAGATGCGAGTTGCGAAACAGTGCTACCGGTTGGCCTGCAGGTATCTCTTGAGCAAGCACGAACAGACCTTGGTACGTGAGCTGGGTCGACTGCGTGTCAAGGAACGACTGCAGAGCCAGCGCCTGGCGCACGATCGCTCGCTGTTCGTCTGTCCAAGCCAGACGCTCCGGTTGCTTGCCATTCGAAGTATCGCTCTGGCTTGCCAGCTTTGCCGCCAAGACGCCGACCCCACGATCACGAACAACGGCACCATCGGCCACCTCGTCGCCCTTGACCACAATGTCGGTGGCTCGATTGTAGCTACCTGCTGCTTGGACAGCCTCGTAGGTGTTTGCGTCGGCAGGATCGGGGAGCCAGCCGTGAACGAGCTGCACGCCGCACAGCTGGAACAGGGCCAGCTCTCCGGCACCTCCATCGTTGCCTGCGGTTGCGGCGAAGGAGGTGATCGAGTCGAAGCCAACATCGACGTCCAGCCCGAGCTGAGTTCGAGGCAAAGTGCTGAGCGCCGCTTCGAGTCCTTCTCCTCCGTGACCTTGGTTGGTGACTTTGGTCAGCAGATGCTCGGCGAGCAGCTGACTCAAGTAGCTGTAGCTGACTACCGGTCGATCGGGAGGCGTGATCTGCAACTCGCCGTTCAATAGCAGAATATTGCACAGAGCGATGAGCGAGCAGGGTCCATTCTGGTTTTGGGTGATGATCTTGCAATCACGCCCTTGCCAGAGGATATCCTTGAGCGACCATTGGGCCTCGTCGTTTGCTCCACTCGCCGGAGCTTGAGCCGGTTCTGCTGCTGGTTCGGATGACGATGCGCCGGTCATACCGGGTGCACCCTGCGTATGAGATGGCTTCCCGGTTGATGTCCGGCTGCCAGAATGATTATGGTGGTGATGGCGATGATGTGGTGTAAAGGCGGCTGCTGCTGCGGCTCCGGCACCACCATCCCCTCCGCTCCAGCCGCCAAAACCTCCACCGCCGCTTGCACCGCCGCCATCCATGTTGCGCGCCTAATTGCGATGATAGGTCTTTCGAGTACGTATGGATCAGAGTCAGCGCCGACAATGACTGCGCATGCGATGGACTCGGGGCACAGGAAGATGATGTGGATGGAGGGAGGGACGGAAGGAACAGCCAAAAACATGCGTGTTCAGGGTCCAATACACGCCGCGCACAGACTCGCTAAAGCACAGCCTCGCTTCTTGTGTGCGACACGCCAAGCGAAGCTTTCCTCAGCGCTGTCTTGGCACGGAAACTTCGCTCCTTGAAGTGCACAGCGTTCGGATCACTCTTCCCGGCCAGCCCACACACACAGACCATCAATATGAAGATTCCGACTCCTCCTTTGCATGCAACTCATTGAGTCATGATTGGAATCGACTTTGAGGAACATCCCCACCGCTGCTATCCCCAGCTCCCGCAGCAGGACCATTCGCAGTGAGATCCGTGACGCCTTCCATGACACTCACTCCTCCCATCAGTAACCCAATATCCAAGTCGCTCAACGACGCCGCTCCACCGGCGCTTCCAGGCGAACTCAGTCCGGGCGATACCATGGGCATACCTCCTTTGCCAGCCAGCTGATTCTGGAAGAACCTGCCCACGGTATCGGGCGTACCTGCTGCGCTAAAGGCAGGCGACATGTTGGTGCCGTTGCTGTTGAGTTGAACAGCTTGAGGTGTGGTGCCGGTAGGCTGAGAGAGCCAGTCAAAGTTGGATAGGAAGTACTGCATCCATTCGTCGCGCTCGTTTGCAAAGCTTTTCCCCTCGACGGGTGCTGGCTCAGATCCCATGGCCGCTGCTGGAGAGGTGGTGCTCGACTGAGGCCTGTAGGTTGTGCCAGAAGTAGTTGGGGTGGGACCGAGTAGCGACGAGACAGACAGGTCGCTCGGTGAGCCTCTGTGTCCTCTAGCTTCACCGTCCAAATGGTTGGGGAATGGGTTCCGGCGCAGAGCCCCCGCTCCGTCTTTGGCGCCGCTCTGACCGTCAATTTCGATGCCATCAGCATCTGCTGATGCTGTGCCGCGCTCAGAGCTGGTGGAGAAGGTGGACGTCGGACGACTGATGCCGACCTGAGATGCTCTGCCGCTTGCATCTGTAGCGATGCCCGTCGCGTGAGCCGTACCATTGGCCGACACAGTGCTAGCTGCAGACCTGCCACGTGCTGCGTTCTGCTGATCGTGCACCTTTGAGCTGGCCGACTGTCCTGCTGCTGCGCGCACTACCTGTCTTGCCAAAACCACCAGGTCTCTTGCCTTGTGCAGTGAGGCTGTAGTGCCGTGATCGGCGTAGATACGCTCCTTCTTCTCGAGGTACTTGATAGCCCTGTCAATAGCTGCGAGGTAGCCAAACGCCAACTCTTGATTGCTTGGCTCGCACAGAATGGCTGCCAGGACTATGGTACAAGCCGAATCGAGATAGAAGCTGCCGAAACGCATGTTGTCCAGACCGGGCCGTGGCATGTCGCTTCTCGCGTTCGAGATGGCGTCGATAATCTGCTGCCCAGCACGCGCAGACGTGTGCGTCTTGTCCAGCACGCTGCGCGGAATATCGGTGCCGATGGAGCGGCAATAGAGCGCAAAAATGACGAGCGGGCTGTGAATGAGCAGACGCAAGTACCACCACAGGATAGTGACAGAGTATCGTCGCACCACCAGATCGGACGAATCCGAATCGTCGTCAGCGTCGCGATTGAAGCCGTCGCGCAGCCCGATGGCGAGCTCTTTGGGAGCATCGTGTCGAATGCGCAGCATCTCGGCTTCCATGCGTTCCGAGGCGAGCAACACATCGTGTGCGTTGGCTGGCGGGTTGGCCGAGAGCCTGCCCATGTCGGAACACACGCGTGCAATCTGCGCATAGACAAGCAGATAGGCGTCGTACGAGTTGTCCGGCTGTGGCAGGCGTGCCGAAACATCATCGTCGCGGATGGCAGAAGCCTGGCCGAACCACGTCGAGATCATCCTCTCGATGCCGTAGCAGGTCCACCAGAGCTGCCGATGCTCGGCGCTCCGTGGATTGCCCGGGGAGTGAAAAGTCTCACGATGGAGACCGATCGAGATGCACATGCGCGCTGCGTAGCCAATGTACAGGTAGGCAACGTTGGGGCTAGACCACTGGAGCGAAAAGAAGCTCATGAGGACGAGACATCGTGCACTCTGGATGCTCGAATTCTCGACAATCTCTTCGAGCCGCTTCTTGGCGAGCAGGAACAGTGTTGTGGCGCACGCGATGGCGCCTTCTCGGGTCAGCGATACCGGGGCAAAGCAGTCCTCCCAGTCACCTTCATCCATCAAGGCACCCAGCGCGAGGACGACATAGAGTGCCGCTAGCTCGTTGGTACGCATAGGAGCGGGGCCAGGTTTCTGACCTGATTGGCCCGGCTGAAGCTTGCCCTGATTGCCTGGGCCAGAGGCAGCCATGGAGGGGACTCCAGAAAAGCCGCGCGAGAGGTGGCCGAGCGCTTTGGCATCTTTGACCCATTTAACGATCTGTCGTTTGGGAACCGCGCCTAGCTGGGGCTGGATGAGGGTCATGTAGTTCTCGATGAAGCGGTCGACGATGGACGGAGGCAAAAAGGTCGAGTCTCCGACGGCTTCTTGGCAGGCATCGAGGGTGGGAAAGCTCTTTTCGGATGGCGACTGTCGAAAGATGATGTCCTGGTGACCCCAAATCTTCATACTTTCCGGCAAGTGGGAGCGCCGATTTCTGTCGGAAGCGCCGAGAGGTGCGTCGTGGCTTCCATTAACCCGTGATGTGCTGCTGCTTGCATGCTGATGCTGTTCGCGCAGTCTGAGTGCTTCGACCGTCTGTGCCAAGCGGTGCTGAAAGTTGAAATTGGAGGTGAATCCGTAGAATTGCATGTTGCCGGTGTTCTGATCGTGAGCACGGATGCCGTCCTCGGTGTGCAGATCTGGATCGTGATCTGTAGGTTCATCCTGTTCGACCGAAGCGTACAGCTCGAGGTGATGTTGCACATAGCCCGACTTGCGGCTATTGTTGGACCGCGAAGGCAACCGATCGCCCCATCGTCGGTCGGCAATCTGATCGATCATGGCACGCTTCTGCCGCTTTGCAGCTCGTGCCTCTGCGACAGCATCGGCGGCAGAAGCGGGAGCGGAGGATGCGTCGTCGCTGTTGGCATCATCGTTGTCGTCCCTTGGTTGCGACGAGCGGTTGGCGTTAGGTATGGATGAATTTGAGCCGGTTCGGCCGATGCGCTTTGGCAGCGGAGACTCGATGGTTTCGTACTTGCACTCCGCCGAGTGGGCCTTGCATCGGTCGCACGGTTGCTCGCCGTTGCACTTTGTCTTGCGCAAGCGACAAACAACGCAGGCTTTGGCCACGCGGAAGCGCTTGAAGCCAAAATCGGCAGCATCAGCGGACGACATGATGTCTGCTGAAGGAAACTCGGATGTACGATCGTAAACGTGCCCTCGCCGAAAGAGGTGCTTGCGAGAGAACGATGCAGATGGTGTGTAGAGCACCGGAATGGCGCAGAAGCAAGTGCTTGGTGCAATCGCGAGGAAGCCGTCCGCTGGTAGGAGGGGACGAGGCCGCTCTGCAAGGAAGCGGGGCCGCGATTAGGCTCTTGGGCGTGAACAGTATGGTGGGTCCAGACGATGAGCGCTTGCGGCATCAGGCTCGAACCTGGCGTGAGGGTCGAGATGGGTGAGGCTTTGCTCAAGGTTTGGTGGGCTCAGGAGGTGGGTGGCAAGATGGGCGCAGACGAGCGTCGATGTAGGTCATCTAAGGGTCGCCGTGGGCGGTTCCGGGGACAGAGGAGAGTCTGGAAGGGTGGCAGAGACCGAATCTACCTGCGACGAGGCATACGCTGCGAGCTCGTTGTCGGATGATGCCGAGTGCAGAAGCGAGGATTAGAATCAGCGTTGGACGTGGTTGCGATGCAACAGATGAAGATGGATGAAGCTAGGACTTGACAGACCTGCTGTCCGTGCCGACTGAGATAGTCGCTCGGAGAAGCCGAGGGGCGGATTGCTTGTCGCAGCGATACGGGTCGAGGAGATCAGGGAGAACAAGGACGAGCAATCGCGACAAGGGTAACACGAAGGTCGAACTGAATTCTGAAATCGAGCTCGTCCGCTAACTTATCAGCCAACCGAGCGTGTCCAGAAGTCGGATCGGTTGTCGGATAGAACTCGATTGACTGGCTTGTTGGGCTTGCGTTTCCGTCAAGAACCCTGATTCTTCTTCGACAGGGTTCACCAGAAGCAACCCATCGTCAGCTCTTGACCTTTTGCAGCCTTCGATCATCAATCATGTCTTAACAAGGCAAAGGTACCCGACCTTGCAATGCATCCACGTTCGACTATCTCTAAACACGGTATATGATGGCAAATCTGTCGTCCCGTAACATCCGCTTCTTTAGCTCAGTTGGTACGAGCGTTCGACTGAAGATTTCAGTTCTTCGCAGCTAGGATCCCGTCCTATCCGCTATTCGAAAGGTCACCTGTTCGACCCAGGTAAGGAGCATTCTTTTTGCATTCTTTTTTTTTCCGTAAATTCAGCGGGGACTGATAGCCGATAAGCGGTGACGAATAGAGGCCGACGATGCATGCAAGAACGGGGACCGATGTTTCGCTGCAGGGTCCGGCTATGCTGTACACCATTTGGTTTTCCCAGCCTGGCCAAAGGCGATTCTGCATAGTCGATTGCAACGATTGCAGTGATGATAGCATGGCCGCTAGCGGGATCAGGTGCAGATGCGCAAGTCAGGAGAAAGCTTCGATTCGAGGCTCGCTGAATGTCGGCTCCTCCGCCGGATGTTCCGATGCACTGTACGGAATATGCGCAGGAGGCGTGGCAGCGTCATTTCGTCCAAAACCAGGAAGTGGGACCCCGAGCATCTTCGGATTTTCGGCGTGAGCTCCAACCGCACTACGCCGTCTGAGCTTGAGTTGCCCAACCTCTCCTCTCACCATTGTATCTTCGCCATCACCCTCTCTCCCTACGATTCCTGCGCCAGTCACATCCAAGCCCTGCAGACGGCTGCTCCGACAATCGATTCGGTCAATCTTGACGGTTCTAGCACTCTGTTCTCCCTGCAGAACGACGCTGCCACTACAGCTGCTGACTCTTTGCACTCATCCTGCTCAGTGCTCGACACGGCATCGCAGCTCGAGCCGTCCCTGAGGTATCACCTCCTTGCCAACTATACGGCTACACCATGCAAGTCTCATAAGCTTGCTGGTCGTGACGCGGCTGTCTCCTCAAGCACAAAGGCTGCCGCTTCGCCATTTGCTACACAGCACCAATCGTTCGGCTCGGTCTGCTGCTGACGTCGTCAGCAATGTCACCTACCATGTCGCCACCGGAATCAAAGTCGAGTCCGCACGAAGCAGGCCGCATTCGATCCAGTCGAGCTTGTAAGCATTGCTCCCGTCGCAAAGTCAAGTGCGACGGTATGCAGCCATGCAGCAAGTGCTTGAAAGAGTCCATCGTCTGCGAATACGGTGTCCAGAACAAGCGTGGTCCACCAAAAGGTTGCGATCCAAGAGGCGGTCGCAAAAGGAAGGCCAAAGATCTATCGTACGATGTCCCACTCTCGTCCTCAGCCACTCCTATGCCGTCGCGAGCATCGCCGTCATCCAACGGATTTGGGTCCACTCTTTCCGGCATCGAGTCACCTCGTCGTACAATCAATAATGAACACCCTCCCGAACCGCACGTTCAACCTCACGCTCAGTCTTCTGACTCAAGAACATCCTCCGATGCACATTACGCTGCGCGGGACAGGACTCCGTCGGCTTCCTATCATGCGCCACATGACCCTCCCATGACACGGCCGCGGTCGCCACCCCACTTGCAGTCACATCTGCAGCCATCAATACCACCAGATCGTCAAAATACTGGTCACGCTTGGTTGCCGTCTGCCCCCGGAACTCGCAACGCTCATCCTCACCCCTCGTCTGCACCCTATCAGTTCGATGCTTATCCTCTTCAGAGACCCGGGCGCGACCATCATCGCACCTCGCCTCAAGCATTGCATCACCTCATGCCGTCCGCTCACGCTTCCGCCATCGAGTCCGGGTCGCAGCTTATGCAAGATCGCACAGCGTCCGGCTCGCCGCTCGCTCGATCAACCGCCTCATTTCCGTCGCAGGCATATTCCACATCACGCTTGCATTCCAGTGGCCAACACCACGAAGCTCCTACCGCCCACCATCCGCCTGCAACCTCCCTCTATGACCGCATCTCGACTCTGTCCTCATCATCCACCCTCTCGAGTCGTCATCCGGTATCGGCAAGCAGATTCGCAGAGCCCTCCCTCGTCACGCCACCTTCGACGGCTCATGGTGCCTCATCCGCGCGTCACCAAGCCTTCGAATCGTCTGACGCTTTCACCTCCACCTCAAACGATCGCAGCCCGGCCTCGACCGGGATGCCCCAACGAAGCTGGTACAACGGCTCGCGCCCATCTTCGCCGCGCGGCCCTCTGTCCTCCTTCTCCCGCTCCCAAGTCTCGTCTCCAGGCTCTCATTGGCTCGACCACCAAGGCCGTCCTAGCTCCGGCGCTGCTGATCGTTTGCAGACCTCTTCGTCCCACAAGATGCATCTCGAGGATCGTCTGCCGCCTCACATCACCCAGCGCCTCCTCGATATCTACCAGACCTTTGTGCACCCACACTGGCCCATCATATATCTACCTTCTTTCGCCTCTCTGCACTCGCTCAAGCAGTCACGTCCCATCTTGTTCGAAGCAATGCTCGCCGTTGCTTCCAACACCTTTGATGCCTACCACGACTCGGCCTCCCATGGTGATCAGCAGAGCTCCAACCCCGTCTTGGAGATGCTGTACGCCGATTCGCCTCAATCGTCCGAGCAAGCGTATAATGCGAACGAGCTGCGTGACCACCTTGTCCACCGCGTCAAGACTCGCATCTTGGAAGGCAAGTTCACTCAGGATATCGGTACCATCCAAGCTGCCATCCTCATTGCCGTCATTGAACTCGGATGTGGCGACACTTCGAGCGCTTTCCACTTTGGCGGCATTGCTTGTCGAATGGCCCTCGACATGAACCTTCATCGCTGTACCACCCAGCCTTCGTCCTCCGCTTCTCATGCAAGTCATCACACCAAGGTTGTCGATGGCAGAGACCAATCGCCACAGTCCTCCGCGCAGGCGCAAGAACGATTGCGAGTGTTCTGGGCTTGCTACATTGTTGATAAGATCCTTTCGACCGCGCTCGACAAGCCTGCTCAGCTGCGTAGCGCAGAAGTCGAGGCAGATTGGCCATCTGTTCAGGAAGCTGACGAATACGACGTTTGGCTCAACGAGACCACGCGCAAGTTTGTCGACAAAGCTCAGCTGCCTTACCTCGAGGGCGTCAAAGTGCACGCCCTCAGCAGCTTCAAAGCCTGGGCCGAGGTCATGTCCATCCTCGAGCGCATTCTCGAGCAAGTCTATAGTCCTCAGGCGAAACGTGATCGTCGCCGTACTGGAGGGACATCTGACTGTCAGGCGTTGCTTGCCCTCAACGAGCGGTTGAACAACTGGCGCGCCAGTCTGCCCGAACACCTCAAATGGTCGGGCACCTGGCTCTCGTCCGAGCTTCTTTCTTCCGGGCCGGATCCTCGCGGGTCCGCTGATCGCAAGGAAGGCGAGGCGCATCGAGGCCTGCCGCCGCAAATTCTCACCATGCGATCATGGTATTGCATTTGCTTAATCCTGTTGCATCGTCCACGTGTGCCAAGACTCAAAGACTCGACTCAATCTCAGAGAGCAAGATGCGCTTCCGACGAGCCCGCGTCCATTGCAGTCGACGACGAGAGGATTACGAGCGCGGTCAAGGCAGAGGTTCGGTCCTCTTTGGCTGCTCAGGATGATACGCCTGAACCAGCTGGCCTCGACATCTGCAATGCAGCGGCAAAAGAAGTTTGCGACATCTTGCACGTATATGGTTCTTCGTTCCGCATCCGCAAGATTTCGAGCAGTTGGGTGTACATCATCTTCCAAGCCGCAACCATCCATGCCGCCTTGGCCGCCAGCAAGAGCGTCGTGGTCTTCAAAGCTCGCCAGTCGTCTGTCTGGAATCGAAGAGATTCCAGGCCATTGGACAATGCGATGTCACCTCCTGGCCGGGGCGACGACGTTGATGCACGTGCCGGCGTTGGCGATTCTGAGTCACACCGCGTGACCGAAGCAGAGCTGGAAGGTTCTTCAGAGCTGGTCAAGACTAGCGCTAGGTATCTCGCACAATGTGTTCGCTATCTCAAACGTATTGGACCGACGTGGCAGAGTGCATCGCATCATGTTGCTGTACTACGCAATTTGTGCATTGCGAGCGCTCAAGCCAGGCGGAGCCCATCGAGCCCTTCGACGGCGCAACACTTCATTACTAACTCGGACGTACATCGAACAACGTCATTCCCCTCGGGTGCCGGCGTCAAGCTTGAGCACCAAGGCAATGGCTCAGCTGATACGCAGTCGCAGATCTCCCCGGCTCACCATGACTCTGGCTTCTCGTCCAACCTGGACAGAGAAGGGCACGCCCAGCACCAGCGCCTACGCTCGACTCACCCGGACAACCAGCAGGTATACCACGACCACGATTTGGGCAACGGAGCGATGTCCTTGAACGGTACTTTTCCCTCCAATCCATCTGACTTTAACATGGCAGATCCTCACTCAATACAACCGCCACAGGCGCCATACGCATCAAACCCTGTATACGCTACCCCCTCCGACCACGGTCAGCTGCTCGCGTCGCAGCAGCAGCAGCAGCAGCACATGATGCAACAAGCCATGCACATGATCAATGCCTACGATTCCACCTTCTGGGCTTCCATGCCCGTAGCTTCTGAAGGATTCAACGAGTGGAACGAGTTCTTCAAGACCTTCAACCCGGGCGCCGTGACGGGATTCTCCGGCCAGTTGGCGGATTACCACCCGACGGCAGCGGTAGATCTGATCACGGCGTTGCAGGATCCAAATCGGTTGCTGGGTGGTGTACAGCAGCAGTGAAAGGTAGCTATCGGGTCGTTCAAGGCGATAAAGTATGAAGCACAGACTTGTGGGGAGAGAGTGACCGTTGGTCTGAAATCAACCTGATGAAAATTCCGTTTCTTCTGCAAAAGATGTGTTGATCTCCTGGGGGTGAACTGTTTACATGTGTGACGATATCAAAAATGGGGTCGAATGTGTTGGTGTTGTCGGAAATTCTCTACTGCTGAGCATCGTAGAACTCCTCCTCGTCGTCGTCGTAGTCGATACCGTAGTCGTCGAGGAAGTCGCGTTCGTTGAGAGGTTTACCGGTGACCCAATCCCAGACCTTTGTCATGAGGCTCTTTCCTCCCGCAGTCGGAGTCACCTGTGCAGAATCAGCGTCGTCTGTGTCGTCACACTCGTCGTCGTTGTTGCTGTTGCTGGGGGAAGCGGTAGCGGTTGCAGCGGGGGTGCTTGCGGTGCTGGAGCTTCTGAGGAGAGGGGGAGTGTCTTCGGGGCTGATGTAGCTGGGATCTACTGAGGTGGTGGAGGATGGCTTGGCGGAGCTAGCGGTGGCACTTGCGGTAGCGGTAGCGACTTTGTCTGTGACGGCGAGACTGGACGTCTTGGCGCCGCCGGGGACGGTGAGCGTGAGCATGGTCGAGTAGGTCGTTCCATCGATTACGCCTGTGAGAGGAATCGTAAGAACCGCCGGGGTGGCTTGCGCTTTCATCGACGAGAACGATGACAAGTTGATCGGAGCAGCGGTAGGAGTGGCGGAGCTCGACGAGACGGCATTCTCATTCGCGCTGACGCTGACAGTGGACGAAGCAGAAGCAGTGCTGATGGGTGCATTGACCTTCGTGTTGCCACCAAAAGCATCAGCGGGAACGAGGATGGTCATGGTCTTCCAATCAGCATCGTCGTCGGTTTCCTCCTTGCGGTTGTTGGCGAGAACGTTGGCGAGACTCGAGAGAGAGGTCGGTTGGGCTTGGGATGGAAGCGTGACTGTCATGGTGAGATCACCGGTGGCAGCAGCAGAGGCGACGGCAGCGGAAGGGGCGGCGGTGGCGGTGGGGTTGGCGTCGGACGTGGGTAGAAGGGTGGTCGCAGATGCGTCAGATGCGTCCTTCAGACCACCTGCGAGGGAGGGAACTGCAGTGACTGCTCCAGTGGGGAGGGCTGGAGCATCGCTGACAGGTGCAGAGACAGAAGGTGCTGCGGAGACAGGGGGTACTGCACCCGTGGGCAGCGCAGGTGCGGGAGGAACTTCACCCGTGGGCAAAGCAGGTGTGGAAGGCACAGCACTGCTCACCGGGTCTGGAACAGCAGGAACAGAAGGCGAAAGCGCGCTTGGCACAGCAGCGTCTCCCGCTGGGCTAGCAGTAGGAGGGGTGCTGAAGTCGCTGGGTACAGGAGCTGCAACTGGCACACCTGCCAGGTCACTTGCCGAAGCAGGTGCAGCACTGGTAGCAGTGCTGGCACTAGCGTCTGCAGCGGTAGCAGCACCGCTAGCCTCAGGGACAGCAGCGTTGGGCACCATCGTCGCGCTGGATGGCGTGGGAACACCCAGTCCCAAACCGGACTGTTGCTCTTGCCTCTTTGATGCTTGGAGCCCCTGCGCACCGAACTGCTGCATCTGCTCCGCGACGATCTGTCTGTACGCATCTCCATCATCAGCGTTACCGCTCAGTGCGGCATCGGTCGAACCAGGTGCCCCAGCCGGAGTACCAACGACCTGCTGATACAAGCTTCCATCATTAGGGTTCCCGGTCATGGTCACGTTCGAAGCGGGGATCTGCGCATTGGAAGCAGCCACTGGAGCAGTAGCCGGAGTAGCAGCGGTAGCACCTGCTACAGGCGGAGTAGGGTCCCAGTGGTTGATGATACTGGACGTCTTGTCCGAAGTGGACAGCGCAGCCTGAGAAGCAGCTTGAAGCACCTGCTGCAGCTGAGAATCGGCAGTGGAAGTGTTGGCGGAAGAGGCGGGAGCATCCGGAATTCCCAAAGCGTAGATGTCCTGCTCGGTCATCTGTGGCTGAGCGACAGAGATGAATCCAGCTGGTGCAGGGGCGGCAGCAGCGTCGCTGGTTGCATCTTGCCTTCTGATCGAACCGACAGGTGCCGTGCGGACGGGGTGGAGCGAGCTAGCTAGCACAAAGGCAAGCGTGACGGTACCGACCAGCGAGGCGAACTTGGTGGAGGCTACCATGGTGATCGTGGAAGGAGCAACGGTGATGAGGGCGGAAAAAGGAAAGCAACGAGAGAAAAGATTCGGATTTCTGGCACGCAGACTATCAAAGCCGGGCCTGTCGTTTACGAATTGGCGGTATGTCGTAGACGATGAACAAATCGTTCTTCCTCGATGTCGCTTGTTGGAGGTGATGTTGAAAGGCTACCAGAGCCAAGGGTTTCGAATCGAGATGAAGGAACAGTAGGAGAGAACACGGAAGGATTGCAGAGAAACGGAACAGGTGTTCAACACCAGTACAAGGAAAGAAAATAGGAGAAGGGGGCCGCAAAGGAAAAGAAGGAGGACGTTGCATGGACTCCCCGAGTTACTTATACTTTCTCGAGCATACTGTGCGGATGTGTTGCTGGAGTCGTCCGTGCCTGAGACACAGTAGAGTTTGACTTGGTCAAAAGTGGAAAGTGGCAGGAACATAGGAGAGCTTGAGTTGAAGTGGCTTCTATGCGGCGGCATTGCGGCGACCAAAGCTGGGATGCGATCTGTCAGGGAGATCCTTTGCATGAATCGTCACGCCCTTCATTGATGAAGTCTCGCAGTCTGCGCTCATCCAGGACGCCGAAGTCACCTGGCGTAGTCACGAGAGCCCTCATGCAAACGTACTGTAGAGTTCTGAAGGTGGCACGGAAATCCACGCCCGAGAACCAACGAGCCGTCCTTAGTTGACTCCATGTGATGCCTCTGTCTCACGTCCCAAAGCAGTAGGTGCATCTGCACAAGCACGGCGTAGATAGACGCTTGACCGAAGAAAGCTTGGAGTAATGAAAGAACCTTGGCGCTGTTTGACGTGTCCCATCGGTTGTGTCGACAGGAACTAAAATCAGAATTGAAAAGTACAGAGAAATAAAAATATGAATAAAATAGACTTCCAGTCGCCACTTTCTGTAAGGACGAGAGAATGATGTCGTACCAGCTGGCGCCGTTCTGATGTAAGGCGAGGGACCTTCTATGAGTGGCCTCGCATGCGGGAAGCCAAAAGCTTTCCAATCGTTCGGCCGTTCGCTCCTCACTAAGAGACATAGTCGTTGTCACGACTTCCGAAATGACGGCAAAAAAAGAAATGGAGTGGAGACTGCATGAGTCGAACACGCGACCTTTCGCAAGTTAGACACCTCAAGATGCTAAGCGAACGCTCTACCAACTGAGCTAAACCCCCGATCGATGAGATTCCGCTTCTTATTGCACATATATAGACACCTGTGTTGAAAGGTTTGACTCAATCAATATTTTTGACGTGAGTTGCGATAGAATGGCGTGCCAGTTTAGCGCTGCCTCGGCAAAGAGGGCACGAAAAACGGAGCGCTATCAGGGTCCAAGTGAGCCCCGCATTGCGTGCTTTCGGATCATTTGCAGCTCGCTATCCTCGGCTCTCTGACACGTTCTTCTGCGAATATACTGGAATCCGACTCGCGCATTCGGTGGGTGTGCCCGCATCGCTCAAGGTGTCGACGGTAAAATATGCCCTCCAACGATGGACATGAGCTGAGAAGTCTTGACTGCCTTTCCCTGATACCAACAGAGGCCGAGGGTTGCAACAACTACCTGGTAGACAATGACGTTTCGACTTTATTGATTTGCAAAGCACAATTCAACGATGCTCAAGGAGTTCCATTGGGGAACCACAGTGCCGGCAGTGCAGTCGCGGTACCCAGACGGTCGCACAAGCACCGCAACGAAGGCAGCAGCGGCACCTGTCATGAGTCGGTGATTGCATCTACTCGACGCTGTCTTCCAGCGGTACCGCAGGACTGACGGTCTTGAATTCCAATAAATCACCGCTGGACCCTCTAACGAGTCTTCTTCTGAGAAGAATATATTTTAAAAAAACGCGCGGCCTGCCAAATTGCGCAAAGCCACGCGCCGTCGTCGATGTCGCCATCCGCGTTCGTCTCACGTCAAAGCACACCTCTTGTCCCTTTGCGGCATCTTCTACTCTCGTCAGACGATAAGATCGCTGCTACCTCGGCTGAAATCGCACGCTCGGTGCACTTCCGTTATTCATCAGAACTTGACTCCGCTGATTCCACAGATTGGATCTGAGTTTGTCTGCGTGTCTCCGCCTTTCTCCTTCACCTACATCGACGGGACGATGTCTGCAACCTGTGAAAGCGGCGTTCGCTTTGTAGCACTCTTCAGGGCGTATTCTCTTGATTCTTCTGACGCACCCTTCCGTTCCGGACGATGGTGCCTCACTTGTACCATATCACTGATGTAGCCGATCTACCGTTGCACGCAATGCCGCAACTTGCATTCGCAACTGAGATCTTCCTCAAAATGCTACGAGTTGCCGAACTGCCTGCTGATTTCACTACTTACTTCACCGTGCAGAAATCGAGTAGATGCATGAAAAGGATTGCCCTGTTCTTGCAGGTGGTCTGTGGTCGCCACAAAGGAAGAAGGTCGATGGACTGGAAAGGTCGGACAGGGTGAAGAACAATGAGGTTGATGCAGGAGGTCTGTGCTGTCTTCGCATAGGGATGAGGAAGAAAAAAGTAAAGGTAAATAATTTTTATCGTGCCCCCCTGTTCGTCATAAATACCCCCCGTCCCCTCCGCCCTCCTCCCTCTTCCCTCTCTTCCGTCCCAGGTCCTGCCATCTCGACCTCTCGTTCGACCTCTCATAGGCGTCCTGTCAGCTGTACCTCAACCTCATTCCATCTTACAGCACTACTGCGAAGCCCATTCCCACTGAGAATGGCGGCCGACTCGATCCCGCCTCCCCTTAGCCAGGGCGTAGGCTACGGAGTCGTCCTCGGCTTCGGTTTTGCCTTTGCCGGTGTCATGTACTACATCACGCGTCTTCTCTGGCGCTTCAACGGCGAAGACAATTCACACTTCGAGACCTATGCAACTGCGGGCCGAAAAGTCGGCACCGGTCTTACCGCCACCGCCGTTTTCTCCTCCTGGGCATGGTCGACTGCCCTCCTCTCCTCCTCGTTAGTGACTTTTACATATGGAATTGGGGGCGCATACTGGTTTGCCGCGGGCTGTCTGGTGCAGATCTCTGCGTTCGCATTGCTCGCAATCCAGAGTAAGCTCAAGACACCGCATGCTCACACAGTGCTCGAAGTCGTCAAGGTTCGATATGGAACTTTTGCGCATTGGCTTTACATGTTTTTCTGCCTGGCAAACAACATCATTGCTGTGGCGAACATGCTTCTTGGTGCTTCAGCAACCGTTTCAGCACTCACTGGCATGCACATCATCGCATCGACTTTCCTTCTCCCCGTCGGTGTCTGTCTCTACACCATCTCGGGTGGTCTCAAAGCAACATTCTTGACCGACTGGATGCACAGCGTCGCACTCCTCATTATCGTCATTTTCCTCACACTCAAGACGATTACCAACCCTGCCGTCGAATCGCCCGGTCATCTCTGGGAGCTCGTCAAGGCAGCCAATGTCAACAACTCCATCGCGGGAAATTATCGTGGCGCGGCACTCACCATGACCTCCAAGGGCGCGGTTGAATTTGGAATTCTGCACACGCTGGGAAATTTCGGCCTTGTCGGTAAGTCTCGATTTCATATCATCCTGCAGAGATTGACACATTTACATGCATTACGTGCATTGATTGACGCTTTGTTCGCCAAACCTGTTTGCTGACCATGCCTCCCCTTTTGGTACCTCTTGGTGTTGCCCTTTGTTCGTTCGTTCGATCGACCAACAGTGATGGACTCGAGCTACTGGCAAAAAGCATACTCGGCAGATATCGCCGCCGCCGTGCCAGGCTACATCCTCGGCGGAGTGCTCTACTTCGGTCTGCCTTGGTGTCTCGGCACAGTCATGGGCCTCGCCGGATGGTCGCTTCAGAACAACCCTATTTGGCCAGCCTACGGTCGATCTCTCTCCTCCACAGAACTTTCCGCCGGCTTACCTCTAGGCTATACCGCTCTCGCTGTAGCTGGAAAAGGTGGAGCAGTAGCCGTCGTCATCCTGATCTTCATGGCTGTCACCTCCACCACCTCGGCTCAACTCATCGCTGTCTCCTCCATCATCTCATCTGACGTCTATCACACTTACATCCGACCCAAAGCTACAGACAAGCAGGTCATCCGCGTCTCCCGAGCCGCCTGTATCGGCTTTGCCATCTTCGCATCTGCTTTCTCGACCATGCTGTACTACGTCGGTATCAGCTTGACCTGGACATTGTACTTCCTCGGACTCATCACGTGTCCTGCGATGGTGACGTTGCCGTTGACGGTGCTGTGGAAGAAGCAGACTTGGCTGGCGGCGGTGGTTTCGCCGGTGGTCGGAATGGCTGCTGGTATCGCGACCTGGTTGGCTACTGCGAGCAAATACGGTAATGGTGTGTTGAACGTCACCACGACAGGCGAGCTGTTGCCGTGTATGTGGGGAACAATTGTCGCTGCCTTTGTTCCGGCAATCCTGTCTCCCATCATCACACTCGTCTACCCCCAACCAGTCGATTTCGCCTGGGAAAGGTTCAATGACATCAAACTCATCCAGGACGACACTTCCTCCACCACTTCATCCACCGATGATCTCTCCACCAACTCTCCCACCAGCCCCAACGAGAAGCTCACCACCATCCACGGTGAACCCGTCGGCAACCCTCACGCAACCCGCAGCGCACCTTACTCGGACGCCGAACTCCGCTACATGCACAAACAATCCGCCATCGCCGGTTGGACCGGTCTCGGCCTCTTCATCGCGGTGTGGGTTCTATGGCCGTTCATCATGTATGCTGCCAAGTACGAGTTCAGCAAGAAGTTCTTTATTGGATGGGTCGTGGTGGCTATCATTTGGGCTTTTGCCGCCTTGCTGATCTTCACGTTCTTGCCGCTGTGGGAGGGCAAGGGTCTCATCGCAAGGATCGTTAGTGGCGTGTTGACGGGCAAAGGCGCGAAATCTGGTCAGGAGAAGACGAATGGCCACGGAAAGAATGCGGAGACGCAGAGTAGGGTAGAACAGCCGGGCGCGAGCTTCTCTTCCAGCTCGTCATCCGGTTAGGGGAGATGCTCAATCACCCGACTGCTGTGTAAAATAGACAAAGTCTTCTCTCCTGTTCCGTCGCTTCGCGAAGCACGAACCACTTTGCTCGATTTCCTTCTCATCCGTATGACCCTCTTTGACGTGTGCCTGCTGTGGAGTGCTCCTTCGGTCGCATGTTGCTTCGCAGCCATCCTTCCTCCTCAAGCTTGACCATATTTTATCGTGACAACTGCCTCGAGTTCACACCTCATACCCCTCTCCTCTGTCTCAAGATCCCGTGTCACACCTCTTTCTTTCACTCACATCCTCAACAAACCACACGCTTTCGCACACCCTGATCATCTCTGTGTATCGACGCCTTCTATTGCTTGTGGCTTCTCCATCACCTCTACTCACCCGCCTTCTCATCCTTCCACAACCCATCCAAGACGGTCATCCACTCCTCCCTCTCCGCCTTGCTCGCCGCCTGCAAAAAGTAACTGTTGTTCTGCGTATACACGCCAAACACATTCTCCTTGCCCAACAGCCTCTCTGTATTCTCGTCGTGCTCGACGCGAACCGACTCGACGTTGATCACCATGATCTCGTCGACTTCGCTGGAAGACTCGTAGATGTGGAGGAGCGGTCGTCGGAGGGCGAAGAAGCGGCGCACCCAGGAATCGGTTAGCGCTTCGAGCGGGACGTAGAGGTAGCCGCGGTGAGAGGTGGTCGAGGTTCGTGGTAGCAGTGTGACGGTGGCGGTGAGCGGGACCGGTTGCGGTGAGGGTGAGGGGGAGGATGGTGTGAGGTCTTGTTTTGATGGTGATGAGGTGGGTGTGATCGTAGAGATGCCTAGTCCGGAGGGAGGTGCGAACATACCCTTCAGGCCTTGCACTCCTCCGTTGACGCTCTCATCTAACCCTGGTTGATCACCAATCACCACTCCCAATTTTGCATCCCTCGCCGCTCTCTTCCACATCTCGACCAATCTTCCCAAAAACTCTTCCTTCTCTTCCTCGTTCATTCTTCCGACGCCGTTAACGTTCGCGGTCGAATGGCTCTTCAGCCTCGCTTTCACACCCTCCACCTCGACCCTCTTCCTCTCTGCCCGCACCAACTCCGCGTGATCCGCCACCAAACTCACCCCCCTCGCCTTCCATCCACCCAACACCTCCTGACCTCTGACATACTTTTTCCCCGTATCCAGCCTCCACAGCTCGCTCGTCCTCTTCATCATCGGCGGTCTCAATCTGACCCCAAACACCGCATTCGCCTTCGTCTTGACCATCGCGCCTTCGATGAAGTTCATCAACCGTCCTGGCGGCCTCGCTTCTCGACCGTTGATCGAGACGGCCAGATCCATGGTGAAGGAGACAGGAGCTGTGCATCGATCGACGAGGACTTCGAAGGATAGCTTGATCAGGACTCGATGACCGGATGCGGTGGTGCGGTTGAGGTTGAGGCTGTCGTGAACGCTGCTGTCCCACCAGGACCAGAGGTGCAATTGGCTGGTTCCGTTGTTGGGGAATTCGACCGACTGCTGTTTCACCGGTGTCTTGAGCAAGACGCTGTCCGACGATCGGCCACCGTGAACCCTGCCCCTCGCATCCAGCAGTCGAACATCGCCAAGTTCCAGTTTGGTCGCTTTGCTCCAGGAAAACTGCCGTCCTGAATCGTGTGCCAATTGCAGGACCAATTTCCGCTGTAACCCTTGTCGGAGGAAGAACGATCCCGGGTCCAACGCCGAGCTTGCCCTGACTGGAACGGGCAGATACTCTCCACTCGAGTCCAGCTCGCATATCTGCACCGAAGCCAGGATCGTATGACGCTCCTCACTCTGCATCTCGTTCTCCGAAAGCCTCTCCTTCATCGTGTTGGACAGTGTCTTGCCACCGTTCCTCCCCACCCCACTATCGGTGTGAAGCGGCGTGAACCCATCCACCTTCAACCCCTGACTCTCCCTCTCAAAGTCGTACTCTTCCAATCTCTCCAGATACCCCCTCCTGACTTTGGCATACAGCTCCACGGGTGCAGCACCCTTGTTCAACCACTCGATCGACTCCGCCGTCAGTACAAACGACAGCGTCCTCCTCAACCTAACTTCCGCCACCGATTCGTCCGACACCAAATCGACCGGGACCGAAGTGTACACTTCATCCTTGCCCAACTCGTTGCCGGCAAAAGAGCTGAGTTTGACTTGCAGATGGATGCTCGCAAAGTCGTCTTTCGAAACGCCCGAGATGGAGTCGACCAGGATCTGGAATCCCAACTTCTGGCCGACGGGCAGATCGTTGCTGCCACTGGTGGAAGAAGGAGTTGGCGAGCTGGGACCTCGCGAGCCGCTTGGCGCCGACAACCCCGCCGCTCTCCCACTTACCACCGGTGTCAAACTGACGAATTTCACCGTCACACTGCACTCCCCCACCCTCCTCCCCGTATGCCGATCCACCAATCCCAACCGGTACTTCGACGACATCTGCCTCGCCAACGCGTTCAACGGAACCAACGTACTCGCCACAAAGGCATACGTCGGATGCGGAGCTTCGTAGAACGGATCGCTCCAGTTGAAGTGTTGCGAGTACTCGGGCTTGTCGACAAACGTGTACAGGTTGCGCATTTTTTGCAGACGCTGCTCGAACTTTTGCATGGACCAGACGTAGCACGTCGAGTGGTGATAGTCGAGCACCTTGATGCCCATGCAAGGTTTTGCGCAGTTGGCGAGATCCGGATCCGAGACGTCGTCGAACTCGGTCAGACCGGCGATGGCTTCCACGCCAGAGGTGGGGACGGCGAGCGGGAAATCGTCGACAACGGTGAACTGGTAGGTGACGCGTTTGTTGAGTTCCTTGCTGATGACGTTGGCTTCCTTGACGAGGACTGCTTTTGAGAGGGCGTCTTCGGCCATCGAGACTTTGGTGTGACCTTTCCACTTTGCGATCGCCTTGCGGAGAAGCAGCTTTTGCGCGTCGCTGTACTCGACCGTCATCCCCTCGCCCAGCCGCGGCGACCCGAACGCAGGCGACCCCGAACCGTTGGTCATACGAGTGAGCTTCTCCTCATACTCCCTCACCTTTGCCCTCAACGATTCGGTCTCGCGATGGCTAGCAGCCACCACCGCAGGCGACGAAGCCCCACCGAACGTGTTCTCCTTCAAGGGCGTGCCCGCCCCCCACCGCATGGACCCCATCTCGCTCCCCGCCTGACTCCACGGATCGATGCTCGTATCATCCGTCAAGGCGCCATGCGAATACGGCCGCACCACCGAACTAGCCGACTCGCTCGCACCATCGTCGAACATGCTCGCCCTGCTCTCCGGCCGACCTCCCATGATGCTGCCTCCGACCGACTTTTTCGACCTCGCCCGGGAAATGTCTTCGAAGAGCTTCTCGAGATCCTCTTCGTTGAGGTTGTCGAAGTTGACGTTCTGCCCGTTGAGTCTGGCCATGGTGTATTCCCTCCTGGCGTAGGTCCAATCGACGTCTCCGGAAGCAGGCGAATCGGGGCGAGTCGAGGGTTGATCTGCCTCGCCCAAGGTCTCGTTGTGCGCTTCGCCCGTCGAAAGCGCCAGCGTCGATCTGACCCTATCTCTCGCCCTCCTCACCTCCTCTGGATGGTTGAACCTAAACACATGAAAGTCCCCCAAGATCACCCTATATCCCGACTTCAACCTCTTCGGCTCGTCCGCCACCAACCTCTTCCCGTTGACCATGGTCATGCTCTCGCCCAACGCCGTGACCGTCACCACGCCATCCTGCGAGTCAAACGCACAATGCCTAGCCAAGATCTTGGTGCCGCTCAACTTGATCTGCACCTCGTCCTCCTCGGTCCCTCCGCCCTCGACATTGCCCACCACCGTCCGCCCCGGCTTGATCTGATAAATCAGACACTCGCTCATCAATGGATCCTCGTTGAGATTCACCAGATGCGGCAACTTCTTGGGGGTATGCACCCCGACATTCCCCTTATCCACACTGATGCCGAGCTCCTCCAAGGCCTTCTCCCTCTGCTTCTGGATCTCGTGCGTCTTGGCCAGCTTCTCCTCCCAGCTCTCGTTCAGGCTGCTCATGATCTTCTCGCTTTGCTCGAGCTGCTCCTGCAGCTCGGCCTTGGTGACCGTCTTGATCTCGCCGGTTCGGGTCTGGTACCTGACCACCTGCTTCTCGGGCGGAATGGAGGGATCCCAACTACCTTCCGCGTCTCCGACGCCGCCTCCACCGGCGACACGCGTCCTCAACATCTCGAGCTCCTCCTTCAACTCGCGGATCAACTTGGCGTTCGGATCCTCGTTGACCACCGCCTTGTTCTTGATCTTCTTGGCCTGGTCCGCGTACCGCAACGTACTCAACGTCTCCTCGTAATCCGCCGGCGAGATGGCCGCGATCATGGCAGTCTTGCTGTTGCCGCCCAGGCTGTCCTTCAACAGCCACGTCAGCACCGAATCTCGATACGGTACAAAGTTGTCCAGACTGCTGTTGGCACCTTTGGACTTCTTGCCGCCTTTCGCCGGAGAGTCGGCGACGCTGCTCGCAGTAGCCAGCGCAGCAATGACCTTGCCGAGCGTGGTGAGCGAGCGGTTGATGTTGGCACCTTCCTTCAACCGCGCACCTGTCGCCCCGGTCGAATTGGCACGTTCCGAACCCGCCAAATCCACCATCGAGATCCTCGACACCTTTTCCGCTTCCAGCTTGGTCTCGACGTCGAAGCGCTTCTGCGTCAGCACGAGCGTGATGACAGCATGCGATCTGGAACTGGTCTCGTTCATGTTGGTCGCGGCTACCGTCCTAGCCTTGTTGCCCTCGTCCATGAGCGTGATGATTTCGGGGTAGCTGCCGACGATGAGCTTGCTGAGATCTTCTACGTACGGACCTAGACTCGGGTGTTCTCGCACTTTGAGGTTGGCTTTGTTCTTGGGGTTGAGCAGGTCACGAACTTTCTCGTTGTAAATCTCGATGTAGCTCACCTCGACGCTGACTTTTAGGTTCGGATCGGCAGCCGTCTTGTCGCGGATATCCTCGAACAGTCTGGCGCAGGTGAGCGGTATGATTCCCTTGTCTTCCGCATACCCGACCATCGAATGCGATTTACCCGATCCGGTCTGACCGTATGCAAAAACGCAGGTGTTGAAGCCGTTGAACGCATGCTGGAGGAGCTCGACACCGATGTACTGGAAGAGGTCGTCCTGCTGGGTGTGTTCGTCGTAGGCGCGGTCGAAGGAGAAGGGCATCGACTTTTTCTTGGTAGCCTTGCTGTTCTCGCGCGTGTCGGCTTCGTTGGGCGGGGAGAGGACGAGCTGCTGCTTGTCGACGAACTCGATCAGGTTGGATGCACCGCGGTTGCGCTCCCGCGAGTTCATGGGTCGACATCGTACGACGACTTTGATGTTGCCCGAGTCAGCCATAGCTGGCAGACTGGCAATGACCCAAGTGGAGTTCTAGAGGGTGATCATGCGATCGCCAGGTGGTCGAAGAGGATGATGCTAGAGTGCGGTATGCGATGTCCTGTGGTTGCGTCGCACGATCGACGGGGTTTGTGAAGTGTGAAAGTAGTCAGAACCGAGAGATGATGAGGTTGGGGTATCAAAAATGAGTGTAATGTGAACGACGACGGAGCGATGAGCGAAGATTGGGATGGTAGTGGTGATGATGGAGCAAAGGGATCCGAGTGTCTGTGTGCTCCACGTCAAGGGTCTCCAACACACATCCAACCGCAGATCGACGCTCAACCGACCTTGCTGCATGTCACACACGCTTCCCTCCCACACACACACGCCCGGCCGTGCACATCCACAACCAACACCTTAAATTTATTAATAATTTCCAAACTTGCCTTTTTCGACACAGCAGCACCGGCAAAGCTGCCGAGAGCCATGCGTGTGTTGTGTTGTTCCTGATTCTCGCAGGTGTTGGTTGGAGTTTTCTCGCGAGTTCTTGGCGGACATCCAAAATTCGAGCCCTTTGTACCTCTCCATCGAACCCTCCTCCGCATTTCACTCGCACCAACCATCAGACCATGAGCAACAGATAGGCAAGTCGTCATTTACGCAAAACCAAGTACAAATACACTGTATATATGAACAAGTCCAAACTTGAATGGTGGTGGTGTTGTATGCTCAAATCATTAATTCTGGTTCTTCTTGTCGTCAGACTCCTCCATCGACTTCATCCACTCCTGTCTCTGCTTGTCCTCCACCTGCTGCTGCCCATCTCCCCCCTGGCCCGCCAGCACGTCCTTCAAGCTCGACTGTGCGCTCCCTCGCTTCAACGGCTTCGGCTGGCTGGGTGCAGGACTCCATCCGATCAAAAAGATCAACTGGAACGTCGCTGGCACTCCTTCCCCCTCCTGACCGTGCAGCGCCTCGTAAATTGCACCAGCGCTCAACATCGTATCCCTGCGCATCATCCCCCTCCTGTTGATCACCGCATTACTCTCGCCCATATCCCTCAAATCATGCATCAGCTCGTACATGCTCGGGTAGCCCACCGACACCTCATCCACATCTACCGTCGGGATCGTAAAACCCGCACGCGACAGCAACGACGCCATATCCCTCGTATCCGCCATCGGCGACACCCTCGGCGAAATCCCGCCTTCCCTCTCCTGCTCCGCCAGCTGCAGACTCGTCCTCAACTCGAACAGCGTATCGCCACCGCACAGCGCTCCGATGAACACACCGTCCGGCTTGAGCGCACGTCGAATCTGAATCAGCACGCCCGGCAGATCGTTCGTCCAATGCAACCCACCGCTGAACACCACGCAGTCCAGCGATCCCTCTTCGAACGGCAGCATCTCTTCATCCACCACACGTCGTTCCACCTCGAATCCGGACTGTGAGTCCAAGTGTCGATCCCGGTTCAGCAACGCCTCGCTCGTATCGCACATGACGATCTTCTTGGTGCTGCACGTCGAAGGATCCAGATAGTGACGCAGGAATCCAGGTCCCGCTCCCAACTCCACGATGGTCGTCAAGTCGCGCTTGATGTCCTGCACACGGTCAGCCAGCGACTCCGCAATGGCACGACGAACGTAGTCCGTCTGTCGCGACGCTTCCCCGCGCGTCGTTTCGCCGTCGAACGCGTGCCCTGCCTCGTTCTGCGAGACCGAAGGCTTCAGCGCCGCTCGGTCCTTCTGCATCGTCTTGGTCGCGCGGTCAAAGATCGTGAAAGGGCTGTTGGGCTTGGGCGGTCCAGGCGCTGGCGCAGCTGCACCGCTCCCCGCCATGGTCGAAGCGTGACGCATCGACATGGCACCGGCACCGCTGTTGGAGGCGGCAGCGTCCACAAACGGACCCCTCTGCAAACTGCTTGGCCTCAGCCGCGGAGACGTCTGGCCAAACGTCAGGCGCACTGCTGGAGCGCTGGAATCGACGGCTGTGGAACCTTCAGCGCTTGCCGAGTCCGACCTGGGAATGGCACTCGAAGCAACGTAATCCGAAACAATCGAACGAGCGCGCACGATGAGCGCAGGCGGGAAAGCTCGTGCCTCCATGCGGTCGACCAGGGCAGTCGCACGACCAGCGTGGCCGTGGCTCAGCTCGGCGCGGATCATCGCTTCGTACGTCGATGGCTCGCGTTGCACCGATCCGAACGGATTGCCCGAGTTGTGCGACACCGTAGCGAGAACATCGTCAGAAGCCAGCGAGGTCGACACATTAGGTGCGTCGGCGGGAGCAGGGGCACCGGCTCCATGAGCGCGTGGCGGATGATTGCCGGCAGCAGCTACACCAGCAGCCGGCTCGCTCATGCTCTCAAACAGCGCGCGGGCTTCGTTGAGTCCAGCGTCGCCTTGCTCCATCGAGAAACCTCGAATCAGCAAATTGGCAACGTACGCGGTCATTTGCAATCCAGCCTGCTTCATCTTGTCGAAGTGCGCACGGATCAGATCGGTCCTGTTGTGAGCCACAAACACCGCCAGGAGCGCTTCGAAAGCAACCGCATCCGGCATACGGGCACCATCCTTTCGCCTTTGCGACGAAGGGTGCGAGGCGATCGAGTCAAAAGTAGCAATGGCGCGGTCGAGGTCGTTGAGCATGCATCCGTAGCAGTTGATCAGCGACGCCCAATGCGTGCTCTGCACGGCCACGGATCGCGCGTCGGCCAGCTCGGCAAACACACGCTCCATTTCGCGTGCGTCGACCGGCTCGATGGCGCCAAACATGTCGAGCAGCAACTTGTAGGTGTGCGCGCTGGGCTCGACGCCGGCGGCCAGCATCTTGTTGTAGTAGACGAGAGCCTTCTGACGATCGGGAACGCTCTGAACGAAGAACTGCATCATGGTGTTGTACGGTGGCACACGCGGCTTGAAGGCTGGGTCGCGCTCCATGCGTTCGAACATCTGAACTGCGCGCTGCTCGTCGCCGATACGGGTGCAGGCGTTGATCACAGCTCCATAGGTAACGCTGGTGGGCTTGATGCGGAAATTGAGCACCATTTCGTCAAAGAGCTGCAGCGCTCGATCGGCCTTTCGCGCGCGCGACAGCTTCGAAATAACCGTGTTGAAGAGGTACGCAGTGGGGCGCACACCGAAGCGCTGCGATTCGTCGAACAGCTCCTGGGCGATGGCGGCGTCGTCGGTGGTGTCGCGGATCGTGGCGATCAGGGCGGCGTACGAAGTCGGAGTCGGCGTGCCCCCGGCGGTGATGATGCGGTGTCGGTGTGTGGTGGCCGCTTCTGGTCGACCGGCGTGGCTGAGTGCCTGGATCATGCTGTCCTCGATGACGAACCAGGCTCTGGTCTGCCAATCCGGATCTCCTACCAGGGCGTGCAGAACGTGCTGGGCCATCGCGTAGAGCTCTTCGACACGATCGAGATTGCCGAGACGGCCGAAAGCACCTATCAAGACGGCAAGGCCTTCAGGGTGGGCGAAATTGCCGACCTTGATCTGCTGTCTCACCTCTCGGTAGACGCGAGGAGCGTCCTCCTGTCCCGAAGGACGCGCAAGCTGGAGCAGTTTGTGTCCGAAATCAGTGTCAACGACCTGGACCGGAGGGAAGGAAAAGGCAGATGGAGTTCTAGTGGCAGTAGTAGAGAGTGTCGGTGCGGGCAGATCCTGGCGGTGAAGAGGTGTGTGCTGCTGAGGAGGCGTGGTGGCGGGTGTTGATGCGCTGAGTTGAGACTCCGAACCGGCCTGGCTGCTGGCCTCTTCCGGCGCAGCAGCGGCGTCTTGAGCTGCCTGCTCCGTCGCGACGTTTCGCGTGGCCCACTCGGGCAGCAATGAGAGCGCCTCCTGTCCGTACCGAGAGACAGTGACTTCGGCTGCCTTGCTGGTGTCGATGGATGCTCGAACATCGCTTGCTCCGGTGCTTTCTGCGTCAGCAACGGGCAAACTGGCGAGATCGTGCAGGACGACGGGGACACCATCCGCCTGGAAAGCGTCGAGGTTGAGCTGTCGAACGTTGAGCTCTTCAAAGCAAAAGGCTTCCAAGATCACGGTCCAAGCATCAGCGGAAAGCGGCAAGTCGAGCAAAGCTTCGGGCGACTGTGCACGCACGCTTCGGTACAAGCTGGCGAGGGAAGCGGCGACGTTCTCGTCGAGCATATCGGCTTCGCGAAGCACAGGTGCGACGTATTCGGCGCTTGCAAAGAGGCGGATGGAGGCTTGATCGGCGGGAGCGGAGGCAGTCATGAAACGAGTGGCGAGGTGCGAGATCTGCGCGGCCAGGTCGCGTGAAGAATCCGCAGTCAGATCAAGTTTGTCGAGGAAGATACGTGCGTAGGTGAGAGTGCTACCTGCGTCGACGATGCGGTCGGCATCCAGAAGGCCATTGGTGAGTCCAAGCAGAGATGATACAGCGGCATTCATCTTGAGACCCGAGTTATCCGGAGTAATGCGAGCGAGGAACACTGCCTCATGCGAGAAAAAGGCGGCAGCGGCGTCCAATGCGCGATCAAGCGCTGCGTTGGCTTCTTGCACTGAGCCATCTTTGATGAGACGTTGGGCACTTGCGATATTGGCGGAGACGAGTGGAGTGAAGGCGTCGAGCTCGGCGTAGCGGTAGAGCTCGACTGAACGCTGCAGATAGACATGGAAGACGCGCTGAAGCGGCTCGAGGAAGTCGTCGCCGGATTCTGCGAGCTTGAGCATGAGATACTCGATCGTTCTGATGCTAGGCATGGGTCGCGAATCGGACGACAAAGACTCGGCAGTAGCGTTCTGAACCTGCATGGAGGTGACCTTGACGAACCAGTGGAGCGCAGTGGCGGTGTCTCCGAGATCGAGGAAGCCAGTGATGATGGACGAGATGACAGCATAATGGAGTGCAGGGACGTTGTCGCCGCCCTGAAGCATCGTTTCGAAGAGTTTGACTGCGCCCGCAGGGTCGTTGAGCGCAAAGTGAGCCTCGATGAGCGAAGTCCAAACGAAGCTGTTGTCCTTGTGCCTCCAATCGGGTTTCTGGCTGGCGAGCAAGAACTCGTCGAACACCTGCTTGCAAGCTGCTAGTTTGCGCGACTCCTGCGCCTGCTGTGTCTCGTCTGGCTTGAGCTGCGGATCTTGTACGAAGGTGCGGATGAGGTGCTTGAACGTGTGGGCGTCGGTGTTGGCGAACGCGTTGCGTTCGAGCAGATCGAGCACGCTCAAGGCACGATCGACATCGCCGCGGATGGCGCAGCTGGAGAGGACAGCATTGTAAGCCTTCTGATCGTCGAACTGGAGCCGACTGCTGTGGCACACACTCATGAGCTGGAGTGCCTGCGCAAAGCTGTCGTCGGTCGTTGCGGCTGCAGCAGCGTCGTCGATGGCGGCAGGGGCATCGGCAGAGGCGGAGGAAGGCTGAGACGGGGCAACGGCGGTCTCGGCATCACGCGCACAGAGCGCCTTAACGAGAACGGTGTACGTGCGACTGTTGGGAGAGAGGCCGGCCTGAATCATTTCGTTGTAGGTGTCGGTGATTTCTGTGACGCTCTGGCCGGAGCGACGAATGGCGAGAAGCGACTCCATGACCATGTTGAAGCCAGCGATGGTCCTCTGCTCCTTGGGTAAGGCCTTGAAGGCGTCGACGCTGAGACGGACCTGGTAGGCATCCTTCCTCGAGACGGCCTGACGGAGGTCGTGGTAGACGCGCTCGTGGGCATTGGAGCCGCTGTGGGTGGAGATTGACTGTGTCTCTAGGTCGACTGGGGTATCGTCGGATGTAACACTCAAGGTGGAAGCAGACCGATGCGTGTGCGGGGAAGCCTCACCAGCCTGTGCGCTCTGCGAGTGATCTGAAGCGGTGACGAGAAGAGGGCCATGTTTGGCGGCAAAGGCACGTCGGAAGCGCACCTGAAGATGCGAGTCGGCGAGGTGACCGGAAGCTGCGAGCGCGGATCGTTCGCTGTGATGCTGACCGTCAAGGCGGAGCTTGTAGGCCTTTTGCCTACGAGCCTCGTCGTCATCGTCGTTGCTCTTGTTGCTGGAGTCAGAGTTGGAGGTAGAGGAAGCCTGGGAGAGAGCTCGACCCGTGTGCTGATAGGAAAAGTGAGCGCCGCGGCCGGCATGGAACTTTGCACCGCCTGCACCAGCTCCAGCCGAAGAGCCGCCGCTGCTGAGACCGGAGGCCCAACCGGAGGCTGACGAGCCTGTGGAAGAGGCGGAACCGTTGGTAGCACCTTGGAAGGCACCACGGAATGAGTTGGCGGAATTATGGGCGGCGTTGGCCGCTGACTGTGCTGCGCCCCTCCATATGTGAGAGGCGAGTTTGGCAGCCGAAGTCACGGGCATATCAGATGATGCCGCGACGCCGAGCTTTGCCTATGACAGAACACTGTCGAGAGGAGGAGGTTGGAAGTGGCGCAATGGCCTGCAAGCAATGGTGGAAGCCCAAACCGATGCAGAGCCTTGAGTGAAGATATCGAGAGATGGTGACTTTCGAGCTAGTGTCGATGCAGAGCGTGTACGCCTGTATGGTGGGAGAGGTACGAATGTGAACTTGGTTGATCGACGCAGATGATGGGTCCAGCCCTTGGAGCAATCGAGAGATGGTCACTGAGATGCGGTAAACGAGGAGTGACCGTGATTGCAGAGGAGGGGAAGCACCTTGTTCTGCTTTGGACTGAGATAGATACTAGGGTAGGTAGCTACCCTGATCGTGGTTGTTGCCAATGGGATTGTTGAGTTGATGGTAGCGAGAGATGAGGCGAGGGTGCTGCTGCTGATGATGATGATCAACGTAACAGCCAACTCGAAGAATTCGCTGAGTCAATCAACTCGAAGTCGGGCGTAAAAACACTGCTCTGCTGCCGTGCTGTCGAGGCCAGAAAGAAAAAGCACGGAAAAGGACCCTTTTTTCGCCGTTTCAAGCAATTCTTCTGATTCCTTGCGCTTCGACCTGCAGCAGAACCAAAGACAAGAGTGGATCGGGCCGTGTCGGGCTGTCAAAAAGTGGAGGCTTTTCGGCGAATTGTGGTCCGCTCATCTAGGAAGGCTCACCTCCGCGGTGATGCCAACTGATATCGTTGCGATCAAGATCAGCAATGTTTTCTTGCAGGGCTGTTTCGATGGGCCTCGGGCAGACGCTCCCCCATCACGACCAGGTTTGAGTAATCGGATCCAAAGTTACGACCAGCTGCCCAAAGCCTTTTGGCTGAGGATCGATTCACAGACAGTCGTGCGAGCTAGCCTTCACCGCTCCGCCGTCCGACTTTCTTGACACCTGTCCATGCATGGTCCGGCAGGCGTTCCCGCGGAGAGAGAGTGAACGTCAGCGCTTTGCATCCGACGGTTCGGAATGGCCGGGATGCTCGAACAGTGTGCCATGTGACGTGTCTGTGCTGCTGCTGTTCTTGCCGATGCGGGGCATCCGACGTCCTCCGTTCTCTCCTTCCGTTCTGCTCCCTCTCGGCGATAATCGAGTTGGAAAATATTCAGGATGTGGAAGCAGGCATCTTAACACTTTTGAAGGAGCAACGAAATCCAACTACGTATCTTGTTTCAACGTCGTCAACCCCTACCTGATCACCGTTCACAGACGATAGCGTGCTTTCCGCAGGCGATTCTGCAAATATGATTGGCAGCGCTCTCTTCAACAAGCAGAGTGATTACACGAGAGAGCATATACCCTAGTGTACAGCGTTCAGTCCCGCAGCACCACACCCTCCAAACAAGCAGCTAGCGCATTCACGCTCGCCACCGGCCAAGGCTGAGCACTGTACGGCCACGGCAGCTGGTGCCGTTCTTGGCTGATCAGTCGCAGACGATGCAGGCTACGCAGGATCGCGTCCATCGCCTCGTTGTTCGCGGATGCTGCTGCATCCTCTGCTACCTGTGCTTGTGCGTCCGTCTGCAGTGTCGCAGGCGCGGGCCAGACTTGGAGCAGGTCGACAGCCATAACGTGGCTGGTGGAAGTGGAGCCGTCGAGACGATGCTTGCCGAGCCCGTCGTGGCTACGGCCGCCTGCGTTCCCAACGCCGTTGCTCAGCTCGGGTCGAGGATGATGCATCAGGATGGCTGAAGCGATCGGCATGGCTGTTATCTCCTCGTCCAGCTTGTCCTCCTCCCCATATTCACTGCCTTCGTCCGCCGTCTCTGAGCCATCCACCGCCTGCGTCCATGCCATCGGCATGGGCTCGGCAAAGTTGACCGCCTGCGAAAAGTCCGCAGCGTCGAGCAGCATCAAGCTTGACTTGTCCGTCGATGCCGTCGCTGACCATTCCTGATTTACTTTGGCCCGCGCTCCTCGTTCGGCCAAGATGGCGCCAGATTCGTCCGGTCGCGCGCTCATCAACATCACGCTTCCCATCACTCGATTTCCTGCCACCGTCGACGCCCAGTACGCCTCAATCAGCCGTTCCCAAGCCTGCTTTTCACGTCGACTCATCGGGCCCGTACTCGAAACGATCAGACGCCATTGCACGCGTGCCCGACTCGCTTCGCCTACCGCAAACTGCCAAACGCGATCCACGCATGCCTCGATACTGGAGTCGCCATCGTTGGCAGCAAGCGCGTCCACTGAGCTCGATCCTCCCCGCTCGTCGATCGCGCTCACCATCACCACACTTTCTTGCTTCGTTGGAGCGCGGTCCTCAGCGTCCATCGGCTTGTCTAGGCCAAACACGCCGGCAGCATCGATCGATGCGGCGCTCCCATTTCGACTCGGCGTCTTGTCCATCTGCACCCCGACGCCATCTTCACCGGAGCTCGTTCGGCAGATACGATAGCCAACGTGCAGCAACACCCGCTCGTCGGTGACGGCTGCCGGCTCCTGTGGCCAGCTCAGCGAGAAGTTGGTGCGACCCGCCTTTGCCGCCGTCGAGGAGGCTGCTGAAGATGTCTCGGACCCCGTCGAAAGGCTGAATGCAGGAAACTGCACCACCGCCGAGATTGGCCCGGGCTCTTTCCCATGGAGCACTTTGGCGGGTTGACGTCGCACCAGCCTCGCCAATTGGTCGTACACCGAAAACGCAAGTCGCCTCACCATCTGCGTCTGCTGGCCGAATCCGAGGCTGCCGCTCTCCGTCATCATGGTTGGACTGACAACGCGCACGAGCAGCTGCTCCGCGAGCACACCCACTTGCTCGCTCAGCATTGCTCTGAGATCTCTCTCAAGCCGAAGCAAGCCGTGGAATCCGGTCGATCCGCATGTCGCTGAGGCCGATGGCTGCAGCGTGTACACCACCACGTGCTTGCCCTGCAACAGGTCGAGCTGAACACGGCTCGAGATGGACCGTAGCGTGTCCAGCCATGTCTCGCCGTCCGTCCAGAGCTGGTCCAGGTAGCTCGACAATGGTAGCGATTCGGATCCGTCGGCGACTGCCAAAATCGAATGTGCGCCGCCAACGTGCGTTCCCAGACCGTGTGTCTCGAAGGCAACGCGTAGGCGGTCCAGCCACGCGACGATCTCTTCGTGCCATGCCGGTGATGCATCGGTCAGCAGCACTTTGGCCACCACGTGCTTCTGCCCGCTGACAGCCGACAGCTTCGACTTGTCCCACAGATTCAACGCCGATGGCAAAGCTTCCACCACCGATCCTTGGCAGCCAACGGCAATTCGCGCTGGCTCAAACACCTCTGCAACCTCTGCGCCGCTGCCATCGGCGATGACCGCATTGGCAGCTGCACCGCTTAGCTTGACCAGACTTTTCAAAGTCGGAACTGCAGCAAAGTGGGTTTCAGCTTTGATCGTCGCACTGTCCTGGTCGATTGGCGGCTTGGACGCATCCGGGTCAGGTGCGATGCTGAGGGCCGAAGCCATGCTTTGAAGTAACTCGATCTTGTCGCCGATGGCGATACCCGGCCACGTCGGCCGGGCAGCCGAGCTGGCACAGTACATAGAGCGAAATTGGGGATTCTGGATCAGCCATTCAGCCGTTCGAGATAGCATCCATCGCCTGACGCTGGACTTGTGCAATGCGGCAACTGTGCCTGTTGTCAAGTCAGTGCGTGCGTCGCCTTGAAGGGGCGGTACTGACGCGCTTGGCCGCGCCGAGTGAGACCGGGCTGAGCTGGAACGGTCCGGAGCGTCGTACAGCGCCCCTAGCCAATGCGATCTTGGGCTTTGCATACCGCCGGAAAGGAAGGCAGTGATGACGTCCAGGGATGAGGCCTTCAGACTCGCTTGATCCACGGGCGATAGCGTCATGACCGTCGCCTCGCTATCGCTGGGCGCGTCGTCGCTATTGTCATCGCTGCTGCTAGACGTGTCGCTGTCCGAGCCACTGACGGCTCCCGGTCGCGCAAAATCGTCGCTCGACCTTGGCGTGGCTGGACCGTCTATAGCTCGCGACGAGCTTGAGCGTCGGAGAGTTGTCAGAGTAAATGCAGGAGAAGGCTTGCTTCGTCGATCTCTACGCAATTGCAAAAGAGCTTGGCCGCGACCAGAAGGCGTCTTTGACGGCGACGGCCTCGCTGCGCTGAGGCCTGGGTGCGGTGTCAAAGACTGAGTGCCAGGACGATCCGACTCTGGAGCGCTGTCTCTGTCTCCTCGGTCGGAAATTCTGCTTGCGTCGCCAGAAGGTCGCCGCTCTGGCAGGGCCACATTATTCGCGTGAGAGGTCGTCATGCTGGCCGTGGCAGTCTTGGGCCTCGACGCGAATTTGCCGAGCAGATCGTATTTGCGACCCAGGTTGGCACGGGCACCGGCTGCGAGCCTCTGCAGCGGCTTGCGCGCTTCGGGCTGCGATATCGGCAGGAACGCGTTCGGCACGATGGCGAGCCGCTTCCTGTTGGAAGGATCCATCTCCATGGCTGCATGAGCGGCGGCTGCAGCTGCCGTGCTGGCATCCGCCAGTCGCAGCTGGTCCTCGGCTTCGCGTTTTGCAAGCGGGTCCTTATTGATGGCGTGCGCTTCGGTCGCAGAACCTGCGTTGCGATCTCGGGCGCTCGCAACCGACTCTTGGAAACGGTTGCTGTTCTGTAGATCAACGATAGCGGCTCCATCGCGATAATCTTCAACAGGCGAGTAAGGCGTCCTTGGCGTCTTGTACTGAGGATTGCCAAAGGCAGGTGAGCTTTCGGTCAGCGAGCTGGGAGTGAAGCCGGGTAAGGATGCAGGATCGCCAAAGGGTGTCGCTCCTCCAGGATCACGCGGCGTGAATGAGCTCATCGTAGAGCTCAAAGGATGCGCGGTGCCTGTTGTCGGTGCGACCATATCTTGCGGACCGCCGTGCGCCATCCGAATGTGAGTGGCTTGCATTGCGGTCGGGGAAGAAGACGTGGGCTGAGGGACTGCGGCCTGCGCGTTCGACATTTCGGTGGAGACCATTGCGTGTTGAAGGCCCGGAATAGCGCTGAACAAAGCATCCAGACTGCTCTGACCGACATCGTCCATTGCGACGTCACCGAGGATAGCTGCGGCCGGAGCAGCGACAGGTTGCGAGCCAGCGACGAGCGACGAGGCGGGTGCACTCGAGGCGTTTCCTGCGATCATCAGCTCCTGCGTCGGAATGGCGTGAGAAGGCAGAGCAGGCTGATCGATCTGCTGCGACAAGGCTTCACCTGGATGCAGATCGAACGCCGACTCGTCAAAGAAGGAGAAGTCGTCCTCAGTCAGCAAGTCGAGGTTGTCAAAGATGTCGCCTTCGCCAGCTTTTCGCTTGGTCGACGTAGACTGTGTCGGAGCCAGGTGCGCGCCTTGAGGATTCTGCATAGTCGTCGAACTTTCAGATTGAAGGTCAGTGTGCGGAGGCAGGAGCGACTGTGGGTTCACGAGAGCTCGAGGTTGTTCTTGTGCTTGCGCATCTCGCGAAGAAGCAGACCCAGCGGACAGTAGCCAACCAGCGTCTCTGTGATCTAGCTGCGAGGGCTGTGCGCCGTCCAGAGCCGAGTTCTGGGCAGTGGCAGCACCTAGCGTCGTTAGTGGATTGGCTGGCACGGCAGAGGTTGATGCAGACGCGGACGTGATCGCGCTGCTGCTTTGATGGGGCAAGAATTGCGTCCAACTGAGATCCTGTCCGAACGCCTCGGTGTTGCTGGCTGCTAGCACGGGCTCTGAGGGCATGTAGTCGCGTTTGAGCGGCGAACTTCCCGTCACAGATTGACCAGCGGCAGGCAAGGTGTGAGAGGAGGTGGCCGAGGCAACGGTGGGCATGGCAAAGTCGAAGTCGGCGAACGTGATGCTTGCCGGAGTTATTTCGGGACGTGTCGAGGGCATGCGGTCGGCGCGATGAAGGGAGACCGACGCATCGTCCGGATCATTGGGTGTGTAAGCTGAGCTACTTTGTGCATGGGACGACTCGTTGGCATCGTTGAGTACTTTGAGGGTGAACGCAACAAGTTCTTTGAGCGGCGTCATGGGTTGACTCTGCGCATTGTGCAGGTCGTCTGTGCGAAGGCCACGTGTTGCAAGGATGCGCAGGTCTGGCAGGACGAGGCACCAAGCAGCTGGCCACAGGAAACGGTTCGGTCCTGGGACGAGGTGCGACGAATCGCTGTGTGCATGTTTGTGGGTTTCGGCGGTAAACGCAAAAGGCATACTTTCGTCTATTGTCTCTGACCGCACAGCCGTGACGCTCGACACGTCTTGGAGTCGCTGAAGATCTTGTTCGTGTGACACTTGATCGTTCGGCTGCGATCCGGAATGAGGGGGTGCACAAATTGCGAGCCCTGATGCTAGGACAGATTGCGTGTCTTCTTCCTGATAATGTGAAGCGATGTTGAGCGATGCAAACCTGTGAGCTAGTTCGGCAAGGTGCTCTTCTGCGAAGCTGCTCGAAGGTACCATCCCTATGAGGTGAACTCGACGGTCCAGAGGAGCTATGAGTACCGTAGGATGCGGCAACGACGAAGGCAGAGAGGAGGAAAAGTTTGAATGGCGCGTTTCGAGCAAGGGAATTGCGGTAAGTCGGCAATAACTCGCGCGGACGAAGAGAGACGAAGGAGTGAGCGATAATGTCGCTCGAACGAGGAGGCTAGCAGGCTCATCGTCTCCGTCTCGCAAGGCCTTTTGCTGTCCAGGAGCAGCAAACCACGCTGCGTCCGAGATGGCTTTTTTCAAGGAGCGCGATGGGGTTTGTGGCAAAAAGACAATGCTGTCCCCAAGGCGAAGCCGAGTGCGCGAGGCCGACTTGGTTGTCTTGAGCTGCTGAGCCGATGTCGTTGGGGCAGAGGCGAGCGAGTCGGTCAGCCTTAGCCTCAGCGAGGACATGAAGCGCTTGTGAGCTTGGCGCTGGTCTGAGGAGAGCGAGGAGAGCTTGCCTTTGTCGTCCGTGGCATCGATGGATGCGGCTGCCAAAAGATATGAGCCAGAGGTGGCATGAGCAGATGGAGACAAGCTTGCAAGCGATTTCAAGAGCTCTGGCGAGACACGTCGAGCGAGAGCGGGATGGACGAGCATTGAGCTGTTGAATGCTTTGGAGGTATCGTCACTCGTCGTCGAGTCACTGGTGACGACGTTCGCAGCGCTGGCAGCGATCGCGACGTTGTTCGGGGCATCGCTGCTCCTGAGCTCGCTTTGATCTGTGACACCCACGAATACCCACAGGTCAGACGTCGGTCCTAAGGAGGCGGGATGTGCGTCGGAGCGGGATGAGGATGGACGCGAATTGGCATGAATCAAGGGTGCTTGGAGAAGAGGCTGGAGTGGCTCCTGACTCCCGCTGAGCGACGCATCGGTAGCATTCGGCTGGAGCGTGGACTGTCTTGCGGCCGTGATGACTTGGAGAACTGCGGCGTTCCAGGCTTTGCGCGCATCTAGATGCGAGGTGCTTGATGTAGGCATGGTGGAAGCCGAGCCATCTGCGCGCCGCTGGTCGAGGCTTTGGTGGGTAAGAGGATCGGAGATCACGGGTCGCAGACGATGCCAGAAGATGGTGGTGTGCGGCGGAAAGGCAAGCTTGGCGATCGAGGTTGGAGTGTGGGTTGTGAGGATGGGGAGGCGTTGAAGCGACTTGGGGGGTGCCGATGGCGTGTTGGGAGCTGCTGCAGAACGGGGTGCTGAGACGGTGCCAGGAAAAGCGACGTTGGCGAAAGGACGTGGGTAGGAGGAGGGACCTGAAGGCGAAGAGGCGTGCTGCTGCTGATTGATGCCAGCGACTCTGCGATGGGCAGCGGTGTTGTGTGTCATGCTGTTGGAGCGTGTGTGCGATGCAAATGAGCCGGTTGTGTGTGGTCCGGCGCTGTTGTGGATGCTGCCACTCGCACCGACACTACCGCCACCGCCAGCGGCAGCAGACGCCGATCCTTGGTTCCACATTGGGGTGAAGTTGTAGCTCATGAGAGCTTCAAGGGTCGGCTTGCATTGTTCGAAGATGTGCGATGATTCCAGAGCAGGAGCGTGCTCTCCAGTCGCTTCTTTGGCTGGCGGTGTGCAGAGCTGCGTCGAGATAGCCAGACTGCACGCTGTTGAGATCGTAGAGTCCAAGACAGTGTCGTTGAAGCGAGGCCAGGCTGAGTCGAGTCGATGGGAGCCAAGCTTGTGGAGCGGACCGCTCCTTCATACGCATTTACCTCGACGCTCAGCTGCATGCTGCAGCAGCTTTCCCGTGTACAGTGTACCGCTCCAAAGCGGGGGCAAACAGCACGAGCCCACGCAATCACATACACACAGCACCGCTACGGCGCCGCCAAAATTCAAATTCGAGGGTCCAAACCTTGTTCTTGCCCGTGGCTGCTGTAGCTGTCGATCGTATATCTGTGTCACGCATTACATCGGGACATCCTGCGTGCCCGATGGACTGTCATTTTGAGAGCCATTTTCGAGCCTGCTTTTAATGCTGAATTTTGCGATGAAAAGACAGCCTAAACTTTACAAACCTGAACACGCTGGGAACTTGTAAACGGAAACGGTTGACAGACACGACCAGCCGCAATTGTTCAGCCATCGACGGCGTCTTCTGGCTTTGTAGCCCGTCGACAGTGCTATAGAGACGCACATCAGTGTCGAGGAAAGGAGAGCCTTTCTTGCGTGCGAGACGGATCACCGATGCAGCGCCGATGCAACAAATGGACCGTCTCGGAGTTGAGCGATGCCATCGCCGAGCGACACACAAAACCGCCACGTTGGTTCTCGGCCGCAAGCATACCGAGACCGAGGCTAGCCGTTGCTGTCCGTTCTGCTCGTTAACCTTGCTGTCTCATGACCTTCTCCATTCAACTTGCGCGACCCCCCAACACAGCCTTCTGAGCGCAATAGGAAGTTGAGCCGAACCTGTGGCTTCAGACGTTGCCGAATTTGCAACAATGCGCGTATCCCAGCAGCCGAACGTCCCGCCAAGAAGGAACCCAAGAAAACTGCTCTGCCAGCCGAGATCAACGCTGCGCATGACGCTCAAAGACGCTCAAAGACGCTCAATCTCGTTGTCTCAGTCTGACAGCAAGCACAGAGACGCCTGGCAGCTTCGTCGGCTCTCATTCGTGGCTGCTCAAGAGTATGTAGCAACGCACTGTCCTCGAACTTGCCGTCAAGGTGTGTCGGTGAACAAGGCGCTCGCTTCTGCCTGAAGTCGGCGTCTGCGCAGATGTGTGATTTTGATTTTACAGTGATTACCCTGGTCTGCAAGCGAATCTGGCAAGATCACCAAAGCACCTTCTACTGCATTTCGCATCACCTTGGCGACGACGTCACGAATGTCAAACGAGACCGCCACCGACAATTTTGTTTGTGCTTCGGACAGGGCGTCGCAGATATCCGTCTGCGTAATATGTGTACGAGCTGCCAGCAAGTCGAGCGAGCCAAGCACAGCCAAGCCACGCCATTGACGAGAGAAGAGCGGTCTGTGCAACAATCATGTAGGAACACGACGGCCTACTCCTGGCACTGCTACCGGCATTGAACATGAGACGCTTGTCAACCTTGCAGAAGCGAATTGCGCCAAGGGCAGCGATCCGAGCATTCAATGCATGCTACCACGGAGCGACACTTTCCCATCTTGACCATCATGCTCGCTGTGACAAAGACCAAGATCGATGGCTGGTACCACAGAATGATAGAAAGCAACAATGTGACGGTTGCCAAGCAATATTTGCCCAAGTACATTGCTCCTCGATGCACCGCAGAGTTTCGGTAAAAGAACCGTTTTTGGAGAGCTCCCTATGGTGCATTGCCCCAATGCGACCGTCGTCGCAGTCTTGCACGACTTCGACCACGCTACGAAGCTCGATTGAAACGACATGTACAAGAGCGCGAGCCTCGAAAGTCGAGCCCTTTTTCATCGTAAGCCCTTTTTCGTGCTCAGATCCTATCCGCTTTGTGGCTCTCGCCACGTCCCAGTCGAGTTGAAACGGCGATCAGGAATAGCATCTACTGTACTGAACTGTGCCGACGGCAGATCAAAACACGGTCGCCGCAATGCCGCTAAGCTGTCCAAGACAGTGGGCGGAGAGCGAAACCCCAAGCCTTGTTTCGCAAGATCGTCGTTCCTACAGCCTGCGTGTGGCTGGCTGCTTGTTGACTGTACAAATCATGGCAAAAACGTGGAAGACCAAGCCAAGGGTCAGCAAACACTCAATGCGATGAGTCTGGCAGAAGCAGGCAGGATCGACGAGATGCATTGCCTCCGTCAGGCATGGAACTCTACAGCATGACGCGAGCAATGAGCTCCGCTTCTCCGTCGAATCAGGGGAGCTGTAGTTTTATGAAGCGACTGGCTAGTCGACCCTCCCATACACGGTTTGAGGGAGAATGGCGAGCAGTCAGAGCGCGCACTGCCCCAGTGTCAACATGAAGATGATCGTCATGGCAGCGAGTGGCCTGGCATTGCAGCACAAAGGCGAAGATTCATTCGAATCCTCTGTGTGTGCGCGTGTTGGTGTCTCGCATCGCTCCCTGTCGCGCTCGACAACAAAACTGTGGCTGCATGCTCGACCATCTCGCCTGAGCACGCCCGCAGGCATTCAAGCATGCAACTTGGTTCCTCTCGACCGTTCCTCGACTTCATTAAGGCAGCGAACAGAGGTGCTTTTCGAGTTCCGATGCTCTTTCCTGGAATTCTGCCCATTTCGCCTCTCGAATTCTGCCTGCAGCACGCGTCGACGGTCGATGTGATAGCCTAAAAAAACATGGCAGGTCAAGTGCCTGGCTGTCTGGCTGGAATGCAGCTCGGCTGTCGTGTTGCTGTCGAGCTCGGCAAAGATGCCAAGTTTGTCGATCATTTCTCGCCTCGCGTCTATCAGCCGTCACAATCAACACTGCTCTCGTGCCTGCAGATCGTTTCTCGTGGCTGTTCGGTGCGCTTTCTCCGAGATGTTCATGTCGAGAAACTTTGAATGTGCTGTGGTGCTGTAGCGCGGCTGTTGCGCCTAAGTGTGTTTCAGTGTTGGTGCGCTAAGTGTCGGCGGCTTGTTTTCGCGCTCGCCTATACACTGCGATGTTCCGCCGTTCAACATCGCCGTTTGTGTGCAGCTCTCACCGAGCATTTCGGCACGTCGTCAGTGCAAACGTCGGCACACTGGAAGGAATGGACAGAGCGCTATCCATGGAAGCAGAGGCATGTCGAACGAGCAATGCAAACCGCAAATCATTCAACGATCTGCAATGCCTGCGTGCCGTTGCGCCGTACGCTGTACAGTACCTTTGTTTGGCCGTGCAGATCACGCTCGTCTGCGCACGCCTCGTTGAGCGTGCTCGTCCCTTTGTGCGTCGAGAAGAGCAGCGCTTCCTGCTCCCTGCCTCGTCGGCCGCTTCTTTCCCCCTCCCCCTTCTGTGTCAGCAATCCGCTAGCGTGGCCCCCGCTTCCTCACCCTACTCGACCCATTCCCCCCTAATCCTTGGTCCTCAACATCGTCCCTCTTTCTGCTACTCTTCTCTCCTCTTCTCCACCTTCTCCTCTCCACCCCTCTCGACCCCTACCCCCAACCTCACCCCCCTTCGTTCGTGTCTTTGAGAGCTCACGACGACCCACGCCATCTCTTCACCACCAACGACAACGACATCAGCACCCTCTGTTTCATACTGACCAACAGCTACAACAGCATCCATCCAACCGTCGGTTCTTGACTCGCTCGCATCCGCCTCAGTCTTTCCGGCATAGCATTTCGCGCATCAGCATTGTTACGACCCTTTCAATCTTCGTGATCTGCTATTCTTCATCCCTTCCTACACCTTTCCCCCCAAACACACACACACACCATCAAGATGCGTTTCTCACTATCGTTCTTGATCGTCGCCATCGCCGCCATCCTGTGCGCGGCTTCCTCCACCGAGGCCAAGCTTTCGCGTGGTCTTGCGTGGGGTGTCAACAACAACTACGGCCCGCGGATCGCCAAGGGCCTGGTCAAGTGGTACTGGCACTGGCAGGATGGTCCCAACCCCAAGTTCGACGGCAAGTTGCAGTGGATTCCGTGCTTCTGGGGTCCTAAGTACTATTCGCAGTGGAACCAGCGCAAGGCTGAGATGAAGGGCAACCTGCCCAAGTACATCCTCAGTTTCAACGAGCCCGAGATCCCCGGCCAGGCCAACCTCGACCCCAAGTACGCCGCCAAGCTGCACATGAAGGAGCTCGAGCCCTACGCTCGCAAGGGTGTCAAGATCAGCTCGCCCCAGATGGTGTACAAGACCGAGTGGCTGGTGGAGTTCATGAAGGAGTGCGACAAGCTCGGATGCACCATCGACTTCATGGCCATTCATTGGTACGGAACCACGCGCGACATGGCCAAGCTCAAGAAGTGGATCAAGACCATCCACAAGAAGTTCAACAAGCCCATCTGGGTCACCGAGTACGGTGTCACGGCCAAGTCCGGTGGCAACATGGGAGCCATCATGAAGTTCCACAAGGAAGCCACCATGTGGATGACCAAGACCAAGTACGTCCAGCGTGCTGCGTGGTTGGGATGCTTCGAGATCGACAACCCCCCCGACTCGTACGCCAACAACAAGAACGCCTTCCTCAACTCGAACGGCTCGCTGCGTGACATTGCCTACTGGTACATGTACTCGCAGAAGGCCAACAAGCGATCCGTCCACCACTCGAACCGCGCGCTCCCCTCGGCGCACGCCGCCCGCCGCGCCTTGACCCACAAGGACGAGGAGGGCAACGACATTGTCGACGACGAGGATCCCTTCGAGGCTCCCGAGCACATTGTCGAGTGCGACGAGTACTGCCAGCAGCGTGACAAGGCGATTGCTGCTTACGAGGCCGAGTACGGTGCCATCGGCGAAGAAGATGAGGACGACGACGACAAGAGCGAAGACGACAAGTAAGCAGTAGCTTACACTCCCATACGAAAATCATTGTCTTGGGTCATGCGTGGTCTTTTTCCCATTCGTCGTCACATCTTCCTCTGCTGTTCATGCTCACTCTGCCTCGAAGTGGTGCTGGCACTTGCTCCTTGGCGTGCAGAAGCGCATCCAGTCCACCCCACTTGTCACCATCCTTTTTCCTTCACCAACAATGACCCGACTTTCCGTTTTCGTTTTCTTTTGATCCATTTGTTCCCCAAACCCCTTTCCCCTGTTTACCAGTATCCAGAGTTCGTCCGTTCTTCTTCTTCTGCTTGACCCCCTTTCGAATTCGTCTGCTGTGAGGGGGCGCGTAGACGATCGCCGGCTCGGTCAGTCCTCGCCCTTTGACTACTTCCTTTGGGGGAGATGGAAGAGAGGTGCTGGAGAAAACCGGCTTTTTCTTCTCATCGCTTTTCTCGTGTCCAACGCTCTGTTTGTCAACTTTGTACAAGCTCCTCTCCTTGAAAGAAAGCAGACTTTTGTTTTCCACACTTTGTTTGTGCGCTTGCTTTGAGTCTGTGACTGTGGAGATGAGGCGGGAAGACGGCGTGATCCGGGTCTACCATACAGCGTCTCGAGCTGACGGATTCGAGATGCCGCTTGGAGAGCATGCCTGCTTCCGATCCGACTTCAATGTCAAGAGGCACCACCAGCACGACCACCCAGTACGCCACGCTTCGGAGCGGTGCGCTATGTCCGATCGTGCTCAACGTCCCATTGCAATGCTTAGAGAAAGAAGCTCACGCAGGGTAGACGCTGCTCGAGGACTCTCCCACACGGCCGATCCGCTCTGGAAGCAAGGCAGTCAATCGCGGTCAGATCGGCGAGTGTCTATTTTTGACACACAAGACTGAGTTGGCCGATCCTGTTTCCAGTAAGATTACTGCGCTGTGCTGCCGTGTCAGGATGATATTTTCGGAATTTCCATCGTAAAGCCGTCTGCTGCCTCGTCTGCTGCCCAAATTCCGGAGCCTGAGCGCAAGGGATCGAAGGAAACAGACTCGGCTCCTTCCGTCATCTTGCTGCAAGGCTGCATGGAGACAGAGAGGGTCGAGCGGATTTTAGGCTGTGCTCACTTCTCAGCAACGCCATCCGGAAACCAATCAGAACCTCAACAAGGGTCCTTGCGCTTTTCTTCATCCGCAGCTGCTACGATATCGCATTGGCATTGCTGGTTTCGAAAGCTGTCGCCCGACCCAAGACAGTCTCAAAATCACAATGTCTTCGGCAGAAGCGGCAAGGTCGCTGGCTGGCGGTGGACCAGCATCACTCATCATTCTCAAGACGCATCCACCACTGCCAGCATTCAGCATCCCTCATCGTGTGCCAGACCCATCCACCGACATTTCGTCTTTCAAGCTCAACATCCTGCGCATCCTCACCGGTCAAACCAACGCGCAGTCTTCCACGAAACCGCTCACCTTCTCCGAGGAGGTCAAGGAGAAAGCCATCAACGGCTGGAAGATGCAGATGCTCACGCTCGAACTTAGACAGAGCGACGACCTAGACGAGGACGAAGAAGACGGAGAAGACGATGCGACCGAAATGCGCGGCTTCGAGCTGCAGGACCATCACGAATGCAGTCTGATCGAGGAGGGCGACATGATCGTCGTCCGTCTCAAACCAAATCACACCTTGGACGAGCTCGAACTGCCCAAACTCGGCCCTGCTCATCGCTACTCGGCACCCGCAGGATCGCTCACACGCGCTGGCACCCTGTCGGAACCACCGCCGTATTCCATCATTCAGCCCTCCGAGCCTTCGTCCTTCTCTTCATCGGTAGGAGCACAGCCAAATGCAAACTACCACCAACACAGGTATCAGGACTATCGATCTGCGTTCCGCGTCGTCACCGCCAACAATGTCAGTTCAGGTCGCATCCGTCGCAGTGACGCCGCCAACGCCGGTTCGGGTTACGCTAACCATCCGGCTGGCCTTGGACAAGGGCTCAATCTGCTACAGTCGTCGTCTGGCAAGGGCAGCGGAAACAAGGGCAAGCGCCGCACCTCGGCTTCCGCTGGAGCACCAAGGCAAAGCACCAATTCTGCGGCCGCGGTCCCAAATGCCGACGCTTCTGCTGCCGCCGTATCGACACCAAGCAACGATCCTTCGTCCACCTCGACCAACCCCAGCACGGTCGCGCTTCCGGCTTCGACCATAGATCAGCAGAACGTCGTCTCGCCGCCAACATCTCCGAGACTCGCATCCGGGACCGCTACACCTGTCTCGGCGTCGGGCGCATTCCCGGCGGCGATACGCCGGAACAGCTCGTCCGTCGTCACCGTTCAGGCTGGTCAACGATCTACAGCGCCCGCGGCAGCGACCTCGTCGTCGGCGAATGCCAACGGCAAGTCATCTTCTCAGTTCGCAGCCATGCCGGCGACTGCTCTTGTCATCGGTCCCGGTGTTCAGGGTCAAGTGGGTCGCAATCCGACCAGCGTCAATGCTCCCGTCGGATCTTACGGAGGTGCTGAGTTGGGCGAGTACGGTAATGTTAAGGGTCTCGTCGGCTTCACTGGGGCTGGCGGTTCGGAACTGAGGTCCAAGCCACGACGCAAATCGAGCAGACAGAACAGTCAGGAGTTCCTCCTCTCGCCTACCGACAACAATGTTTTGGATACGAGTGCTTCACGCCGTCGACCTTCGAATCCGGCTACTGCCGCTGCTGACGCTGCCGAGAAGCGTGCGGCTCTAGCCAGACAGTCTTACTCCGACGCAGCAGCTGCACTTGGCGCTTCAACTGATGCTGGTGCTAAGCGACCGATCAGGGAGCGACAAGCTTCGTCCAGCAGTCGAATCAACAAGACTGAGCTGCCGACTCCTCCGGTTCTGCCTCCGATCCAGAACTTGGCGCCGTTCCCGGATTTCGAAGCGTCGAATGCTGCGGCGGGGAGGACTAGGAGGGAGAGGGATCTGCCGCCGATGCCGACGGCGGCGGAAGAGGCGAACATCACGATGGTCGCGGTGAGCACTCCGACGGAGGGCAAGCCTCCGAGGCTCTCGTTCCTGCGCAAGTTCAGCACCAATACGCAGACGAGCAGGAACACGGACAGCGGTCAAGACTCGCCCGTGCAAGACGCCGGTAGAGCCGGTGGGTTCTTTGCGAGATCGTCGCAGACGACAAGCGTTCCGGTGGAAGACATGGATCCAGCGATCAAGCCGGTGCTCGAAGGTGAAGCTTCGCAGAACAGCAGCCTGACCAGGGCGGAGAGGAGGTATCTGGAAGTGCAGAAGGCGCTCGCGGGCGAGCGGGAGAGGCAGGCGGAGGCGGAGAAGCTCAGGGCGGAGGAGATCAGGGCTTCGCGCGCGAGGAAGGAGAAGGAGAGGGAGAAGAAGGAGAGCGAGGCCAAGAAGAGGGCCGAGGAGCAAAAGTGGGAGATGTGGGAGGAGGTGAGGAGGAGGCAGAAGGGTGGGGTCAAGGAGGAGAAGATGCCGCCGGCCATTCAGAGGATGTACAGTGGGGCGACGGGGGAGGCGGGTGAGAAGAAGGGGAAGGCGGTGGATTCGGTAGAAGCGTCGCCCAGAGATAGCTTTGCGACTGCTACGGGGGTGTCTGCGTCCGCGGACGTTCCCTCTGGATCACTGCAACCCCCAATCGGCGGTGCGGTTGCCTCGCAGAACGGCAACACCAACGACAACGGCAGCAATATAGGTCAACGCATCGAGCTTGGCCTGGAGCGCATCATCCGACTTCTCGCACGCCTGGGTTCACCTCAGAAACGATTTCCCGTCATTCACGTCGCTGGCACCAACGGAAAAGGCAGCACCATCGCCTACCTCGACTCGATCCTCCGCAACGCACTCGACATCCGCACCGCCACCTTTGTCAGTCCGCACCTGATCGAACGACGCGACTGCTGCAAAGTGGACGGCCAAGTGGTCTCCAAATCCGTGTGGAGGCAGGCTCAGTCGGACGTGCTCTTCGCGGATCAAGGGCTGGACATTGCGGCGGGAGCGAACGACGACGGTCAGCCGCTGAAGAGTTCACCGTTCGAACTGCTGACAGCGCAGACGTTCCAGGCGTTTTCGCTGCTCGAGGGCGAGCAGAGGCCCGAGGTGCTGTTGATCGAGGTAGGGTTGGGTGGGAGGTTGGATGCGACGAACGTGTTTGAGGAGGGTCAGGTGTTGGCGAGTCTCATCTGTCCGATTGACCGGGATCATGAGGCGTTTCTGGGGAGCAAACTGGAGGGGATTGCGAGGGAGAAGGCAGGGATCGTGAAGGAGAACGGTCTGTGTATCGTGGCGGATCAGCGATTGGAGGATGCGGAGACGATGGATCAGTTGGCGTTGGGACCGTTGGAGAACGAGGCGAAGCAGTTGGGTGGCCGAGCAGCTGGGATCTTGGATTCGGTACGAAACGTTTGCATGGCCAGGAACGCGAGGTTGGTCAAGACGCACATCCCGTGGAAGGTTCTATCCCTGCCACCTACGAGCAGCGACGGGTGGGGTAGCAAGATCGAGTTCACACCGAGACTCGCACCGACGCTGTTCCTGTCGACTTCCGGGCTCAACCCTCCGTCGACGTTCGTGGCGCATCCGCACGATCCGGTGATGTTCGGCGTGGGTGTGACGGTGGAGAGGACGCGCGCGAACCTGACGGGCGTGTGTATGGCGCTGCAGACGTTGTCGTCGATCTCGCGCGACGAGTGGGTGGTGGATCGATGGGAGGAGCTGCGCACGCGCATCATGTGGGGATTGAGGGACGACGCCGAGTCGAACCTGAGGGTGAGGGAGAGCATCAACTCGGTAGAGTGGGAGGGGAGGTGCAGTTGGTTCAAGCTTGGGGGAGCGGATGTGTTGGTCGACGGGGCGCATAATGAGGGTAGTGCCAAGGCGTTGAGGGAGTACCTGGATTGCTGTCTGCGCGGGCAGAAGTTGAAGGGATTGGGGAGGGTGGAGGTGTCGTACGTGTTTGCCTTCTCGGAAGGCAAGGATTACGAGAGCATGGTGAGGGCGTTACTGCAGAACCGGCAGGAAGGGGTGGACGTCAAGGTGGCATTGACGCGGTTCAGTCCGCCGGAAGGTATGCCTTGGGTGAAAAGTGTCGAACTGGACGATGCGGCGAGGACGTTGAAGGAGGTGGGCAGGACGGTGGAGATGGGAGAGGTGAGGGTGTTCGAGGAGGTTGGATGGGCGTTGGATTGGGCGACGAACGGGATGGAGGGGGGTAAGGGGAAGGCGAAGGCGAGCGGTCCGGTGGTCGTCGCCGGCAGCTTGTACCTTGTAGCCGACACGTATAGATTATTGAGGGACAGGGGGGTTTGGAAAGGGTGAGTTTGACGATATTGCAATGTCCGATGATACAGTGATCGAATGTACGTGTAGGAGCGAGTCTGATGTGAGTTGAATGAGGACGGTACGTACGTAGAAGCATCGGCGATTAACTCTTCTCATCTCATGTGGATGCTCGTCCACGATGATTCACGACAACCTCTTCTGCACCGTATCCTTCGAGCTCATTCATTCCCACGCACTCGCCTGCCAAATGAAACGCGAAACCTTCCGAGTCAGAGGTAAGATCGAGGAGGCGACCTTCGTGTTACAGGATCAGGCTAAGGTGGGATCACGTGTCCACATGAATGATGGAGATGAGCTAGCAAGATGAAGCTGATACAAGCCCGCTTGGCTGGATGGTCTGCAAGTGGTGGTGGGGCGAGCATCGGTACGCGTATCAGGTAAAAACGGATGTGCGTGCCGGGGTCAACCATAGGTGGGTTGGAGGAGGGAAGACTGGTATTGGTGGGACACAGTAGCTATGCCTCATGAACGCAGGACATCGAACTGGATTCGTGAGGGATGAGGGGAAGAGACAAAAGGAAAGGACAGGTGTCGTCTGACGTCCGCTCATCTCCTTTCCTATTCCACTCCTCTTTCATCGCTCGATTGTCGATCACTTCGTTCATCGGCATTTCGATTCAAAACTCGATGACCATGATGCTCGCCCTCTTTCACCGCTGGTTGCTGGCAACCTTGCCCGTCATTCTCATGCTCCTTCTCCACACCTCCACCTTCTCGACCGCCACTATCTACCGCAGGGACACGCACTCGCTCGTGGTCCCGCTCACCTTCGAACCAACCTCCTCCCTCATGACTGCTTCCATCTCCATCGGCACCTCGCACTCCACCTACAATCTCATCGTCGACACGGGCTCCCCCTTCCTCGTCCTTCAAAACTCGTCCTTCCACCCTAGCTCTTCCACGTTTGATCCGCAGGGTGCCGGTCAGCCCGACCTGGGTGGAGCGACGGGTTACATTACCACTAAGCCTCAACCGGATGGAAAGGGACCTGTGAAACCTGCGATCCATTTCATCGAAGATCAAGCGTACCTGAATGAGGGTAGTGGGGAGCGAGCGGGGGGTGGGGCTAAAGGTGGGAATGTGACGATCGGGTTGACCGAGTTGGGTGATTTGAAGGGTGCGCAGGGGATTCTGGGGTTGAGTCCTCCTTTGAGTCTTGTCAAACCTCCTGGCGGTCAAGGAGGGAGTGGTGGGAAGGGAAAGCGTTCCCCTCCTCATCCTAGTGGTCATGGTGAGGCGGGCAAACTGCCTTCACTAGATACATCCTTTCTCCACTCCTACCTCTCCCCCTCCCACCGTCAGGTTTTAGGCATGACAGGTTCATCCCACTTCTACATCGACTTCTCCCCCTCCACCATCACCAACACCACACCCACGGGCGAGATCGTCTTTCCCCTAACCGGCACTTCCCTCCCTCAAACGTCTTTCGGTTACAACTACTCCAATGCCATCACCATCGATCCTTCCTCCGGATCGACTTTCCCCACTCATCCCTTCTGGGGCATCGCACATCGAAACGACCTGCAATTCACCCTCAACGACACGCCTCTCCCGGACATCCGTATCGATGCTCTACTCCTCGACAGTGGTACGAGTGGAATCATCGCACCACCTTCCGAAGTATCCAAGATCTTTTCGCTTCAGAACTCGATCACCACGTCTTCTCCTGCAGGAACATCCGCCGTTCTGGGCAAGACTAGCTGCGAATCCGATCTCAAGATGGGAATCTCGATCGGTGGACAGAAAGTGCGTTTCGAAGCGGTTCGAAGAAGTGTCCAGCCGGATGGACAATTCGTGCAATCCAAACACGACCGAGAAGATCCCCAGGACGAAGACTGGACCAAACGAAGCACGTACGACGGCGTCAACCGCTGGAAAAGCTACCTCCTCGACGATGCTGTCAAGGGCATCCAAGGTCTCGTTCACGACCTCACCACTCTCCTCCCCATCACACTCCGCAAACGATCCATCCACAAACGTCTCTCCCTCTCCCTCCTAACCACTTCACCCCCCTCCCCCCCTCCTAACCCTCTCGACCTCACCTCTCACATCAAACCAAACCCAAAATCCCAAACCGAACAGTGCCAACTCTCCCTCATAGGCAGCCCGCAGGTAGAACAAATGTTCCCCTCCAACAAAGACCTCAAAGTCTGGCTACTCGGCATGGAGTTCTTCCAGTCCAACCTCGTCTACCACAACCTGGACACGTGCCAGACTGTCATCGTTCCTAGAAACGACGCATAAGAGCAGTCCTTGTCAATGCTGCTCCTTGCTTCACTTTTCGCGTTCTCACAGATACAAATCACCATTCATTTTGAGTTGCTGCACAAACGTTCTGCGCGTGCGCGTGTGAGAATTGCGGATCACATTTTTGATTGCTGTGCGATGCGCCACCATTTGCAGAGAGATAGAGACGGCTCTACGACATTTTTACGACGCATCGGACGCACTCGCCTTGCTTCATGTACTCAAAGCCCTTGTTGATGTCGTCTAGGTTCGAGGTGTGAGTGATGTATTCGTCGACCTTGAAGGTGCCGTTCAAGTACCTGTCGACGATACCAGGCAGCTCGGTCCTGCCCTTGACACCGCCGAATGCGGAACCTTGCCACTTGCGGCCGGTGACGAGCTGGAAGGGACGCGTAGCGATCTCCTGACCAGCGGCAGCGACGCCAATGACGGTGCTGACTCCCCATCCCTTGTGACAAGCTTCGAGAGCGCTTCGCATGACCTTGACGTTACCGGTGCAGTCGAAGGTGTAGTCGAGGCCTCCGTCGGTGATTTCGACGAGGTGAGAGACGATGTCCTTGTCGCCGAGCTTGGAGGGGTTGACGAAGTCGGTGGCGCCAAACTTCTTGGCCCAGGACTCCTTCTTGTCGTTGGTGTCGATGGCGATGATGCGACCTGCGCCAGCGTCGACAGCGCCAGTGAGGACGGCGAGACCGACACAGCCGATACCAAAGACGGCTACGGTGGAGCCCTTCTCGACGTTGGCGGTGTGAGTGGCGGCACCCCATCCGGTGGTAACACCGCATCCGAGCAAGCAGGTTTTGTCGCGTGGCGCCTTGGGGTCGATGGCGACGAGCGAGTACTGCGAGACGACCGTGTACTGGGAGAAGGTGGAGGTGCCCATAAAGTGGAAGAGCTCCTTGCCCTTGCAGCTGAAACGCTTAGTCTTGTCCGGCATGACACCTTGACCCTGGGTGGCACGCACCGCCTGGCAGAGGTTGGTCTTGCCCGACTTGCAGAACTTGCACTTGCGGCACTCGGCAGTGTAGAGCAGGATGACCGAATCGCCCTCCTTGACGTCCTCGACGCCTTCGCCGACCGACTCGACGATACCGGCGCCTTCGTGACCGAGAATGGCGGGGAAGGCACCCTCAGGGTCGGAGCCGGAGAGCGTGTAGGAGTCGGTGTGGCAGAGACCGGTGTGGGTGATCTGAACGCGCACCTCGCCCGCACGAGGTGGCTGAACTTCAACCTCTTCGATCGACAGGGGTTTGCCGGCTTCCCAGGCGACGGCGGCCTTGCACTTGATGGTTTCGCCTTTGGTCATGTTTGCGTGTATGATTAACGGAGCTATCCGGGGATTGTTACCAAGGTTGATCCGATGAGTGGTGGTGATGAAAGTCGGAAGGCAAGAGTCAGGTTAGAGCAGAATGGATGGAAGAGTGGGAGTACTGCAGCCGGAGCGCTCCGTCTGAATGGCTGGCCTGAGCGGCGGCGTACAGCGGAAAGTGACAGAGATGTCGTGTGAAGAATTTCGGCCCACGTTAGCGGATGACTGAGCGAAATTACGGTTCCTTGGTCACATTTCCCGGTGATTGACTTACCGTTCTCTGACTGAAGTGCTCACCGCGCCAACCTGCCATACTCTCTTGCTCTGCCTGTTCCCCTCGCATCTGATCATCGAACACATGCAGTGTTCAGTGCAGAGTATCCTTGCAGCTACAAAGAGGGACAAGCCTCTTGGAGGTAGACAGGTGGTTGCTCCGTCTTTGCAGCGTGTTGTACCGCCCTCGCTCATCAAGTGGAGGCTTTGCTGCCTCGATATCCGCTCTTTGGCGGAAGCAGAGCTCTCGCACGGTTTCTAGCTGCCGCCTGCCATTTTCGACGCGGCATCGGACAGAATCTCTTGAATGACACTGCATCGGGCCGATCCGAATGAACGCGCGCGTTGGCTTCTGCGAAACCGAAGTGTTGTTCTCTCCACACCTCGAGGCGGCTGGCTTGCTGTTGTTTCTCGAGAAATTAAACGTTTTGTGCGCAAGGCTGCATGTGTTTGTGACTTCAGCCAAAACAGTTGGGATCGGCCAGACGTTCAATCATCACATCACATCGCCGTCGAGCTCGGGGGCTGTTTGCGTGTCACATCGGTCAGTCCCACGCCAACGACGACAGAACGGAACACGATCCGAAACCACGCACATACTGGTTCACTGCTGGTGTTCCCAACAAGCTTCTCAGCGGCATCAAGGCTCGATACGTCGTCGTTACAAATCGCTGATTCCGATCGGAGACGGCTGACCCGATACTCAGCCCAAACAGGCTGCTGCATCGCCTACGAATCGCAGCATCTTCCCGAATCGAACTGTGCCCGTCTCTCGCCGCAAGAGGCACTCGCAACGAACATAGATAGCTCACCAGAACTCTAGCCAGGATGGAGGCGATGCGCAGAAGAATCATGGAGGAGCAGCTGGCTGCCATGGAACAGGCGCGGCGCGAGCAGGGATTGGCGGCCTCGTCCTCGTCCTATCAACCTTCCGGGCGCTCGACGTCGGTTTCCTCTTCCTCTTCATCTGCAAGCTCGAATCCAGCCATCTCTTCCCTACCGCACCGCAACAAGCACGCCCCACCTCCCAAGGTCAAACTCTATCAGCCGCCTCTAGCGCCCTTTGCTCCGTCAAACACCACTCAGTCAAGCCTCAATGGCGCAAGTACATCTACGCCCAATAGAGGCACAGGCTCTCGCACAGATCCGATCGTCTTTGGCGAGTCTTCGCCTATCGGTGCGGCTTCTCGTCAGAACCCTTTTCAATCGGCTAGACCCGCAAATATAAGCAGCGCATCCTCGACTTCATCTCGACCTCCTCTCCTCCCACCAAGACCTCCCACTTCGTCCACTTCCAGCTTTGCTGCATCTCAGCCTTTCCGCTCTCCCAACTCCAAGTCCTCTCAAATACCCTTCATTTCTCCTAAAAGCACACCGCCACCACAGCCGCTCAAGAACAACAACCCCTTCTACCACTCGCCACTAACTCAACGCTCCTCTCCCTCCAAGTCGAGGAACCGACAGGCACAGGCACTCTACATGAGTGACGACTACGAACCCGACGCGGTCGCGGCTGCTGCCGTGCCCGTCCACACCTCCTTCTCCACTGACGCTGCCATCGGTCCTTCCATCGATGCCACAACGCGCGACAAGCAAATCCAGGATCTCGTCTCCAACATGGTCAACGTCACTGAGGTGTCGGACGATGCAAAGACGAGCGCCAACATACCCGGCCTCAAGTGCTTGCTCCTGCCTCACCAGGTGCAAGGCGTCACCTGGATGCGCGAGCGTGAAAAGGGCAAGGCCAAAGCAGGCATTCTTGCCGACGACATGGGTCTTGGCAAAACGGTACAGACGCTTGCTCTCATCGTCTCGAACAGACCCGGTCAAGACTCCTCCACTATCGACCTCGAAATACCAGCAGAGGGTGCGGCTGGCAAACGCGGCAAGAAGGCAGCAGGAGGCAACGGTCAGAACGGCGTCGATCAAGCAGCAGCAGCAGCAGCAGCAGCAGCAGCAGCAGCAGCAGCAGCAGCAGCAGCAGCGACAGAATCATTGCCCCTCGAGCTGCTCCCTCGTCGAGAGATGGCATCCAAGACGACCCTCATTATTGCTCCTCTTGCCGTCATCAAGCAGTGGGAGCGCGAAGTCGCCGAAAAGACACAGGCAGGCTTGAAAGTTTACCTCTACCACGGTCCATCGCGCGCCAAAAAGGCTTCCCACTTCACCAAATTCGATGTGGTCATCACCACCTACACCACCGTGGCTAGCGAGTACGGCAACTACCTCTCCAAACTCGAAGCACAAGCGAAGGGTGCTCTGCCGCTCTCCACGTCTTCTACAAAGTCGACATCCAAGTCGAAATCCAGCTCAAAGTCCAAATCGGCTTCTCATTCCACTGTTCGGTTGTCTCGCGTCGATTCCGATGCCGAGTCTGGCTTAGACGCTAAGCCCAACGAAGTCGATTCCGAGGACTCGGACGACTCGTTTGCAGCCGACGCTCCGATCGCAAAAGCCGTCAAGAAGATCATGCCCACGCCTCTATTCGAGTCGTCCTGGCTCCGTATTGTGCTTGACGAAGCACAAAACATCAAGAACCACAAGGCGAAGTGCTCCCGTGCCTGCTTCCTTCTCGCTGCCAACGCCGAATCTCGATGGTGCCTCACCGGCACACCGCTTCAGAACGATGCCTATGAGATGTTTTCGCTCATCCACTTCTTACGCGTGCAGCCGTTCGATGACTTTCAGCATTTCAGGGAGAAGATTGGCGAGCCGCTCAAGTCGAACAATCAAAACAGAGTCAATTGGGGAATGAAACGACTCTGCTTCGTGCTGCAAACCATCATGCTGCGTCGTACGAAAGAGGCAAAGATGGACGACGGCAAGTCCATCCTCAATCTACCCAAACGCAATCTCGAGCTGCTCGAGCTCGAGTTCGACAGTCCTGAAGAGAAGAAGTTTTACCTTGGTCTACAGGAGAGGATCAGGGAAGCCTTCGAAAAGGAAGACGAGCGCCAAAGAGCCACTGGCAAAAAGGCAAACATGATTGCGGGACTCGTGCTGCTGCTCAGGCTGCGCCAGGCATGCAGCCATCCCGCCATGGTCACCGGCAGCTTGCGTACAGATGCAGGTGCCATGGGCTCTGCTGCCACTGCTGAGCATTCTTCTCAGCACCCTGTCGCCAACGTAGCCGACGAGGAAGAAGATGACGACGACGATGACGGACTGGCTGCCATGCTTTCGGGCCTGAGTGTCAAGGCCAAACGCTGTGACCAGTGCCACGTCGAGGTCTCTGCCAATGCTGCCGCACCTTCTGCCGAGACACCCAACGATCCAGGCGACCTCATGGCTGCTGTCAACCCGAATCTTGCGAGTCGTCGTCTCTGCATCGATTGCATCGCCATTGCCACCAACCATCCACAGGACCTGTTCGCATCCTCTTTTGGCTCTACCAAGATCCGCAAGATGATCTCGCTTCTGTCGCAGATCCGCGCCGGTGACGCGACCGAAAAAACGATTGTCTTTTCACAGTTCACCTCCTTCCTCAACATTGTCGAGCCGCATCTGCGACGTCATCACTTCAATTACGTGCGCTACGACGGATCCATGAAGCCTCAGGAACGCGAGTCGGCGCTCGAACGCATTCGCGTCGACCCTTCGGTCACTGTGATCCTCATCTCGTTCAAGGCAGGTAGCACGGGTCTCAACTTGACCAGCTGCAGCAAAGTCATCTTGATGGATCTCTGGTGGAATCCGCAGATCGAGGAGCAAGCCTTTGACCGAGCCCACAGACTTGGGCAGACCAGAGACGTGACCATCTACAAGCTCAGCATCAAGGACACGGTCGAAGAGAGGATCTTGAAGTTGCAGGAGAAGAAGAGAGCGTTGGCGAAAGCGGCTCTAGAGGGAAGCAAGCTGGTGAAAGGCAACAGACTGGATTTCAAGGAGATCTGGTTCTTGTTCAATGGTACCGATCACTGATGATTACAAACATGCAAAAATCGAGAGGTCCTGTCCATCGCAAATTCGGGCGAAGAAGCCGACCAAAGACTGTGCGTGTATAACAGCGAGACAAGGGCGATGAATAACTCACAAAGTGGAAGGCATCCTACCATCGCCTCTAGACCTTCTTGAGCGCAACAGCATCGGCGAACGGGCTGAAAGCGGCAAAGTGCTCCAAAGGCGTATCGAGGGGATTGTTGATCTTGAAAGCGGGCTTATTGTGGTAGTAGGGATACCAGAATGTGTTGTGCAGGGCATAGTCGGTGCCGAGAAGCTGTTCGACTGAGGTGGTATGGTCTCTTCTGGCGCCGGATCTTTTGTGATCTCGTTGGAGGTGGGAGAGTGCTTCTTTGGGGACGTTTGCAAGGGTATCGTGGAGATCGGAGTGGATGGAATTTTCGAGGATGACAGCGGCGTTTTTGTCTCTTAATATGGAGTTGATGTATTGGATTGGATGGACTGCGGGGTGAATGTCTTTGTCGATGTCGTCGGTATGGGTGTTGTAGATGTTTTTGGAGTGGTGGGTGAGTGCGGGGGGTATGAGTTCGACTAGCTCTCGAAATGCGTGGATTCTTCTTTGAGTACCTGTTAGAAGGACGCTGTCGAGTCGAGGTGGTGGGTTGGAAGGATCATCGATGAAGCGTGGAGATAGACCTGTGTCGATATCACCACCAGTGACAGCACCGAAGGGAGTGACAACACGTGCGGGACGAGAGGTATCGATTCGATTCTCAGCAGCCCATTTCACGCGTGCATCGAGCTGATTCGTCCATTCATTCTCGCGTAGAGCGGACAGCGAAGATTGCCAGTGAGGATAGGAAGGTGGGATGGAGGTGAGCTTGGTGTAAGGGATGTTGACGTGGGGTAGGGCGGATGCAGCGCTCCACATTCGATAGGGAGCTAGTTTCGGAGGAGGTGGCGGTGGCGTACGGGGTGTGCTGGTGCCGCCAGAGTGAAGGTCTGGAAAGTGGGGAGATGGAGGGGATGCGCTGGAGATCTCGGCGGATCGTGCATCGTGGAAGTGATATTCGGAATCGCTGGTGGGAGACAGAGACGCTCGTGGTGAGGTGGTGTGGGGATTGTTGAGGTCGAGAGACGACAATCTTGACGCTACATTGTCCAACGCCCATCGAGTTGGGCTTTCAGATCGAAGCCCCAGTCCGTGTTGGGCATCGATGTTGAGCGAGTGTTGCCCACCCTCTACTGGAATTGTCCGACCAAAGGTACGCTCCTCTCGAACATCACGATCAGGCGAAACAGGTGATTCCTGCTCACCGCTCCAACCCATAGTTCTATCCTTCGACCCCCCACGCCGCAGCCCACCTTCATTGAACCTCTGCCTACCCCTACTACTTCCACTCCTACCAGTCCTCTCCCTCCTTTCTCCGTCCTCCCCTCTCAAATTCCCCTCCACCCTCTCCACCGGAACCTCTGTACTCTTCTTACCACGATCGACCTTCTTCGCTCGAAAAACAAACACCTCCCCGGCGCCTGCCCTTTCGCGTCCCGCTGGTTCACGCTCCGGCAAGACAAAGCTGGAGCTGGGGTGGATCAGTCGATCCTCGATAAAGTTTGTGCCGGAACCTCCTGCTCGTCCGCGTAGCCAGGCGACGCGGGAAGCTTCGGGATCCTCGTCGTCGAACACCACGCGTGATGGGGGAGACGCGGTGTCCGGTTGCGGGGTGGTTGGGGTGTTTGGGTACGAGGGTGTGGATGCGGTTGTGCCGCGAGCTGCATGTGCGGGAAGGATGAGGAGGGAGGAAAGAAGGAGGACGGCTAGGGAGCTGGCGAAGAAATTCATCGTGCTGAAGGATGCTGTAGCGGGGAAGGTCAGTGATGGAGAACGGGAAGGAAACTGATCTTGCCGATGGACCACAAGCGAGTAGCGCCAGTCTTGTGATAGGCAGCTTCAAGAAGAAGCAAGGAGGAATCATGAGGGAGGAAAGGCAGATGCTATGAACTCCCAGCCAACATCTTGCTCTAGCCCGTTGTATCCAACTCGATCGTCGATCCCACCGACTCCCACGCAAACAGAAACCCACATCCACGCTCCGGCAGCATAGCCTCATATCCGGACCATTTGTCTTCATGACATTCTCATCATTTCCCGATTCTGCACAATGGTCTGGTTCGCCACTGCGACAGCAAGCAAATACAGTAATCGACGTCTGCATGACGACACGCCAACACGATGCTACTACCACTCGAACGCCAACGTAGAACGAAGAAGTCGGGGCATGATGTACCTGAAATCTGGAAAGCCCATGATACTGTACATGAATGATTCAAACAAGCAACTTGAGCTCAATCATCCAAGATCAAGCCCTGGTGACGAGGCGATCTCATGCCGGGCTGAAGCATACACAGCCAGTTTTGGTGGTGCGGTAAATTTCTCCGCTGTCAGAAAAAGGTGGTTGAGCTGAACAAATACGCGCTCGGTCCATCATCGTTGAACGCGTGAAAGTCGGTTTTCTCCCCGCATTTCTTCTTCCCCTCTCAATCACCAATCACTTCTTTCTCCGTCCCTGTCTTCCGCTTCTCGTCCCTTCACCTCCAGCGGATCTTTCACCGCCATGACAACCTCAACATCCCTCGGTGCACTCACCACCACCCTCCTCAACGCAAACACCTTCCACCCAACCCTCTCCATCACTCTCGCACGCACAACCATCCCCAGCTCCATCTCCCATGCCTCATGCAGCGCGAATCTCCTCATCAACCTACCCAGCGGCGTATTCTACGATCCGTTCACCGCCAGCAATCCCATCGTCGGAAGCGGTAGTGGCTCGCGTGGGCAGGTGATTTCTACTTCGGGGCTGGAACTGGAGCATGCGGTTGGGTGGACTTCTCGTTCGATGCAAGGGAGGACGAGCAGACAGTGGTGGGAGCGTTCGGATGACGATGAGGAGCAAGAAGGTGGTGGAGTGGATTTGCAAGATCTGCTTGGGGCGGCACTGAGGCGAAAAGCGCAGGAGGTGGAGAGGAGGGAGGTGGAAGGTGGTGCGGTGAGAGTCAGTTTGGATTCTAAAAAGGTTCGGGTCAAGGCGAAGGGTCAGATGCGGCAAAGGCAGGAGTTCAAGCAGGAACGAAGTACCGTCGTCATTCCCGTGGACGAGCTGTTGAGGACAGACGGTGGGCTGTTCAAAGTCCAAATACCACTGCACGTACGGTACCATCCAACCATCGATTCCGACGCCAACCCATCCTTTTCAACATCCTTCGCCGAACTGTTCCACCAACTCATCCCTATCTCCCCCACATCTTCACCCCAGCATCTCAAACTCACCCTCACCCATCCAACCCTCTACATCTCCTGCCCCTCCTCCTCCTCCTCCACCCGCTCACCAACTTCCCTCCTCCCCGCCTCCCACATCCACCTCAAACCCCTCCTCACCAATCACCTCTCCTCCTCCGATAAGGTCGTAGCTCACACCTCCACAAGTGGGACCCTCGTGCTGCAGGTACCCACCCCACCCGCGAAACTGCTCACAGCTGTAAGGGCGGTGACGTTGATCACCGTGGTCGCGGTGTGTGCCGCCGTGCTGGGGCATTTGTTGGTCAACATAGTGCCGATGTTGGACGCGGTGGAGAAGATGGGCTGAGGCATGCGGATTGGTGTGGGCGAAAAAAAAGGTTTTATAAGGCAATGCAGATTTGTGTGTGTCTATGCTGTGAAAGGAAGGTGCTGCGATGCATGTGTAAACGTAAGATGATAGCAGTGAAAAGTGACTTAGGAGACGTTCTGAGCCTGACCTCCTTTCGGCGCTTCCTCATGCGCTGCCTCGGTCCCCTGCGACCGCTGAACAAGCTTCTGCGCGCGCACCCTGGCCTCCTCCTTTCTCTTCTTGTGCGCTGCCATCTCCCTCTCCACCTCCCTCTCCACCTCCTCATCCTCCCTCTCTGCCCTTTCGCGCTCCTTCTTCTCCGCCTTCTCATCCAGCTCCTGGAACCTGCCCGACTCCTGTGCCTCAGCCATGGGGTGTCGTACCTGCACCACGCCCGTCTTGTTCATACGATCGAACAGCACAAACAGCTTCTCGGCCTCTGCTTCCTTTTCCTCTTCTGTCATTCGGTTGATCTCGTCCATCGCCTTCTCCTCTTCCGTCGGCTCGTACTCGCCCGTGATTGGATCCACTGTCCTTCCATTGGCGCCGGCGGTAGCGGCTGACCCGGATGGCAACGCCGAGGCGAGCCCCGTATTCATGAGGAAGCCTGCACATGGACCGTACCCGATCGTCTCGGTCATCTGCTTGGCATCGCCGTTGCAGAGCGAAAGCAACAGCTCGCCAGAGGCTCGTGCGAGTCGAGCAAGCGTCACCGAAGACATGAGCCTCACCATCCTGCCAAGAACATCGAGACGGCGATCGAGAGCGATACCGCGGTCGAGATCGGCGGGCAGGAGGATGGATGCGAGCGTGGATCGTAGAGAGTCGTCCTCGGCAGCCGTCTTTCTTAGTAAGAGGATGAGCGGCTCGAGCGTGTCTTCGAGATCGATGCCGTCTGCACCTGCCTTCTGCTTGACTGCCTTTGCGTCTACGTCCTCAGGCAATCGTCGGCCGTCATCATGTGCCAGCGGTGCTGCCATGTAGCGCGATAGCATCAGATCCGCAAAGGAAATCAGCCGACTGATGTACGCTGGCGCAGATTGTAGCGCTTGGGTGGAAGAGGACGAGATCGGAGCCGTAGGAGCAGGTGGTGAGCCAGCCGAAGCCCTTTGGTGACCGAAAATCTCCTGTTTGACGTTAGCGAGGGGATAGTTGAGCAAAGCGGCGATGGCGTGCGTGAACGGTGGCATCAAGGGCACCGTTGAGGGCAGCGAAAGCATGGTGATGACCGAGACGAGCGGCCGCAGCATCCCGAGAAGCTCTGCGTCGAAGGCTTCGCCAACAACAGGGGCTTGCGATTCGCCTTGGGCTTTCGATGATGATGCGCTCGCTTCGTTTTTCTGCTGCTGCTGCTGCTGCTGCTGCTGCTGCTGCTGCTGCTTGGCTTCGGCCTGAACGATGCGTGGATAGTAGAGGCAGATGTTGAAATAGGCTTTGAGCAGATCAGATAGCGCCATGTTGAGCTGAGCTTCGCTTCCGCTGGCAACGAGGAGTGAGGACGCAGCATTTGGGTTGGCGGCTTTTTCCACCAAGGCCTTGACGAGCGCATCGACGCAGATGGCTAAGATGCTGACCACATTCAGAGTGGTCACGGCCGTCTTGTTGAAGGGCGATTCGAACAAGGTGCTGAAGAAGAGGAGTCGTCCGCCAAGAAAGAGAATGTCTGCAGGTGTATCTTGAGGTCGTGAGAGAAGCGCTACTGCAATGTGTCCGCCGCCCACCTCGTCGCTAGAAAAGGGAAGTCGAGCGTCCTCGTTTAGAAAGAGAGCATTGTTGAGACAGCGCAGCGCCATGTCGGTGATAGGCCAGTCGGGGTCTGCGCCCGTATCATAGTCTTCACCGCCGCTGTCTGAAGACGGAGCATCCTTATCCTTGGAGAGACGGCGGTCTGCCTGCTGCGAGCCGCGCCTGCTGACGGCACGCCGCAAGGATTTCGCGATGGATCCGAACGTGTAAGCGGTATTGGAGGCGGAGAGGTTCGGAGGAGCGGACATCGAGGTCGCAGAGGCGGTATTCGAGGGAATCCTTCGGACTCGCTGCTTGGGGAAGTCGACCTGTTGCAGGAGGATACGCAGCGCTTCTGGTTTAGCGAGCGGCGCGCTGCCGCCAGGAAGACGGCTAAGCTCCTTGAGCAGCCTCAAGGCCGAGAGTCTGATGTTGGAATCCCATCGAAGGTTCGTCCTGACATTGAGCAGGTAATCGCCCTGACGCGAACCCGAGGCAGCAGCTACGTCGTTGAGCACCGCAGTAGCAAGTTTGGAACGTATCGAGTCGCTGACGGATCCGAGCACGGGGAGACCGCCGGTGAGCAGAGCGTCGAGCCACTGGCGAGTTTGTGTCGGAGAATCGAGTCGAGTAGCGGAAGGCAGCGAGAGATACTCGCGGATGATGTCGGACATGCTAGCGAATGGTGGTGCTGGGACGCATGCGCAGCGCTAACGAGCTCAAGTGCCTGGAGTTGCTGATTCTGGAGGGTGATGGCTCATTAATCACCGTTCCGAAGCGTCGAATGGTTGTTGCATGACCTTTGCTTCGCGGCGACCGGATGTGGGAGCGAGCAGGTCGACTGTCCGATGTCGATCGTGGATGGAGACAAAGGGAGATATGAGCTTGACCAGATGAAAAGCTGACAGAGTGGAAGCAAGGGAGGCGAGGAACGGCTGAGGATGACACTGAGCCGGTGTCGTTGTGACACGAGACCCTGACAGCTCATGCGCCTGCGTGTAAAGTCGTTGATTTGTTGCGCCTCCAATTGCCGGCCAAATTAGATGGATGACCCGCGTAATCCGTTACGCCTGTTTGCGGTCAAGAAGAGGCAGCTGGTCGTCACCGTCTTTCAAGTTCCGCTCTGCACTCGAGCAGCAAGATCAGCATTCGCTTTCAGCAGCCATCTAGCCCTTCAAAGCGTTTCCTCAGAAGCTCGCCCGCTTCAAGGGCGCAGCGATTCATGCTTACT